ATTGGCAGCATAACATGTACACATAAAACAATACATCATGATTTGTAACAGAAAAAAAATTTTTATATATTAAAATGAAACATTAAAAAGTTCAGACGGATGTTATTATCTTCATTCTATAAAAAAATCACATACATTTAATTCCAGGCAGGATCAGAACTATAAAATCATTACAATTATCATTGTTATTACATACATTAATTAACATTTCGTCTAACATCTAGACATGTAATAATATAGCTCCCTAAATATTTAAGTATAGAAAAATTTTCATTAGTAAATAACCAAACAAATTTTGCCTCATTTGAAAGATAGATAAAATTGGGACAGATACAGTTTATCTCCTTGAAAAATATCTCCCTATCATTACTGTATGCTGGACAACTAGTAATAAAATGTTGTTCATCTTCAACCAGATTTAGAGTACATTTCTTACAAAGCCTTTGGTCTCTTTCTATATATAAAGTTTTATACCTGTCTCTTTCTATTTTGAGATCACGTGCACTGATTCTGATTTTACATATGGCACTTCTCAATTGAAAATTGTTTAAAGATAGATACATTTCTTTCGAAAAAACAAGTTTTAAGTTTGAAATAAGTATCTAATTTACTACTCTTTGTATCTCTTCTTTTTGTGTTCCAAAATTTTACAATTATATATACTTAAGTTTGGCTGTATCTGTTGATTTTTTTTATAAACGGGATAGCACGTCCTAATTTTTACGGTGATGTTGTTTTCTGAACCCGATATTTTGTGCCTTTATGTGTTTTTTTTTAGCTATGTATCAATCTGATGAGTTTTTAACTGATTTTATAGTATTCTCTTATGTTGTATAGTCGAATCACTGTTCCAGGTTAGGGGTAGGGTTCGGCGCCAGCAAACATGTTAAACCTCACCGCAATATGTATGTACCATCCCATGTCAGGAGCCTGTAATCAGTGGTTGTCGTTTGTTGCTGTATATCATATTTATTTTTCGTTTATTGTTTTGTACACAAATCAGGTTCGTTTAAATCGTTTTCCATTTTTCATTTCGGGGCCTTTTATAGCTTACTATGCGGTATGGCTTTTTCTCATTGTTGAAGGCCGTACAGTGACCTATTGTTGTTAACTTATACGTCATTTGGTCTCTGGTGGAGAGTTATCCTCGTTGGCAATTTGTTTCTATATTTTACAATGTTTAATTTTCCTTTTTAGAACATAATCTATGTGTACCTGGTACATTATTCAGTCAGGTATTTCGTTACCATAAATTACTTAAAACGTGTACCAAATTCGACCACATATGCAGATTTGGTTAGAAATGTTGCTGCTCTTAAATTCTTATTGAAAACTGGATATCACGTCCTAGTTGTTATTTGTTGTCTATAGAGCACGTTAACTTAGATACGATCTATGTTAACTCATTGCACTTTTGAATGAACTAATAAATATATTATAGGTTCACATCGTATTAAGATCTTTACATTTTGTTTTTTATCGGTACTTACATTGATTATGTTGTTGATAAATTAAAACAAAAATGAATATGTATTGCTATACAGTTATGAAAACTTATGGTCCTACATGCTATTTATTTACACTAAATCCGTTGGATGTGCATTGATTGATTCTTGGTGAATATGATTCATTTATTAGTTGACATTGGCATTTGAGTACTCTTAGTACAGTACTGTACAGTGTGTTCGTATGTTGTGCTGCTGTACCAAGTTCCCAGGTTTAGGGAGAGTTAAGCGCTCACAATAAAGTTTAACCCTACAACAAGTCAAGAGTCTTTTATTGAGAGGCTTTTGTTGACGGCGCGGGACCATTTAGGCTTTTTGATAGGCCATTTTCACTTTCTTAATGGATAGTTGCGCTTTAATTTTTAGGACATTTGCGCTTTTGTTTTGTATTTTGTGCAAAGAATCAGAGCTTTGCATGAGGGAGATATATTCCTTAATTTAAAACAATTTTCAAAGTTCATTACACTTTTGTAACAATTTTGTATGTACTGATAAATGAACTTATTGTTTTTTTTTTAAATCAATAATTTGATATACACATATACAGTCTGATTTTTTACTGTGGTATCAAATCTGTCAAAACTTTATAGAATCTAATGATTTTTTTATAGAAGTTTTTTTTCCTCCAAGCCGGTGATCTTACTAACAATGACAATTATAGGCGATTGCTATTATGTCAGTTCTTTCAAAGGAATGGAAAAACAGCTTCTGAATTTTGTGGACGACGAGTTATTATTATCAGATCATCGGGGTTAAAGGTCATACCACTGACATGTGTTTATTTATCTTATCTTATCTTATCTTTTTCATTTTTCATTTTTTTTTATTTACATTTTTTGGTTAAACAGATATATTTTCATTATTTCAATGTATAAAAAATATAAATGCATAATAAAAATTATACGAGCAACTTGAACCTATTTTAAGATTAGAGTTGTAAACGAGACAACAAACAACAAAAGGGACATCTAGTAGTAGGATCTTTTCTACTATACGTCATCAATCGCCTCAAATATATTCAAAACTAGGACTATTCTATAAATGTAAGTTTTCACGCGGCTGTCGTATGTACTGTAAATTATCAAAATCGTATTCAATGAGACTATCTCCTTTAATGATTTTTTGTTATAATCCAATCAAACTGGCCATTTCTATGAATTGACATTTTAGTCCTTCAGATCATTTGAGATTGCAGAATATTGTTAACTATTTTAAAACTATCTTTTTTCCTTAAACATGATCCTGTTCAAAAGAAATTGGTTCCAACTCAATAAGACAAATTTACCTTTATACGTGGATTGGCCATAATTACAGTTTGAAATAGGACTAAAATGTACCATCATTTTGTTAAGAACTGTAATTCTGCAGATTCAAAATGCGAAAACTCTTATTTCGGTGCTTTGTTTCTATGTTAGTTGTATTTATGCCTCTTACCGATCTTTTGAGTTAAGCCAATTGTTCCTGGTGTGTTCTTATGTTGTGCGGTTACACCACTGTCCCAGGTAAAGGGGAGGGTTGAGCGCTCGCAAACATGTTTAACCCCACCACGTTTTAGTGTATATGTCCCAAGTCACTGTAGTTCAGTGGTTGTCGTTAGTTCATGCCAATCAAATTTGTTTTGCGTAAACTGTTTTGTTCTGAATTAGGCAGTTGGTTTTTTCGTTTGAATTATTTCACATCTTTCATGTCGGGGCCTTTTATAGCCGACTTTATGGTATAGGTTTTTCTCATTGTTGAAGGCCGTACAATTGCCTATATATAATTGCTAACATCCACTTCATTTGAACTTTTGTGGATAGTTGTCTCATTGGCAATCATACCTCATTTCCTTAACTTTATATTGTACAACTTTAATGTCTTTTTGCATGTCCGTGGCGTAAAATCTTACCAGAAGAAAAGCCGCCGATTCAAGCTTCTATCCATACTATCCAAAAACGTCTATAACACAAAATATGTTCAAAATTCGTTTAAAATCTTGCATCTGTGACTCGATATAAACCATGCAGTCTGGATTTTAATATTTTCAAGCGACCTACCTTTCAAAAAGGTTTGTGCACTTATTTCATTTTTGATCTGAAATAATTCTTCGGTTTTTACTTGGCAATAGATGGACTTTTGTCATCTTATTTTGACACATGGAGTAGAGGAGAGTATAAGGTTGCGAGATCTGCTGATTTTTCATAGTTTTAGATTGCAATATTAACTAATGCTAACTGTTCTGAGTGTTGTTTTTGGTCATTTTGTTTTCTTGAGAGGCAGTATTTAACCAACATCTGCAGCTACACAGGCAAATTTTGCTGACGTGAATTTCACATAAATCTCATGTGAAATTCACATTATAAAAATTAACGTGAGATTCACCTTAAACGAGCTTATTGAAAATTAGATGTTATTTGAATAACTTTATTTTAAAATTCACGTGAAATTCCCGATCCCAAGGTAAAAATTGACACAACTTGTCTCTCTCTGTACTAATCATTTCCTCATGCTCCTGGTAATTTCTCACGGTACTTAGTATTTATTTAGGAACAGGATCGGGATTCAGGGCTTGCCAGTTCTGTAACGCCCTGATCTAGTTATATATTCCCCTACAATTTGAGCTGTTTTTTCGTAGGTTTCTCTCTTGGGTGGTGGTGACAATAATGTTCGTATGTCTGTTGGAATGTTCAGTATTTCCAGTTGTCTTATCATGTTTTCTCTTTCCTGGTGGTATCTTGGACAGTATATTAAATTTACATCAGTTTCACGTGAAACTTATATGAACTGATTTCATGTGAGTTTCACGTATAAGCTCATTTGAGGTGAAATTTACATGAATTTCACGTGATTCACATGAATTTAAATTCATGGAGTTAAATTTCCCTGTGTACCCTAGCTAACTTCCTGTAGTAGCCAACACATTTTGACCCTGCTTTTCACATTATGTGGGATCATTAAACTCCTTTTGTAGTCATACTGTTTGTGACTGTACTATACTGTATTGTATGTTCTTTTACAACACATGGTCTTGATAGGCAAAAAGGGGGGGGGGGGACTTTTGTGTACATAATACTGCTTTAACCCCACATCATTGTGTACCTGTAAGAAGTCAGACTATTTAGACCATGAGTTGTTCTTGTATACCTATTTTCTTCAGAGGCGTTTGTGGTTTGTGTGGTTTAATGTACTGTTCAGTATTTTTTGGAAGTTCCTGTAATCTGTATTATATAATGTGTAGGGTAATCGAGAGAAAACTGATCACTGGTAATCACAACCATCCACACTTTTTCACAGAGAGTAGATGACAACATTAAGAAACAACCAGTGGTGGATCCAGGAGGGGGGATTCCAGGGGTTGGAACCCCCCCTTTTTTTTGACAATCAATGCATTTGAATTGGGACATATGATTGGAACTCCCTCTTTATCCTGGGTTGGGAATCCCCCTTTTAAGAATGGCTTGATCTGCACCTGACAACATAAAAAGGTTGGTCATGTATGTAGAAAAAAGAAAGATATTACAAAATTCATATTTTTATTGTTGAAAAGCTCCCATAAATAGTTGATATCACCAATTGAATAAGTCACCTAATTCATCTGTTCTATAAATACATTTTTTCTGTAATTTAAAAAGAATTTAATTTGATAAATATTTTCACAACAAATAGTACAGAATTAGCAAAATAAATTGCAACGACTGACAATTGACTCAGGGTTGATCCTGGAGCGCCTATAATCTCCATGGTCTATAATGGAAATAAATACAGATTTCTGATTGCCTAACAGATAATCACAGTTTCTGTAAGCATTGTAAGTAAAAAGACGATTTGTACCGTGTAGTTAAAAAAAAATTCTCAATTACATCTTAACTGTAGCTTATACATTTTGGACATTATATGTGGTAGAAAATGGTGGTCAATGATTATCATTATACAAAACTCGATTTACTTTAGAACAAGTAAAATTAAATTTTTCAGAATTTAATTTACACCCTCTAATCCTTGAAATATTGAGAACTCCAACAAGAGCCCAATACCAGTAGGATAAACAATTGATTACTAGTATTAAGAGGCTAGGACAATTGAAAGGAGGTGAACATTGTAATTTCTGTTCAAATTTGCAGTTAAATTATGGATTGCATCATTTGTTACTGTGCACATAATACCATTTTAATGTAATGAATCAATGAACAAAACCCCTTCATGGTAATGCATTCAGAGACAAGAATGTAAACAATATTAACCCACAACATTTTGCTAGAGTTTCTGAACTAAATAATCATATTTCTACACATTCTAAATCACTTCTAGAAGAACACTACATAGAAATGTCTTCCAATATATAAATGCTCACCATTATGAAGTCACAAGTATCAATGATACCTAATATTATGGTAAAACCCATCTTCACTAGCAAAGGGTTACAATCTTTAGGAGGAATGGGTTGGATTGTAACCTTTGTCTAGCAAAGATGGGTAAAAACCAAGTATTATGCCTAATTGCATACAAGTAGTTTAAATTTATCATACCTATCCAATAAAGAATTTTACATAGCGGATTAAAACTTTATTACCGGTATTTCATTGTGAATAAAATATTTTTCTTTTAATTTAATCTTCCCTCCTCAATGGTAGTTTATTGAGTTTTTCACAGGAGAGATAATAAAATATTTGATCAGATTTGAATGAATTTAGTAACCTTTTAGATAAAAGAAAAAATATGGACTGCAAAATATTGAGGTGCTCACTGTCATTCACTTACAGTTGACTCTCACAGTAAAATGTCTGTCCACGTTTAAATACTAGCATCATATTATTCTAGTTCTATCAACTCTGAGATTGACTGTACAAGTATCAATTTCATAATACATTTTTCATTCTGAACAAAATCACACATTTCTTAAATTGATTTAATCTTTAAAGCCAAATATACATTTATATTGTAAAGAGATAAGAAGATGTGGTATGAGTGCCAATGAGACAACTCTCCATCCAAGTCACAATTTGTAAAAGTAAACCATTATAGGTCAAAGTACGGCCTTTGAAAGACCCATTTACTTTTAATATTTGCTAATTTTGTTCTCACTTCCTTGGAAGATTAACTACTGTATGGATATATATGATAAATCTTAACTTCTTGTTAACAATTATAGATATGTGAGATTCTTAATAAATAAATAAACAACTTTTTAAATGCACAACATAGTACTTTGGGCTGTTCCAGAACTCAACACATTGGGGGTATGGGAGGCACTTTTGTAAGAACCTGACCACCCATAAAATAAAGATTTTCATTTTACTTATAATTCTTACAAAATTCTAAGGGAAAATGCAACCACCCATATTTAATGAATTTGAGTGCCTCTCATCACCCATCTGATAAATTTTGGAACAGTCTTAACCAAATAAACACATATTATTATACTAACATACACATCCCTCAGTGACAAACAAACTACAAATTGATTGGTCCCACAAAGAATTAAATGTACAAAGGAAGATAACTCTAAACTATCTGTACTTTCCTTATCTTTTGAAAGAACAGCATTAAAAAATAATTTCTTTTAACCTTGGAACATAAGGTAAAGTTTGTTTCACAACAACAAAAAAGAAACAGAAAAATGTCATTTATTTTATAAATAGGTAATTAAGGCAATATGCAAGTAATTAATTTTTATCAAATTGTCCAATGGAGATTTTCAATTGTAACTAAATCACTAGGAATTAATATTATAGCACGTTCATAACAAATCTTAACTGCAAAATAATAAAAAAGTGAAAAATGTTGTATAAGGTTTAAAAAAACAATATCACATAATAAGTCAATATTCATAAAACCCATGAATAAAATATCTTTGTAGAAACTCATCTACTCTGAATTATAATACTCTGAACAAGCAAGATCAATTAAGAATGTTCCCTTTTCATAACTTTGAATTTCCTTAAAACACTGATTGATTGATGATTGTTTAACATCAGTCAAATATAATGGCTTCCTGTAAATTTTCCTTATTGATTCAATACTCAATTATCTTGAAAGTCTCCGTATACTTTCTTTAATATTATCCTGAAAATAGTTCTAGACAAATTTTCTGGACATCATCAGCATGTTTAATGAGTATGCTTTAAACGCTTGTAAGGATTCAGACAGGGAGAGAGTTGTGATTCAGACAAAGGAAGGGGTGTGGTTCAGACAGGGGAATGAATAAGGTTTCCACTGCATTGAGACACAGATGAGTTTCTACAAAGTCAATTAGAACATTTGTTTCCATGTAATAAAATGTTTTTACACTTTTACAAGGTACATAAAAATAATGTTCTATTTATTTTTGATCATACAATGGACGATACACCTTATAATAGGAGGTAACTGACCATTACAAATATTCGTATTTATATCCATGTAGGTATTCTGATATATATGTATATGTAAGAAAACAACCTACTTAGCCATTGCATATTTTCAGCATGATATGATATATTATTGCTTATGATTGGTCTTAAAGGATTTTTTTTTATATATCTTGTGAAAATAGTGATATTATAATAGAGCAATGATACTAGATCTGTTTCTTCACATTAATCATGATAATAAAAAAACAACCGAAATAACTGTAGCCTCATTTACAATTTCAACATAAAATTGTTTGAGCAGTGAGAAAATGGGACAGTTATATGAAAGTAAGTGAGGCATCTCTACAACTTTAATGCTGTAGTCGTCAGATATATTTTGATTGAAGCAATGTCACAAGTACAATACAACAAAAACGGATTGTTCATATTACATAAAAATGAAGTAAAGCTTTGAAAATAATCTTTTCTGTAAACAACCCTTCAAAATCACACTCAATTTAAAGTCAGATGCCCTGCACATTTAATTCTATTTCAGATCTTCATAATTTTCACTAACTTATCTATCTGAGTACATACTAAGATAACATGAGAAAATTTGTAATGGACAGAAACTCCTAGATTTCATACGATCCCAATAAAACTATGTAAAAGTCATGTTATGCAATAGGATTGGATTTCATCAGTTTTAGATCGGAATTCACCATTTCTGTCACAAGAGTCTGAAAAATACAAATAAAACCATTAATCACCTAAATAAAGAGGAATAACTCTTGTTTGAAATGTTAACAAGTCATGTTTTTTATTTAATTTAAGACTATACAGATATTTTATTTTGATATATGAATAACCCTTCAGTAATACTTGTATCAAATATATAACAGTGATGAAAGGACACACAAAGAAGAATGGTCAACAATTAACTTCTTAATGAAAAGGAGTAGTCTGCCATAGTTTAAGATAAATGTTGTTGTATAAATCAGACCATTGCTTTTATCTTTTGAATGGTACATATTTTGTAATCACTGGGCCATTTATAGCTTACTATATGTAATGGGTTTGCTCATTGTTGACAGCCATACTGTGACCTGTAATTGTTCAGATCTTTGTTCAATGGGTAATTGCCTCATTTGGGATCATACCACATTAGCATATTTATAGAATCATTGCAATATTTAAATTCCAGCCTATCAAGTTATTTCACTCATCCAGTAAGTCCTTATATATCATATTATAGCAGGTAGGCAAGGTATGCATTTGACTTGAGTAATTTGCATATATTTCTGCCCCTTGCAATGAGATTATCCCCTCCATAATGGTTTCAGCCTACATGCATAAATGAAATCTTCTTACCGAATATACCCATGATACCCCTGGGAAAACCAACAGAATTTGGTCATTTACTAATAGTAAGATGACAAAATGCATTGGTTACAGGAACTGACATCTAGATGGCTATTTTTAGAGAATGTATGTTGTTGGGTTACTTTCTTGATGACCTTTTATGTGACATAATCTGTTATTTATACTAAATGTGGCGTAAGAAGATACAAATTTAAATTGCTTAATCTAAGAGGGTGTAGATAGGGGTTTACAGAATAATAAGCCAAAAATAAAAGGTAGTAAAAAAGGGCAAAAAATAGTGGGGGTAATAAAATATACAGAATAGAGAATAATTTGCCATAAAATAAATAGAGAAAAATGGCTTTAAAAAATCAAAGAATATAGAAATGAAGACCTCTCCCCAAATTAAGACCATCACTTTATTGATACATGTACTCACATCAAATGAATATTTATGTTCCCATTTCAACACAGTCTTAGCTTTAGTACAATCTCCTAAAAGGAATTCCTGAAATGATAAAATACTAAAAGTTAAAAATGTCTTCCACTGATGAAACAAATACTGTAAAATCAGTTATTAATATATGCCTCTTCAAATGTTGACTGAAATGCTACATATATTACTGTGGATTCATTTTATTTGTTGTATTTAATTATTTTGTGGATTTCGTTGGTAGAGGCAACCTACGAGTTTAAATATTCAACGAAGTATGAATTCCCTATAGGTTAGTATGGAAACTCTGACAGATCCACAGTAATACTATTTAGACAAATCTTTTATTGAAATTAGCATGGCTAGAATGAAAATATTTTAAATAATGGGATCTGTTACTTGATCTAAATTTTTCACTCACATAAATATATTAAATCTCTGAATTGTCATCCAAAGTTTAAAAAAAAGAAGACCGAAATCAGTTCATAACAATTTAGATCTCGCTTTTTTAATAATTAATGTCATGCTTTTAAAAATAATCAAGTCTACAGGGTCTCAATTATTTATAAAGTCTTCATCCATTTATACATGTCACTAGATTTTCCAATTTTATGTTTTTGTGAATATTTATATCATCAACAAAGAACATGCTTTAAAACTATTCAATTCTATGGTGCATCAATAATTTATAAAGTTTTTATTCATTCATACATGTCATTAAATATTTCTTTTCAATTCACTGTTTTTGTAAAAAAAACTTCAAATGTCTTTGTTACCTAGATGTTTGTATATAGCTGTGTATTGTATTAACATATATTGTACAAATTCTCTACAACTTCCCATGAAAAATTCCACTAACTTCTCAGGCATTCTACTAAGGTAATTAGTAGTATTAATTACAAGGATAATTAGTCAGTAATTAAGTCTTGATGATGGACATTCCAATAGTGTAAAATTAATGACAACATAATTTGCCATTATAACACACTCATTTCTAATGTTTTTGTACGGAACATAGTTTTCTGTTCATGGTTTCCTTTCAAGCATTTATTTAAATAAATAAAACAAACTTTAGAAGGAAATGCATACAGGTTTTCTCATATAAAGCCACCTTGATCTTTATACAAAATACCATGCATTTTATTCATGGCTCATTCTAAATGCAACAGCATTTTTTTTCAAAGTCCAAATAAAAATTTTCTGAGAACCCAAATAAAAAAAACATTTTTTTATAAATATTTTATTCTTGAAAATTATTGACTGATTTTCCCTCCAAAAATAAAGATGTTTATAATGTTATAAAAACACATTTTCAACCTCAAACCACATTAACAATAAAATAAACAACAAAAATAAACATCAAGCTTATATAAATAACACCAAACTGTCAAAAACCTTTTAAGGACAAGATAAATGATTAAGATCAAGATGATGAAGTTCAGGATGATAAAAAGTGACAAGAATTATCATGTAACACACATAAAACAAATGGCCAACATTATCTCATGGCCTTATTACTTCTATTAGTCATTTATAATTAAGGTAACTATCAAAATCCCTAAGCAAACACTTTTTTAAACATGAATATTAGTATTGTTAATGGGATATTAAATATAGCTCAAAATTAAGCACAAAAATAAATGAATCGTGAAAAAAGAATCAATTATTTTTTTAAATCTCTGAAGCTGACCTAAATAATTAACTGGATTGTTTTATCTTATAGTCTTTCTTTTTTTTAAATTAAATTTTTGACTTATCTTTTACAATGAAAATAAAAATTTTCATGGTAGAAGAATAAAGTATCTTTGAGAATCTGGTCAAGATGACCAAAATAAGTCCACTCTGTTATACTATATATGTTTTTCTATATATAATTTTATTTTTTTTTATTAAATTTTATTAAATTTAAGTTATAACTTTTAACTAACATAAAAAATTTCACCACAGACAGCGATGATATTTCTAGTTATCTATTTTTGTTAAGATATTTTTAGCCTTAAAATTATTAAATAATTTTCTTTTCTAAAATATACAACTAATAAAACCATGTTTATTTATTTAATTTGATATCAAGTCATTATGAATTTCAGACACAAATGAAAACTTTCCCATGTTAAAACGTCCTTTAAACATATATAAGACTTTTTCTACTATTCATCTTGTGTTCCACCTTTCAACAGGTTTTCTTCCAACTTAATTTATCATAGACCTGTTATATTCATTAAGCCCATCAGTAACACACAAAGAATTCGTTTACTTAATGTAGAGAAAATTAATTTATTCCTTCACACCTGAGCTCTAGATTCCTCAACCTCATCCATCAAAAACAACCCTCGATGACATCCATCTGTTTTTCTTATCCCAATCAGAAGGAGAAAAAGTCATCTGCACCGAGAGTTATAACAATGTTCAAAAAGCCAGAGGAAAAGATAATTCTGCAGAAATGAAAACTGTTGCAAATGAGTCGTTTGAGCTAAGAAAATATAATAACAATAGTGAAACTGAGATGTAACAAGGAATTGCCGTGATCACTAACTATGCTATGAATGTTTCTCTCTATAGAGTAAACATACATTGTGTGTGGGGAAGACTAAATTTCATCAAATTATAAATGGCCTGGAAATACAATTTTCGTCTTAAAAATAAACATCAATTGAAGCACAAGATTTTCTCTTAATTTATTTTCTGATATTTCTAACAAATAGGATTGTTTATAACAGTTTTGAACTTGGAGAGCTGACAGTACTATTCATCTGTTAGAAATATGCCATTACAGGGACTGCCATTTATCTTGAGGAGGCTTTGATGGTTTTTAAAAGAAATGAAAACTAATTGCTTTTTTTTTAATCACATTAATTCAAATCCTAAATTTAAATTTGAATGTTTCTTTTTCTATATTTTTTGGTTATTTGCTTTCCTTAAAAATTTAGACAAATTTTTAATGTAATCAGTTTCACTTAACTGCTGACTGTTCCCAACATGATGGGCTAACATCGGGTTAACCAAACAGTTTTTTTTTGGTACAAAAACCAAGGAATATGTTATTAATTTAAAACTTAAACCCAAATAAAACCACAATCTAACGGTACACTGATCGTCAATGAAACTTACAACTTCTGTAGGTCTATAAAATTTAGGATTTACAGCCACTCGCACAGCTCCCGTCTTTTTGTCTTTGCCGACTTCGTTCACACCTTCACCTTCCCAGCTATAAATAAAATACAAGATTCATGAGTGATTGATTGTTTCTTGCTTATTGTCCAGTGGCAAATATCAAATCAATACACATTTTACGGTCAAATTAAAAAGGTTCACTTTCAATGAAATATAAATTTTTATAATAACAAGCATTATTTTGTGAAAACAAGATGATTATCATATAGATTGCAAATTGAAAGTGCAATACATCAATATTTTTTTCATTTATATTTTTATAATTTGCTAGAGAAAGTTTAAGTGGAATACATACATTCAAATATATTCTCTTAATAAACTTACACAATATCGATGTCCACAACCTTGAAAGCTTTTTCTATGAATTCCCTGACACTATGTGTTTCTCCCATAGATATTACAAAATCTTCTGGTTTATCATGTTGTAACATCAACCACATTGCCTGCAATATAGACATTATTGAGGCATAACATAACATATTTTAGGAATAAATTCAATCTTAGAATTTGACCTTTTATGTATCATCTCTTTTTTATAATTTTTATTTATATACGATAAAGAAAAATAACAAGCCTAGACCATTTTTTTCATATTTAACAAAATTATACAAAATCCATTAAATTCTAAAAATCGCACAAATTCCAAATTTACCTGAAACTCAAAAAGCAAAAAAAAAAAATAATTTTAGATTTCTATTCCTTGCAACTATCCAATTATAATTTTTTACCTAAGGAAGTTCAGTCACAAATGGGTAAAATCAGTAGCTTAAGTTGTTTAAGATATATAGCAGGAAGTAAGAGATTTAAATTAGCAGTGTCTTGGATAATTTCCTTATAACATGATTGTGTAATACTTACACATGGCTCTCTAAAAATATTTGATCTCATCTTGTTTAAAAAACAGTTGTCATTTTTTTTTTAACTGTTTATTTTTTTTTTTAAATACCATTTTTATAATTGTTATTAATCTCAACAATGAACCATACAAAATATTTTGAAATTCATACTATCATTTATGTTTAAAAATGCTTATAACTGTTTAAAATACAATTAGTGTAATTTATCACATACCTTTCTCAAGTTGAATGATAAATGACAATAATTTAAGTTCAAAATTCTGTTTTTCTAAGATGAAGGCATCAACAATACACGTTTTATTTGACAATAAACTCTATATGAACTTCAATAAATTTTAGTATTATAATCGTAGCTTGTTTACTTTAAAAGCTGTCAAAAACAGAATAGATAGTGATACTCTTAATATGTCTACTACATGACAATGAGGTTTATTATTATAGAATACTTCTTTCTGTGGATTTCATGGACAGACCATATAAATTGTTCAATTAAATGCATTTTTTTTTATTTGGCTTAGATAGCACAAAAATCATCAAATTGCAATAATAAAATTATTGCTTTTGCTAATTTTGTACTGTTCTAATATTTTTTTGAGAAGTTATTTTCATGATATTATTGTATTGTGTTGAATATGCATCAAATATTTGCAACTGAGCATGATCAACCACTAATCTATCATAAAATTATAAAAACACAATCAAAATTACAGGTTTGTCATTTCAAGCTGAAAAGGTATTTTTAGAAACATGTAATTTTCCTTAATTAATTTCCTTAAGTGTTCATCGTTTGAAGAAAAAATATTGCAAGTGTACATAACCTTTTCTCTTAATTCTGTTAAGATAACAATCGCATTTCTGCATAATAATTATATATATGGAAGTTTTTAACGACCTTGACTGGCTATACAGCCCTTGCACGGTAGGCGTATAATAATTTGACTTCAGTCTTTACTTTTATACAGGTACTTACTGAGAGAAAAACCACATCAATTTAAGGTATATTCCAATTATCATGATTAAATTACATCCATTAAATAGATTTCTTTCTTTGAAACTCCATGAAAAATAGGGTAAAAATGTAATGAAAACTTCACATTAACTTTAAAATTTCCCATATTGTAAAGAGTCCCTAGATCTCACAATTTTAATTTCTAATTTTTAAAACTAGTCACACAACATTAGAATTCTTTATTTTAGAATTATTGCACTTCTATCCTCATAATTTACAAAACTTTTCTGAGGAAGAACTTGAATGGGAGAATATTTATATACAAACCCCAAATGTTTACATTTGAAAACTAATCTTACCATCGTGGTCTCTCTACATATTTTTGTTAAGATTTGTCTTTCTCAATATGTTATTTCAAGAAACTAACACTGTTTAGTTAGTAAATGTTCCGCTGAAGAAAAATAAGTCTGATCCCCAACAAAACAATGTTTTTTCTCATAATATAACAAGTTGATTTTTCATTTTGTCAGGAGAAGAGGAGATATGCATTACAATTAAGGCCTGGAGACTGACATATGAAAGAGGGAAGAATGACAGAATTTAATCAGATTAAAATTCATCACCGAGGTTTACTGTTTCTTCTTTGTTACCTAATAACACCCACAGTACTGTATCAAATATAATATATTCAACACCTCAAGTGCAGTATCAAATACAATTGAACTTTTTCTATCCACTGCTTTCAGATGCACTTCTCTTGTTTCAATATGATTCTTTAATATCATTTTCACAACTCATAAATATTAATCGTCACTTTGATATGTGAAAGCTAATTTTGATATGTGAACACTATTAATACAAGATTACTTTTATGTATACGAAGCTCAAAAGTCAGATCTATCATTTCTATTTTCTTTTTTTTGAACAAAATATAATGAAAAATTCAATCCTATCTGTTTTAAACCACTTGCAAAATTCTAAACAAAACAAATTCAATAATGAAATTGTTTTGAATTAAAAATAGGAAGCAAGAGAACTTTTTTTATCCTTTCTAGCTTTTGAGGAAGAAAAAGGCTTATAAAGGTTTAATGATTTTGCCGGCAATGTTTTCATTTTGATAAGTAATCTAAAACATATTTACAAACCACCATTTAGTATTATATCTTTAGCTGACAGTTTATGTATATACAATAAGAAGATGTAGTATGATTGCCAATGAGACAACTATTCCACCAAGTCCAAATGAAGCTGATTTAAACAACTATAAGTCACCATTCGCCTTCAATAATGAACAAAACCCATATACTCTCATATTATTTTATTAACTATAAGCCTACCTATACTTATAGTTTAGAATTTTGAATTTTTTTTCTAATGTTCAAATCAATTTCTAAACTAATAAAATATTTTTTTTATCTTTTAGATATCTTACAGTAACCAAACCATGGACTTAACAATCTTTTCCTTTACCTTTTTGAAATTTTGTAAACTGTTAAATGAAAGGTTAACGAAATACCTGAAGTAAGAAATAACATACCTCTACATAGTCTTTAGCATGACCCCAATCTCTTTTGGCATCTATATTTCCTAGTTCTACTCTTTCTTGTTGACCAAGGACAATTTTTGCTACAGCTCTAGTAATTTTTCTGGTTACAAATGTTTCACCTGTCAATTGGAAGTTAATGTTGTTATTGTTGTTGAGATTTGCTTTTGAGGTGCTGCCTTTATCTATGTGATGTTGCATTATGTTAGTATTTGTAACTTCTAAATCAAGCTTGAAATTACTATCAATACACAAAGCTACCCATCAAACTACTTTGGTGCCGTGACCAATATAAAAAAAAAATAAGACAAATTTCTAAATATACAGTCAAATAGCAAAAGTAACAGATGATTCCTGTTAAGTCTAAAGATGTAGTTAATTCAAACACAACAGAGAGCTTATGAATGTTCCTTTGATTTGTAATTGTACTATGTGTCATGAATTAATAAACCAGATCCTGTCTCTTCCATTCAATAAATACTAAAGCAAGCCAAAAGAATACATGATGATATAGAAATCTTTTTATAGTAAAATATAAAAAAAAAATAACTATAAAATCTGGAACTTTAATAAAAGTTTAGGTCAAAATACAAAAGTATTGAGGACAAGTTACAGCTGTATGAAAAGTTTCCCATACATGTAAAGTAACGTTAGGATCAATAGATATGACAGGAGACTAAACTGTGAGAAAAAGATATGGAGAGAAATATTAGGACCAAAGAAAAAGAATATTTATAGCAAAGTTAGAATCCATTCAACTAGCTCTGTCAAATAGCCATGCAGTACAAAACCTACTAAAGTGTAAAATACATGTCACATCTTGTTTAATTAAAATTCTAGTCTTTAATGTCAAAGAAATCTACATCTTTCTTTTTTGAAACTTTTTTCCTGTCAGATATTGGACTTTCCTTTCCTGTCTGAAAAATTGATCAGTAATCTACTATGTTTATATAACGTCAATTTCTTAACAAGTTTAGTGGTCGGAACAGACAAGTCCATTAATGTGTATCACAATACATTTGATTATGTTTGTTTAGAGGGAAAATCTAATAGGAAAACAGGTTACACTTGAAGTGACTGGACTATTTCATTGTATCCCTTGCATGTTGGCTATTGTACAAAAACAAATCAGAAGGATTTATACCATAGAACAAGAGACACTCTATCAATTAAGAACTTGACAAGCAACCAAAGTCAATTTCACAGAAACATGAAAGAAAAGGAATGGTATCTCATCCTCGATTATATGTCACATGATATATTTAGAAATTTTGATTGGCTACCAGGCTCTGAGGACCTCTTATTGAATTAATAGCTTGTCAAATCATCACCTTATTATTGAGAAACGGATAAGTTTCAAAATCAAAACAAGACAGAAAATCTGGATAAACAATCGTACAATAAAAGTAAAAATAAACCAGGTGGTTACATTCCAGTCCTTACAACGTTTTAATTTGGTGTGAAAATATATACAGCGTTCCTATTCAACGAGAGATATTGTTCCTTTTGTCCTCGCTCCAGTCATTTAATAAAAAACAACAAAAAGAAGTTGACCAAATGGTCATATCATTTAAGAACATAATTTAATATATGAGGATTCCCATCAAAATTGGAGTGTAATTTAGTGAAAATAAAATGGCTATCAGCATGTCATTTAACCTGGCACATGTCAAATTTTTATAGCATAGCAGGGGCTCGGGTTGCTTACACACATTTTGACCAGCATTTAATTTTAGATTATCAGTGCTTTTCATGAAACTATTACAACAAAAATTAAAGTTTCTGTTAAACTGACTTGTTAATTTCTGATGAGGTTTTTACTAAAGATTTTTTTGTAACAAGGGCAACATCAGTTGCTTTTTTCAGATAAATGTTGGTAATTAAATTTTAAGAGTTGAAACAGTAAAAATAGTTTTTTTATAATTTGCAAGAAAATCAGTAAATAATTTGCAGAGGGGTTCATACTTTTATGGGGATTTACGTGGCAAAACTTTGATATCTCATGTAATGACATATGCCTATAATTATTAAGATTGAATATAAACTACTGTATAATGATTTAGATTGAATATGAATTACTGTATAATGATTTAGATTGAATATGAATTACTGTATAATGATTAAGATTGAATATGAACTATTATATAATGATTCAGATTGAATATGAACTACTGTATAATGATTTAGATTGAATATGAATTACTGTATAATGATTTTGAGGGCCACAGGGAAGATTAGTAATTGTAACTAACTGTGTTAACCCTCTTTAAATAAAGAATTTATTATTATTATTTAGATTGAATATGAACTATTATATAATGATTCAGATTGAATATGAATTACTGTATAATGATTTAGATTGAATATTAATTACTGTATAATGATTTAGATTGAATATGAACTATTATATAATGATTCAGATTGAATATGAACTACTGTATAATGATTTAGATTGAATATGAATTACTGTATAATGATTTAGATTGAATATGAACTATTATGTAATGATTCAGATTGAATATGAATTACCGTATAATGATTTAGATTGAATATGAACTATTATATAATGATTCAGATTGAATATGAATTACTGTATAATGATTTAAATTGAATATGAATTACTGTATAATGATTTAGATTGAATATGAATTACTGTATAATGATTTAGATTGAATATGAACTATCATATAATGATTTATATTGAATATGAAGTTTTGAACTATCATATCATCGATTTATATTGAATATGAACTATCATATAATGATTTAGATTGAATATGAACTATCATATAATGATTTAGATAGAATATGAACTATTATATAATGATTAAGATTGAATATGAACTATTGAATAATAATTTAGATTGAATATGAACAATTGAATAATGATTTAGATTGAATATGAACTATCATATAATGATTTAAATGGAATTTGAACTATTGTATTATGATTTTTATTGAATATGAACTATTATATAATGATTGAGATTAAATATGTACTATTGTATAATGTTTTAGATTGAATATGAACTATTATTATACCTTATATTATATAGTAATTATTTGATTGGCTAATATAGAATCACGTGTCATAGTTTAGTTTCGATGTTTATCCAAAACTTGGCAGGAGCGTTGAATAACCCTGACAAACTGAAGCATCAATCAAACAACCCTATTATTCCCCAGTGACTAACCTAGCTCCATGGTTTTTGCACGAGTTATTTCCCAAATAAAATGATGCAATTAACGCCTGTAAACAAATGGCAATGGCCAGGTAAAAAGCCCATCAAGTAACAAGGAAACAAGATCCAACAAGGCTTGTAAAATCATCTAGTGCCGAGGATATCTCTCGTAAACTGTCCTTTTCAGGGCTATCAACATTTTACAGAAGGAGTCTACCTTTGTTGTACATACCAAAACTTCTAAGACAAAATAATTTTCTAATGTAAGTGTTTTGACAATCTTTTTTACTCCCCGTAAGGCAATATTTTACACTTAATTGTTTATTCAGTATAATAAAACAGTTATGGCCCATTTAGTCGGTGAATATCCAAAATTGTCAACCCGGGTAAGGCTTATTCCAGGAGGGCTTTATTGACAAGTTTGGATATTTACCTCCTCAGCGGGCCATAATTGTATATTGTATAATGTTTTAGATTGAATATGAACTATCGTATAATGTTTAAGACTGAATATAAACTATTGTATAATGTTTTAGATTGAATATGATATTTCAGAATAATCTTTGTTCATTTACTTTCAGTTCTTCCAATAAGCAATTTAAGGAAAATAACTCAATTTAATCCTAAATATATATAGATGACCTATTCCTCGTGGTAACAGAGAAACTGACCTAATCACAAAACCTTAAAGTTGGTCAATGAACTATGAAAACAGTTAGAGGTCAAGTGACTCCTGTCCAATAGAATGTGCACATTCACTATGATACTATGGAGCAAATATAGAAGACTTATTTCTTATGGCAACTGAGACAACTGATCAAATGTTTTTTTTTCCTTTCAAAATACTAAATTAAATTCAGACTATATGCCATCTATATGCAAAGCATGGTTGTGTAGTCGGTAAATTACATGTATCAGCAGTTTTATATTTTAACTTAGAAGCAAAGACTCAATACAATACACAGATATTTCATAAGGATTCCATCATTTTGATTGGCTGATAACAACCATGTGGTATTTTCAGTGATGTTTTATATCTCAATACAACACAATATCTATGACTGCATACTATCTATATATTACATTTAAGAAATGTGTTGGTATATCTTTTAAAACAAAAAAATCAATAAACTTGATATAAAAACCATAATTTCCTACATTTAGCGTTAAAGTGTTACAACTGTGGATTCATTACATGTAACAGTCACAGGATATTTAGTTTCTTGTATTTCCTGGGTAGATGAAGACAACCAACTTAAATACTCAACAAGATACTAGTTTTTAGTAACTTTAATAAATGTTAATGATGAGATCATGAAATAAGATACCCTTCAAAAAGTAAAATTTTCTTAAAATCCACATCGATATCAACGAAAATAAATAAATCCACAGTATGAAGAAAAACGCTTCTTATCTGTAGCTATATAAGGTTGTTAAAGCATTGACCATGCACACATTTATAGTATGAAATGCTTTTGTGTATATCATAAAGGTTCAATGTGTAATAAGATTAAAAAGCCTGATAAATTATATTATGTGTACCATATTTGCCGAGATAGATGGGTCAACAGACAATAATGCCCATAAATTTAAGTGGGTAGAATTTTCAGATTGGATATGTCATAACATTCAAACTTCCATCAATTTTTGTATTGTTATAGGGTTACAGATTTTTCAGGTTATTGTCAGACATAAAAAGTAACAAAATATGTTCAAAGGGGAATAACTCAAAATGATTTTCCTCCAAAGTTTGTAGTTTTTTTGTAAGTTAATAAAAATTCCTAAATTCCTAAATTCCTCACCCAAATTATTCTAGTGCTAACTGCTTAGACTTGAAGTTGTTTATCTTTTCATGCATATTCTTTTACAAATAATTTCATTTTTATTAAATTTTCTGAACAAAAGAAGATAGTGGTTATAAATGATTGCATTAGAAGGTAAATAAAAATTGTCTCTTTTTTAGACTCTATCTCATATTTTTCTACAGATTGTTGATTGTTAGTGTTTTAACGCCACTTTTAAGCGCCACATTTGGGCTATTTCGTGGCGGCCAGTTTTTATTGGTGGAGGAAGCCGGAGTGCCTGGAGAAAACCACCAACCTTCGATAGGAAAACTGACAATCCTAGTCAATTTAGATAGCTTAGTCGAGTGCAACCCGCACGAGCTGGGTTCGAACTCACAACCTCAGTGTTGACTGGCTAGTGATTACAGTAGTAGAACTACTTAGACCACTTGGCCACCGAGGCCCCCTTTTTCTACAGAAGACAATACATTGCCTATCATTTTTGTCACAATTTCATTTTGATGCTTGACCTTTTAATTTGTGCATGTGTTTTGGAGTTAGCCAATGTTGGTAACTTATTGACTTGAAGAAGTCAATATAAGCAATATTTTGATAAAGGTCAAATATTTTTTTCCGAACATTAATTGACTTGTTGAAGTTGTAATTTGATATAACATGAAGGGAGACAACCCATGAAACATACAAATTCAGACCTCTATGAGTCAAAAACAAAATTAGATTTTTAACTGTGTACTATAAAATGGCAGGGTCCCACTCGTCAATGGCCCCTAAAATTTGATGTGGGCTACTAAAATTTCTGCTTTTCTTGTATAGAACTAAATATATTAGCTACAGAATTTAAGCTGTGGGCTACCATGCCAAAATTTTAACTTCAATCCCTGAATGGTTATAATTGGTCAAGTTTTTTTTACAGAAGATCACCAAACCCCTATAACAGCTTTAAAACATGTAGCATTGATGTTTCAGGACAGATTTTTTTTACATTTGGCAAACAAAAAACACCACCTCTGATGACCAGGTCTTTCATCTGATTTTAAGAAGACAACGAAATAGAAAAAAAAACAAGTTTGGTGCAATTTGGCCAATAGGATTCAAGCAAGGACACAAATATAAATTCTGTAACCACAGAGGGAAAGAGCATAAACTTTCTACAGATGATAAGGACTACCACAAATGTATACAAATATGTCATCAGCAGACCTTTCAGAAACAAGTGTTTCCATTTAATATATAATAGGCATTTGTCTTTACTAATAAATATGTATAATTTGACTCACCTCTTCTTGGACTTTCATGATTAAAAAGGATTCCATTACATGCAAACATATCATAAGCTTCTCTATAGTTTATAACTATCCAATAGGCATATAACTTAGCTACACCTGTAATTGGAATAGAACATATCATAAGATTCTCTATAGTTTATAACTGTCCAGTAGACATATAACTTAGCTACACCTGTAATTGGAATAGAACATATCATAAGCTTCTCTATAGTTTATAACTATCCAGTAGACATATAACTTAGCTACACCTGTAATTGGAATAGAACATATCATAAGCTTCTCTATAGTTTATAACTATCCAGTAGACATATAACTTAGCTACACCTGTAATTGGAATAGAACATATCATAAGCTTCTCTATAGTTTATAACTATCCAATAGGCATATAACTTAGCTACACCTGTAATTGGAATAGAACATATCATAAGCTTCTCTATAGTTTATAACTATCCAGTAGACATATAACTTAGCTACACCTGTAATTGGAATAGAACATATCATAAGCTTCTCTATAGTTTATAACTATCCAGTAGACATATAACTTAGCTACACCTGTAATTGGAATAGAACATATCATAAGCTTCTCTATAGTTTATAACTATCCAATAGGCATATAACTTAGCTACACCTGTAATTGGAATAGAACATATCATAAGCTTCTCTATAGTTTATAACTATCCAGTAGACATATAACTTAGCTACACCTGTAATTGGAATAGAACATATCATAAGCTTCTCTATAGTTTATAACTATCCAGTAGACATATAACTTAGCTACACCTGTAATTGGAATAGAACATATCATAAGCTTCTCTATAGTTTATAACTATCCAATAGGCATATAACTTAGCTACACCTGTAATTGGAATAGAACATATCATAAGCTTCTCTATAGTTTATAACTATCCAGTAGACATATAACTTAGCTACACCTGTAATTGGAATAGAACATATCATAAGCTTCTCTATAGTTTATAACTATCCAGTAGACATATAACTTAGCTACACCTGTAATTGGAATAGAACATATCATAAGCTTCTCTATAGTTTATAACTATCCAGTAGACATATAACTTAGCTACACCTGTAATTGGAATAGAACATATCATAAGCTTCTCTATAGTTTATAACTATCCAGTAGACATATAACTTAGCTACACCTGTAATTGGAATAGAACATATCATAAGCTTCTCTATAGTTTATAACTATCCAATAGGCATATAACTTAGCTACACCTGTAATTGGAATAGAACATATCATAAGCTTCTCTATAGTTTATAACTATCCAGTAGACATATAACTTAGCTACACCTGTAATTGGAATAGAACATATCATAAGCTTCTCTATAGTTTATAACTATCCAGTAGACATATAACTTAGCTACACCTGTAATTGGAATAGAACATATCATAAGCTTCTCTATAGTTTATAACTATCCAATAGGCATATAACTTAGCTACACCTGTAATTGGAATAGAACATATCATAAGCTTCTCTATAGTTTATAACTATCCAGTAGACATATAACTTAGCTACACCTGTAATTGGAATAGAACATATCATAAGCTTCTCTATAGTTTATAACTATCCAGTAGACATATAACTTAGCTACACCTGTAATTGGAATAGAACATATCATAAGCTTCTCTATAGTTTATAACTATCCAGTAGACATATAACTTAGCTACACCTGTAATTGGAATAGAACATATCATAAGCTTCTCTATAGTTTATAACTATCCAGTAGACATATAACTTAGCTACACCTGTAATTGGAATAGAACATATCATAAGCTTCTCTATAGTTTATAACTATCCAGAACACATATAACTTAGCTACACCTGTAATTGGAATAGAACATATCATAAGCTTCTCTATAGTTTATAACTATCCAGTGGCATATAACTTAGCTACACCTGTAATTGGAATAGAACATATCATAAGCTTCTCTATAGTTTATAACTATCCAGTAGGCATGTAACTTAGCTACACCTGTAATTGGAATAGAACATATCATAAGCTTCTCTATAGTTTTATAACTATCGAGTAGACATATAACTTAGCTACACCTGTAATTGGAATAGAACATATCATAAGCTTCTCTATAGTTTATAACTATCCAGTAGACATATAACTTAGCTACACCTGTAATTGGAATAGAACATATCATAAGATTCTCTATAGTTTATAACTATCCAGTAGACATATAACTTAGCTACACCTGTAATTGGAATAGAACATATCATAAGCTTCTCTATAGTTTATAACTATCCAGTAGACATATAACTTAGCTACACCTGTAATTGGAATAGAACATATCATAAGCTTCTCTATAGTTTACAACTATCCAGTAGACATATAACTTAGCTACACCTGTAATTGGAATAGAACATATCATAAGCTTCTCTATAGTTTATAACTATCCTGTAGACATATAACTTAGCTACATCTGTAATTGGAATTGAACATATCATAAGCTTCTCTATAGTTTATAACTATCCAGAACACATATAACTTAGCTACACCTGTAATTGGAATAGAACATATCATAAGCTTCTCTATAGTTTATAACTATCCAGTGGCATATAACTTAGCTACACCTGTAATTGGAATAGAACATATCATAAGCTTCTCTATAGTTTATAACTATCCAGTAGGCATGTAACTTGGCTACACCTGTAATTGGAATAGAACATATCATAAGCTTCTCTATAGTTTTATAACTATCGAGTAGACATATAACTTAGCTACACCTGTAATTGGAATAGAACATATCATAAGCTTCTCTATATTTTACAACTATCCAGTAGACATATAACTTAGCTACACCTGTAATTGGAATAGAACATATCATAAGCTTCTCTATAGTTTATAACTGTCCAGTAGACATATAACTTAGCTACACCTGTAATTGGAATAGAACATATCATAAGATTCTCTATAGTTTATAACTATCCAGTAGACATATAACTTAGCTACACCTGTAATTGGAATAGAACATATCATAAGCTTCTCTATAGTTTATAACTATCCAGTAGACATATAACTTAGCTACACCTGTAATTGGAATAGAACATATCATAAGCTTCTCTATAGTTTACAACTATCCAGTAGACATATAACTTAGCTACACCTGTAATTGGAATAGAACATATCATAAGCTTCTCTATAGTTTATAACTATCCTGTAGACATATAACTTAGCTACACCTGTAATTGGAATTGAACATATCATAAGCTTCTCTATAGTTTATAACTATCCAGAACACATATAACTTAGCTACACCTGTAATTGGAATAGAACATATCATAAGCTTCTCTATATTTTATAACTATCCAGTAGACATATAACTTAGCTACACCTGTAATTGGAATAGAACATATCATAAGCTTCTCTATAGTTTATAACTATCCTGTAGACATATAACTTAGCTACACCTGTAATTGGAATAGAACATATCATAAGCTTCTCTATAGTTTATAACTATCCAGAACACATATAACTTAGCTACACCTGTAATTGGAATAGAACATATCATAAGCTTCTCTATAGTTTATAACTATCCAGTGGCATATAACTTAGCTACACCTGTAATTGGAATAGAACATATCATAAGCTTCTCTATAGTTTATAACTATCCAGTAGGCATGTAACTTGGCTACACCTGTAATTGGAATAGAACACATCATAAGTTTCTCTATAGTTTATAACTATCCAGTAGACATATAACTTAGCTACACCTGTAATTGGAATAGAACACATCATAAGTTTCTCTATAGTTTATAACTATCCAGTAAACATATAACTTAGCAACACCTGTAATTGGAAGAGAACACATCATAAGCTTCTCTATAGTTTATAACTATCCAGTAGACATATAACTTAGCTACACCTGTAATTGGAATAGAACATATCATAAGCTTCTCTATAGTTTATAACTATCCAGTAGACATATAACTTAGCTACACCTGTAATTGGAATAGAACATATCATAAGCTTCTCTATAGTTTATAACTGTAACTTAGCTACACCTGTAATTGGAATAGAACATATCATAAGCTTCTCTATAGGTGTAATACCACCATTGATTTTCCCCTATTAGTCTTTGTTAAATTTGCACTTTTCAAAAAATTGTGCAGAATTTATCTTTGTTTCAAATAAAGAAATACTTGGCATGAGTAAAGTTTTATCCTGTCCAGTACTATAGAAAAAAATTCACATAACATTTCATTGCATATAAGAAAATAACCATCACTGGAAGTTAACCAATCAAATTTCCCCCCTTTTTTAACCTGTGTACAAGCTTTAGTAACCATGTAACCTCAAGTTTCCAAAATATTCTATAGAAACCCCAAATAAAGAAATAATGGTGCTTTGAAATACCCAAGATATATGTTTATGACTCAGAAATGTTTTACTGCAATGAAATGTAAGATCAATTACCTACAACTGTCAAATTCAAGGGAATATTTTTTTTAGACCTATTTTCGTATGCAACCGGATGTGACGTACTATGATTTGGTGGTATTAAACCTATAGTTTATAACTATCCAGTAAGCATATAACTTAGCTACACCTGTAATTGGAATAGAACATATCATAAGCTTCTCTATAGTTTATAACTATCCAGTAGACATATAACTTAGCTACACCTGTAATTGGAATAGATTTACTCATTATCTATTTCAAGTCTCTATTGGAAACATTGAAATTCTGTTATTTACAACTTCTTTTTTCTAAACATATTACTGGTTTTATGAAAAGAAGCAAAATTGAATTATCATCAGATACCTCAGTCAGATTTTGGACAAAGTATCATAACTTTGGGATGAAGAATCTGACCAAAAGAGATATAGGATAGAATCTGACCATAAGGAGATCTAGGATAGAATCTGACCAAAGGGAGATCCAGGGTAGAATCTGACCATAAGGAGATCTAGGATAGAATCTGACCAAAGGGAGATCCAGGGTAGAATCTAACCATAAGGAGATCTAGGATAGAATCTGACCATAAGGAGATCTAGGATAGAATCTGACCAAAGGGAGATCCAGGGTAGAATCTGACCATAGAGAGATCCGGGATAGAATCTGACCATAGTAGATCTAGGATGGGATCTAACCATAGGAGATCTAGGATAGAATCTTACCATAGATCTAGGATAGAATCTTACCATAGGAGATCTAGGATAGAATCTTACCATAGATCTAGGATAGAATCTTACCATAGGAGATCTAAGATAGAATCTTACCATATGAGATCTAGGATAGAATCTTACCATAGGAGATCTAGGATAGAATCTTACCATAGATCTAGGATAGAATCTTACCATAGGAGATCTAAGATAGAATCTTACCATATGAGATCTAGGATAGAATCTTACCATAGGAGATCTAGGATAGAATCTTACCATAGGAGATCTAGGATAGAACCTAACCATAAGGAGACCTAGGATATAATCTGACCATAGGGAGATCCAGGATAGAATCTGACCAACAGAGATCTAGGATAGAATCTTACCATAGGAGATCTAGGATAGAATCTTACCATAGGAGATCTAAGATATAATCTTGCCATATGAGATGTAGGATAGAATCTAGGATAGAATCTAACCATAAGGAGATCTAAGTTATATTCTGACCATAGGGGATGTAGGATAGAATCTGACCATAGGAGATCTAGGATATAATCTGACCATAGGAGATGTAGGATAGAATCTAACCATAAGGAGATCTAAGTTATATTCTGACCATAGGGGATGTAGGATAGAATCTGACCATAAGGAGATCTAGGATAGAATCTGATCAAAGAAAGATCTAGGATAGAATCTGATCAAAGGGAGATCTAGGATATAATCTGACCATAGGAGATCTAGGATAGAATCTGACCATAGGAGATGTAGGATAGAAACTTACCGTAATGAGATCTACAAAAGAATCTTATTATAAGGAGATCTAGGATAGAATCTGACCATAGATCTAGGATAGAATCTGACCATAGGAGATCTAGGGTATAATCTGACCATAGGAGATCTAGATTAGAATCTGACCATAGATGTAGGATAGAATCTAATCATAAGGAGATCAAGATGAATCTGGCCATAGGAGATCTAGAATATGATCTTACCATAGATCTAGGATAGAATCTTACCATAAAGAAATCTAGAATAGATTTTTCCTATAAGGAGATCTACATTGTAGAATAGATTTTTCCAATAAGGAGATCTAGAATAGATTTTTACTATTAAAGAGGTAAAGGATAAAATCTTACCATAAGGAGATCTAGGATAGAAAGGTGTTGTTTCCTTTTGTGGTATTTCCTGTACTTTCCCAAACATTTCACTGGTAGATGCCTGGTAAAATTTGACTTTACTTGAGAGGTCACAGGTTCTAATGGCATCTAATAATCGTAATGTTCCTACGGCATCTACATTGGCTGTGTATTCAGCTAACTCAAAGGATACCTAAAAAAATGGCAAAAAAGGCATACTGTTATAAAGGTCAGAGTCACTGTTCATGTATGTTAAAAGCCAGACTGAAGTACAACTTTTCTTCTACTTGGTCAAGAAGATATCAACTGTTGTTGCTTTACCTTTTATCAGCTTCATTTGAACTTCAGAATATATCATTTATCATTGATACTATAATAATAATTAATATTATTCTGTAAAACTTATCTGTAATTAATTTTAAAATATAAAATAATGAGCAGTAAATTTCAAACTATATATATACTGTCCTATAGAGCTTATCATCAAGAACACTTAGGAAACACAAAATTTTCAAATAAATCTGTTACTCTAATTATAATTTTGTTAGTTGATAATTACCACATGCTTGTTATCTTGATAAAAGGTGGAAATTATTGCATGAATAAAACAGATACAATTATTGATAGACTATCTATCCATATACTTATTAATTACACCATTTCTGTTCAAAGGGAAATTACTCAAAATAAATAAATCATAAATAGTATCACTTTTGCTACTGAAAGGTCTACAACTCAATAACGAGAAAAGTTAAAATCGTGAAAATTGAACCTGACCTTCATTTAGTCACAGGAAACAACATATCTAAATTTGAAAAGATTTCGTAAAAGCGTTTTTATGTTAATAAACGAACACTGTTTGGCAGCTGCCCGCCCGTCCACCGTACATCCCCAAATCAATAACCGGTTTTTCCTTCAAAAATCCAGTTAATAAAAAATGGGGAGTGTGTTCATGGGACACAGATGATGCCCCTGCTTGCATATAACGTTATGAAGGGACATAACTCAAGAACGGTAAAAGTGACGCTACCCAAATTCATACTTGATCTGAGTTTTATGGTAATAAGCATTGTGTATAAGTTTCATAACATTTGGTTGAGGCAAACTTAAGTTAGAGAACGGAAATGAAAAATTCAGCAATATTTCCTTTTGTAAAGGGGCACAACTCTAGAATGGTAAAAGTGTTTCTACCTTAATTCAAACTTGATCTGTGTTTTGTGGTAATTAGCATTGTGTATAAGTTCCATAACATTTTGTTGAAGATAACTTAAGTTAGAGAACGGAAATGAAAAATTCAGCAATTTTTTCTATTTGTAAAGGGACATAACTCTAGAAAGGTAAAAGTGACGCCACCTTAATTCAAACTTGATCTGTGTTTTGTTGTAATTAGCATTGTGTATAAGTTTCATAACATTTGGTTGAGACAAACTAAAGTTAGAGAATGGAAACCAATTTCGGGACTTACGGACATACAGACGGACAAGGGTAAAACTTAATGCCCCTACCAACATGGCGGGGGCATAAAAGTTCAAATACCTTTTTATTATCTCCTAGTCATTATTGTGCAATTCATTTTAGGTTTTTTACAACATGAATATCACTGAAATATTTTTTATTTTAGAATGAGCTTCTTTCGAAGCTGATTGGGTTCCTCTTACAGATAAATATCCTACCTTTACATGGCTCTGAGCTCCAAGGTTATAAATCTCATCAGGTTTAATTTGACTTATTATTTTCACTAAACATGTACTGTCTGTTAAGTCACCATAATGTAAATGCATTGCTGAAACAATAAATAACATAGATTGTCATTAAAATGTAAAGAAATTTATATACAGAGACCATTTTTTCTTTAGAAACAAAGACAAAGCACTGATTTATAATATCACTCATCAAAAGTTGAATATCACTTTCTATGAAATATGCCCCAGTTATTCAGCTTTAGCCTGTAGTAGAAGTCCACTAATAATTGACTTATGAATATTTCAGACAAGAACAAATAAATGATTTGTTGAAATGACATCATTGATCAAATTATTTATTTTTGTCATCGAGTGCTCCGTCTATTTCAACCTGTTTATGATACTAATATAACAACGATTGTAATCTGTAACTTAATAAAACAAGAGTGCACACGCTGAAATGTCTCGCCTTCTTTACTAATCATTGATATTATGTTGATAGTCCTAAATATAAAGCTTTATTACAACTGTCACATAAACTTAACATTAACCAAGTAAACTAAACATTGACCAATGAACCATGAAAATGAGGTCAAGGTCAGATGAACCATGCTAGGCAGGCATGTACAGCTAACAATTCTTCCATACAACAAATATAGTTGACCTATTGCTTATAGTTTAAGAAAAACACACCAAAACACAAAAACTTAACACTGAGCAATGAACCTTGAAAATGAGGTCAAGGTCAAATAAAACCTGTGTGACTGCCAAATAGATCATAAAATATTTCCATACACCAAATATAGTTGAACTATTGCATATAGTATTAGAAAAAAAGACCAAAACTCAAAAAAATTAACTTTGACCACTGAACCATGAAAATGAGGTCAAGGTCAGATGACACCTGCCTGCTAGACATGTACACCTTACAATCATTCCATACACCAAATATAGTAGACCTATGGCATACAGTATAAGAAAAACAGACCAAAACACAAAAACTTAACTATAACCACTGAACCATGAAAATGAGGTCAAGGTCAGATGACACCTGCCAGTTGGACATGTACACCTTACAGTCCTTCCATACACCGAATATACTAGACCTATTGCTTATAGTATCTGAGATATGGACTTGACCACCAAAACTTAACCTTGTTCACTGATCCATGAAATGAGGTCGAGGTCAAGTGAAAACTGTCTGACGGGCATGAGGACCTTGCAAGGTACGCACATACCAAATATAGTTATCCTATTACTTATAATAAGAGAGAATCTAACATTACAAAAAATCTTAACTTTTTTTTCAAGTAGTCACTGAACCATGAAAATGAGGTCAAGGACATTGGACATGTGACTGACGGAAACTTCGTAACATGAGGCATCCATATACAAAGTATGAAGCATCCAGACCTTCCACCTTCTAAAATATAAAGCTTTTAAGAAGTTAGCTAACGCCGCCGCCGCCGCCGCCGCCGCCGGATCACTATCCCTATGTCGAGCTTTCTGCGACAAAAGTCGCAGGCTCGACAAAAAGTACATGTATATTAAATAATCCCACATTCACACATGCATTGTAATCATGATAATTATTGTTTATTTTCCCAGCTACAAATACACTACAAACAAATGGTAATATTATGATAGTTTTTTTGTCAATGACTTTGATCAAATATTATAACACTGTGTACACCTTATGGGGCTCCAGTAGGATACTTGCCTTGTTTATGTTTAAAAATTGTGTCAGGTCACCAGGTCACTATTAAGAAAATTTAAGAGTCTGATTTGAAGATTTTAAAAGGTCATAGGTCCTTTCAAATGATTTGTCAGGTCGCAAGGTTGGTGCAGGTCTACTTAGACCATGTTGGAGCCAAACCTGATATTGCTGTTTAAAACAGACAACCAACGAATATCTAACAGCTAGAGTAGAACTACATATTAACAGGGATCCAGTACACTATAAAAGTTGTATACTGTAATTTCAGTGTGCACCACATTTTATATGTCATTTCTTCATAGACACAAAAAAATATTACATTCATTCTTTATAATTTAATTCTAAATTCCATTTTTAAGGAGTAAATCACGAAAAAACGTTGGAAGTTATAAATAATAAAAATTAAAAAACTTCTACTGAAAACTGCTACATAATTTTAATGTTGCATGAAAAAAAAACCACTGGGTATCAGTTAACAACAATATCTTATTAACAGATACACAATGTTATTGAGTGTAATAGTTTTACATGCAAATTGTGAAAATTATCCATGATTATAGCATTATTTGATGCCTTAGGCCATAGCAAATTAATTTTTAGATTCTACCAACTTAGGAATGTTCCATTCAAACACACATTGTACCCAGAGAAGGCACTTCAAAATTGGGTAACCACCTATAGAGGCATATTTTGAAATTAACTTTTATTTTCACTTTTCTTTTACAAAAAAGTATTTGACACCCATCCCTAGTTGAGATTTCAAAGTACCTTCACTGGGTCCCATGTACATGTATGTTTTTTTTTAAAGAACAGTACTTAAATGAAACATGACCACAATAGAATTAACTTTATTTCCTAATTTGTCTATCTAATGTGCATGATGAAAATCTTAAACTATGATTTCAGAAAATACAAAATGTATGTAACTTTGGCAATGCAAATTTTACAAGTCAAGGGGTTCTGTTGTGAATGAGAATCTAAAAACTAATATTACATGGTCATACATGAAAATAAATATGAAAAATGCAACTCAATAATAAAACCCTCTGTATTACTTACATCCACCGCCATCTAAATATAGAAAATCTAACTTGTTTTTTAACATGACACAATACGCGTAAATGTTTTTGTTGTTGTTTTAGTCCTTGCTATAGCATGAAAACAGCAGTAAAAGCTGTCAACATTCACTGAAAAAACTTGGTAATAATTTCTCTTTAATACGAACTTCTAGAAAGTAATTGTTATTCTGATTCATATCCATCAATAATTTATTAAGTTTTTGGAAAATATTAGCTATACATATGATATGTGCAGACAACTAAATCTAATAATTTGGTGTATAAGTAACATGGTTAGTATATACTTTACATAGAATGCAACTTTCAATTATTTAACAAAACAGTTATTTAAAAAATATTCCTGAGACACCATCATTCATATATACTAGTATCTAACTTCTCATCATAAGATTTTCTACAATCATGACATTACAATGTGTATATGTTCTAATGAAAGACTAATGTCTTTAAATGCAATTTAAGAAGAATACAATTACTATAATTCTATTTATTAAGTTTGATGGATTACTTCCCCTTTTCTATGCCAAAATGATAGATCTGTCATTTTTACATAGCAATTTTATCAAGTTAGCATTTCTCAGTGTTGTTTAGCTTTATACTTGTCTTCAGATTGAAAACCGTTTGCCCTGACTGTCGTTAATATCTAGCATTAGAAGGAATGATACTGCACCCTAACCCACTAGGCCAATGCTCAAGGCTAGTATAATTTATTCAGACTTAGTAGTATTTAAAACTTTGTTTAGACATGCAATAAAGTGTGGAAATATTGGTCTTGGAACTAGTAGTTGGAAAAGTTTTTGGCAGACTGAGTTTACCTCAGGAATTGGGTTCGTACTTACATCCTTCTTTGTGAGATTTAGGATCGTCATATAAATGTTCTATCCTGCTTGTATTGAAGGTACTTGATCTTCTTATTATACCATGTACCTAAAATTATAATAAAGTCTGTCAGTCTGCAGGCTTCTTAACAGGAAACGAATTTTGTCTGTTCAAAAGTGTAATGGACATGTTTATGACTTGGTTGAAGATTGGATGGAAAGTGTGTCACATACATGTATCTCTATGACAACCACAGTTCCATTTGCCGTAGACACAATCCTATACTAATTTTCCTTACTTATCATCATCACCAAATGTGACTTATATTCACCTGAATTTTTATTTGCCCCAAGCAAAAAGACAGGTACAACTAGCAAAGCAGAAAGTACATTTGTACATACTCATTATCTCCCTTTGACATAACGAGATACATATATGAAATATTTGTTATTGTCCAGGCCTGGGGCCATTACATTGCAATGTAATGCATTACATTACAATTACTTTGTGATTCTTCCATTACAATTACAGTTACAATTACATTTTTTCTAACATGTAATGCATTATATTACAATTACTTTGCCTGTGTAATGCATTACATTACACATTACTTTTTCAATATAAAAACTAAAAACATTTAAAAAACAGATTTTTATAAGAAATTAATAAATATTACCGGGGTATATGTACATATATATACAGTGTTAGTGACATAGACTTCAAATACTTGAAAAATAAATAAATTATCATATAATTTTGTTTCTAACATTGATCACTTAATCATTAAGACATCATAAAGGGATTTCAAAGGGATATAATAAATGTGCCATTAAAGGATTATCTTGTTAAATGCCTGAGGGCTCTGTGAGGACAAACATAAGTTGAGAAGATTTGATTGCAATAAAAACATTTTGATATTAATTAGGTGAAATAACAACCACAGTTTGGTGTAAAAATGTTGATTGACATATTCAATCTTTCATTGAAATACATGTAAGGTGTGTATAGAATTATGTTTAATAATTATTTTTTAGAAGATTTTTTAAGGGCAAAATATTTTTAATGATTTAATACAGTAATTAACTGTCACAATAATTTTATTCAATACTTTCTTTTGTTTTTGTTAATATTTTATTTTTATTTTACTATATTCTTCAATTTTATGTATTTTACCAATTTGTAATGAAAAGTAATGTACAGTAATGGAGGCATTACATTGATTTTTAACTAAAGTAATCATTACATTACATGTAATTGTAATGCAGAAAATGTGCATTACAAATTACTTTGCATTACATCAAATGAATGTAATATTACAATGCATTACAATTACAAATTACCATTACCCCAGGCCTGTTATTGTCTTATATAAACATATTCTTATATTTTCCAAAAGACCAAAAAAGTGAAAAAGTATATTTTAATAAAACGCATTTGACTAACAGGTCGAACAACGGATGTTCTTAAGCCCTGTTGACTGCCATTGGCGATTGCCAAATTAACGGATCACCAGATGTAGCAAAATGGATCTTTATAATTAATTTAATACCAAACAGAAAACAATAAATTTGCTTTGCATGCACACTTTTAAAAATTGCGATTTTTATCCAACGCAATCATAGGTTTGAACGTTGTTTTCAATTTAGACTTGTTGAACATATTGTTATATCTTTCCTTAAGTGCCTGTCCCAAGTTAGGAGCCTGTTATTCAGTGATTGTCGTTGGTCTATGTTCATCATGTTTGTTTTGTTATAAATGAGGCTGTTGTTTTTCTTGTTTAATATTTTTCAGGGCCTTTTATAGCTGACCACGCAGTATACATGGGTTCTTCTCAACGGTGACCTATAATATCCATGTCATTTGAACTCTGGTGGACACATGTCTCATTGGCATCTTATTTTTATATGGATGGAGATATTCTTCCACCTTTAATATAACAATAAAGATATAATTGTTTATTACATACCTCATACCCTTTATCTATCAAAAATTCTGCTAAGTAAGAACCATCCTGTAAATATGAAATGTATATATTTTAGTATAAATAAATTCTAAAAGGGATATTTGCTGCAAAATTTATGCCCACCAAATTTGTACACATTTGATTTAATATTTACCAAAACATAATTCAGAACTGAAAAAAAAAAATTGCCTAGAAAACAGTACACAATGTCTAGAATCATCACCAAATTAATATTGAGCTGCATTGTACATGTATATAAAATAGTTCTCTAAAACTAGATATGATTTAACCACTAAAACATTGTTAGAATCAGCATATCAAAGAACCCCAAGAATTCAATTTTGATGAAATTAAACAAAAAGTTTAATTTAGTACCCTTTGGACCTCAATGTGGAATTATCTAATTAATAATGAAAATAAATACAGGTTTAGATTCAGCATTTCAAAGAACCCTATATATATTCAATTTATGTTGAAATCAAACACAGTTTAATTTTGGACCCCGATTTGGACAAACTTGAAAGCTGGGCCCAAAATCAGTTTTCTAAATATATGTTTATTAATAGACAATATAAGCTTAGTTTTTAAAGGAGTTCACTTCATCAAAAAATAAACTGCTTCGTCCGTTTCCGTATCGTATCTTTATTAACTATGACCCGACGATAAAATCGGCTACAATTAGGTAGTGTCAAGTCCCATCAATATATATGTTCCTGATTGGAATTGATAATGCAATTGAAAAAACTATTTCACTCAAAAAATTACATCAAAATTGGTGGGTAAAAACCTCAATTTGTGAATTCTTATCTGGACCTCTGAATAATTGAACTTTTTATGTAACAAAAGCTAAATGCAAAGGAAATCCATTGAAAAATTAAAAAATTCGTAAGGGTTCCGCCGTACCCAGTGTCTCGCCTACTTTTTCTGTTAATCGCAGGCTCTACAAAAATGAGGAAGTAAATCAATAAAAATATTCACTATCTTTTGGTTGTAAGAAGCTTCAGTCCAAGTTTGGTAAAAATCCAGGATAGTTTATGAATCTAATAAATGTTTAAAAACTTTAACTGCAGACTGAATGTAATTTTATCTGGAAGAAAACAAAATTTCCTTCTAGATACTAGCATTTGATCATAAACAAGCTTCTGTCCAAGTTTGATACAAATCCAAAATAGTATAAGAAAGTTATTAAAATTTTAAAAACTTTAACCACAGAGTGAATGTGTTGTTTCCTGGCAGAAAATCTAAGTCCATTTAAAAGTAAAATAAGGAAAAATAGATTTATTTTTTTACAAAATTTCCTTCTAGATACTAGCTTTTGATCATAAACAAGCTTCTGTCCAAGTTTGGTACAAATCCAAAATAGTATAAGAAAGTTATTAAAATTTTAAAAACTTTAACCACAGAGTGAATGTGTTGTTTCCTGGCAGAAAATCTAAGTCCATTTAAAAGTAAAATAAGGAAAAATAGATTTATTTTTTTACAAAATTTCCTTCTAGATACTAGCTTTTGATCATAAACAAGCTTCTGTCCAAGTTTGGTACAAATCCAAAATAGTATAAGAAAGTTATTAAAATTTTAAAAACTTTAACCACAGAGTGAATGTGTTGTTTCCTGGCAGAAAATCTAAGTCCATTTAAAAGTAAAATAAGGAAAAATAGATTTATTTTTTTACAATATTTACTTCTAGATACTATCTTATGATCATAAACAAGCTTCTGTCCAAGTTTGGTACAAATCCAAAATAGTATAAGAAAGTTATTAAAATTTTAAAAACTTTAACCACAGAGTGAATGTGTTGTTTCCTGGCAGAAAATCTAAGTCCATTTAAAAGTAAAATACGGAAAAAATAGATTTATTTTTTTACAAAATTTCCTTCTAGATACTAGCTTTTGATCATAAACAATCTTCTGTCCAAGTTTGGTACAAATCCAAAATAGTATAAGAAAGTTATTAAAATTTTAAAAACTTTAACCACAGAGTGAATGTGTTGTTTCCTGGCAGAAAATCTAAGTCCATTTAAAAGTAAAATAAGGAAAAATAGATGTATTTTTTTACAAAATTTCCTTCTAGATACTAGCTTTTGATCATAAACAAGCTTCTGTCCAAGTTTGGTACAAATCCAAAATAGTATAAGAAAGTTATTAAAATTTTAAAAACTTTAACCACAGAGTGAATGTGTTGTTTCCTGGCAGAAAATCTAAGTCCATTTAAAAGTAAAATACGGAAAAAATAGATTTATTTTTTTACAAAATTTCCTTCTAGATACTAGCTTTTGATCATAAACAATCTTCTGTCCAAGTTTGGTACAAATCCAAAATAGTATAAGAAAGTTATTAAAATTTTAAAAACTTTAACCACAGAGTGAATGTGTTGTTTCCTGGCAGAAAATCTAAGTCCATTTAAAAGTAAAATAAGGAAAAAATGGATTTATTTTTTTACAAAATTTACTTCTGAATAATATCTTATGATCATAAACAAGCTTCTGTCCAAGTTTGGTACAAACCCAGGATAGTTTAAGAAAGTTATTAAAATTTTAAAAACTTTAACCACAGAGTGAATGTAATATTTCCCGGCAGAAAGTCTAAGTCCATTTATAAGTAAAATACGGGAAAAATGGAATTTTATTTTTACAATATTTACTTCTAGATACTATCTTATGATCATAAACAAGCTTCTGTCAAAGTTTTGTAGAAATCCAGGATAGTTTAAGAAAGTTATTAAAATTTCATAAACTTTAACCACAGAGTGAATATTTGTGGATGCCGCCGACGGAATGTAGGATCGCTATGTCTCGCTTTTTTGACTAAAGTCGAAGGCTCGACAAAAAGTTACTGAAGTTTGAATAAGTCTGACCCTAGAATTTGAGGGCTTTTCATTTCCCCCTTCAGGTCCAAATTTGGCATCAAAAATTTGTTTATTTATCATATTTTTATTCCTTTTACTTAAATATTTAGCTTAACCTTTAATAAAATTCATATTTGAAAAGGAATCTATTGGATAGTGAAAAAAGTTATAGAAATATGAACAAATCGAATCTTATATTTTCAGGTCTATTCAGGTCCACGTTCAGGTCTTAGTGTAACCCGTATAATGTCACAGTACCCTAATTGCACCCATTTAGCAATTTGGGTACCCTCACCTTATAAGCTCCAAAAAAATTGTAGATTTACTCACGAGCGTAGCTATTATCCAACACCCCAAAATTCTGACAGTCCAGTAGTCCGACAGTTCGATAGTCAGACAATTCGACAGTCCGTTAATCCGACAGTCTGATGGTTCGACACGAAGCCGTGTTGCTGCAAAGGATAAGGATCTCGTCTTCATATAAGCTTATTAGTATACTGTCGAAACGCGAGCAGAGGCTTCTTCCACCATAATAACAGACTTCCCGATGTCCTAGCGATTGTCGGATTATAAGACTGTCAGACTACAGGACTGTCGGATTATGGGACTGTCTGATTATTGGTCTGACCCCTATTTACTCAAAACTAAAGACAATACAAATCCTTGATTTAATGAATATGTGAATAAAGGTCAAATTCCTGAAAACCCCCTATAAAGTTATTGAAAAATGTCATCCCTCATTATCATTATGGTATAAACAAGCTTACGCCCTAAAGAGTTTATAATATTCATCATTGCAGTCCGAGTGCGGGTTCTTAAGACTCACGACACTTTTGGCTACACCTGTACAAGATTCTAAATAAACCTAAAGCCGCAGTTTACAGTGTGGATTTTAACAGAGATGTACTTTTTCGTAAATCTGTCGAAATGTTTCATTATAATGTTTAAATTAACACATTACCTGTCCTGTTATACCAGTAATCAAAGCAATTTTCCTTCGGGTAGTTCCATTCGTGGCCATTTTGACGTGTAACGTGTTCAAGAGAAATTTGCCTATAGTCACGTGACGGTATTGTTGTTGTAGTTGTTGTAGTTATGTAAGCTTCCTCCACTGTCTGGAGAACTGTACCTAGTGCTGAATATATGTATTTCACTAGTGATAGTCTCGATATATAAGATTTTATTTAATTCCGGACATCCTAGGAGTTATCCTACTTATCAAAATAAGAAGATGTATTTTTCCTAATTAGAGGATTAATCTGATTACAGCATCCTTTCAGTGTTAAAGACAACAAAACAAATAACCACTGACTTTAGGAAATGGTCATTTGTAACCCGAAGGGGGTGGAAGGAAAATATGGGGGCCTTGAAAATTTATGGGCATGGAAAGGGGGGTGTCCAATTTTTCAATACTTCAGATGGGGTGAGGGGGGATTGGCATTGAACATTTTTTGGTGACCCACACCCACGGCCGACATCAATTTTTTTTTCGCCTCAATTTTTAAGATTCAATTCCTAAGTTTCAACAACTTCTTCCAAAAATGTATTTTTATCTAAAGTTAATTTACCAACTTCTTTAGTAAAGGATATAGTATGAACAATGTTTTGAAATTTGATGAATGTGTGGTAAATGTCCATGAGACCATAGCAAGCATGTTCCTTTAGCCCCTTCTGACGGTGTGATAATACATTTCATCTTGCTCGCCTTGCCCGTGTCTGTAGTTGGTTTTAGATTTCAATGAACATAATCATGTATAACTGGTAATCAAAAGGCACCACAAATTAATTAAACCCTTTACCAATTTCTTTCATATATATATATAAAGATTTGGTCCGAAAGTTTGGTTGCACCTGTAGAATTCCTATTACAAATGGGATATCCCATCCTAATTTTACGGTGATGCTGTTTGTATAAAGCCCGTTAATTTAGACACATTCCTTGTAAACATTTTGATCCCTTTTAATAAACTTTATTCTTAAAGCCAGGTTATCAATTTATAACACAGTATTTAAATCTTTTACTTTGAAAAATTTGGTTCATGTCTGTCATACATGTACAAAAAATGTATTTGTTTTTCGTAAATTGTTTTGTTAGAAATTGACCCGTTAGTTTTCTGGTTTGAATTGTTTAATTAACATTTTTCATGTCGGCCCTTTTATAGCTGACAATACAGTATGAGTTTTTCTCGTTGTTGAAGGCCGTACGGTGGCCTATAATTGCTTATTACCCATTCATTTTAACTCTGTTGAAGGCTGTACGGTGGCCTATACTTTCTTACTACCACTTTATTTCAACTCTGTTAGATAGCTGTCTCATTGGCAATTCTCATTTTATATATATCCAAATAAAGTTCCCTGAAGTCATAAACAACTTTTAATGTCTTTGGAAGGAGGGGTCTTGAATTTATTTTCCTTCCTGAATGTGGGGACACGAAAAAAATCAGATAAATCCCACTGTTTCCTTCCATCCCCAATGAAAGAAAATGATCAGTCCCTTATAAAGGATAAAGTAAATCGGCACTAAACGGTCAATCCGTTTGTGGTAGGGAAGTGCTGCTGAAACTATCCTCTACATATATTTTGAATTAAAAAAAAATAGATAGGCAGCTACCATTTGACATGATTTTTGACAAAAAAAAACTTATACTGTGTAACACAATAGATTTATTATATCGTAACACCAATAGGTCAGTATCATCATTACGCTATACCATTGTGAGATTAACAGATTTAACAAGTATAGCTGACCCATTTAATCCCTTCTGTAAAACATCTCGAAATTTGACTAGTTCAAGTTCCGCAGACACTGATAATTTAATCAGCAATCTTATCATATATTTCATCTTAATTTTCAAACCTTATCATATTTTATCAAGATTGAAAAAGTTACCTATTCCAGCGCCTCATTCCCACTACTCATTACATATTATGGGCCCCCTCGAGAATAAAATGCTTTTTCATACTGAAAATATCCTATTATTATAATTGGGGTCGGACATACTACTCAAAGTTCTATATGTACCCTTCCCAAGGCAGACGTCTCTAATTCAGTGGTTGTCGTTGGTTGCTGTCTGTCATATTTGTTTGGTTTTTTTTTTGTTGAATTATCCTAACTATAAAAATAAGGAGATGTGGTATGATTGCCAATGAGCCAACTATCCACCCAAGTTCAAATGAAGTGGATGTAAGCAATTATAGTCAACAGTACGGCCTTCAACAGTGGGAAAACCCATACCGTATAGTCGGCTATATAGATATAGGAAGATGTGGTATGAGTGCCAATGAGACAACTCTCCATCCAAGTTACATATGCCTTTTTAAGAAAATATCAAATGTCAACATACATTCTGATCTACACACGCTAAAAAATAGCAAAAATGCAATGAGTTTGCAATCTCCGACCACATTCGCTTTTAATTCAGTCGAAAGCTAAAACAAATGTTTTGATATAAAAATAAGTAGATGTGGTATGATTATAATGAGACAACTATCCATCAAATTCAAATGAAGTGAGTGTAAGCAATTATAGGCAACCGTACGGCCTTCAACAATGAGAAAAACCCTTTTAAGATCGCTTTAATTTAGTGTTTCAATTTGACATGTTCCACTGATATTATAAGGTTTGAAGGTATAAAATAATATCTAAAACATAACTAATATGACATATGGCTTATCATGAAATATATTTATTATATTCGAGATAAATCTATAAGTATAAAAAATAAGAAGATGTGGTATGATTACTAATGAGACAACTCTCCACCAGAAACCAAATGACATAGAGGTTAACAGCTATATGTTATCGTATAGCCTTCAATAATGAGCGAAACCCATATTAGGCTTTAAAAGGCCCCGAAATGACAAATGTAAAAAATATGTGATGGGGAAAATTATGCATAATTTTTTTTATAGACACACACACACACACACACATCGAAAAGCTTTGAACAAGAAAAGTTGCATTTAAGGTCAAAGAACAGTAAATGGGCTATGTTACAGATTTTGGTAAAATTATTTAAATTATTATTTTACATTATTTAAAAGGAAATGTTTGAACCAACAATATATATATATATATTTTTTTTTCAAGAAAAATCTATGCATTAAAAATTAAAAACGATGATTTTAAAACAAATTCAACGACGTTTTTTCGCCGATTTAATGTGCTTTCTATTCAAATGTTCATCTATTTTGAAGGAATTCAATCAGTAATACTTCAGAAAATAAAAGAGATGCATTATTTTTTTCGATTTTTAGTTAAAGTTCAACGAGCCAAAGTTGTATGCATAATTTTAAGAAAATCTGTTACATAGCCCATTGCCCATTTACTTGACATTAAAATGTGTAAATATTTATTATGTGTAAACAAAAAAAAACACAAATGTTATGGGAGAGGTTGGTCGTTATCCACCTTTTCTAGAAACAATATGTAATATGTTAAAACAATAGAAACATTTAGAAAAAAACAGTGATAGATTATTATCTGCATCAATGCAGGAATCCTGAGAGTTACATGAGCTGGGCAAATTATCATGGCTAGGAAACATCAACTCAATTTAAATTTGTTTACATCTTGATAAAGATACTTACAAATTATCAAAATATAAATTTAAACAAATATTGTTTCACAGCTGAGACTACAATATAACCATATTTTGCAAAATGAAACATTTTCTGATTTGAGAGATGGTAATAAGAAAAATAAATTGCGTACATATAGATTGTTTAAATTTCAAATCAAATTCGAGCCATTTTTAAATTTAAACAATGAACAAAGACATATAATCTCTAAATTTCGACTTATTTCACATAAATAAGAAAGAGATGTTGGAAGATACAAAAATTTAGACGTGAATGATAGAAAATGTCCACTTTGTAAAAATAACATCGAAGATGAAATACCCTTTTTACTTAAATGTCCAAAATATGAAGAAGAGCGCAAGCAATTTTTAACATATATAGAAGAAAGAGTGTCAAATAGCATTAGCTGATGAGTCTAAGTTTGTCTGGCTTATGGGGTCTGAGGATCCCATGATTATTAAACTTTTAAGTGAATATCTTGTTATACTATTTAAAAAAAGACAGGAATTCCTAAATTGTTATTGTTATTGTTATAGATCCTGTATTACAATTATGTTAGAAGTGGCAGGTGGGTTTATTCCAGTTGGTCGGTATTATGAAACTGGGTTACTGTACTTGTTATATTCAATTCAGCTTTTTATTGCAGGCTTTACGGTGACCTATAGTTGTTAATTTCTGTGTCATTTGGTCTCTTGTGGAGAGTTGTCTCATTGGCAATCATACCACATCTTCTTTTTTTATATTTGATTGAAGGTTCTGACTTTGTTTTGTTGTTTTCCCCCAATTGTTCATTAAAACATTGTAATCATTGTATATACATTTAATGTAATTATTCAGCTGAGCTTTGGGTGCTGTAATTAGCAATAAAACCTATTATTCTATCATATATCCTACTTATTCTCTTTCCAGTGTTACCTGTTGCTCTCGGTTGGTAAGCTATTCTTCTATCCATAGGACTATATGACCACCGATTCCGTATGATCGTAGTTTTTCTAGTAGGCATTGGTGAGGCACAGTATCAAAACCTTTACTGAAATTTAAAATCAACATATGCACTTGTTGGTTCTGGTCTAGGTTTCCTGAGGTTGATATTAATATTTCTTCGATATTCGGTATTCCTATGTCTTCTATATCAGGAAAGTTTTCAAGACCTTCCTTCGTGAATACTGATTTGAATTGATAATGTAAATCTTTTTTTTTTCCTTTACTGTCTTCAATTATTTTTACTCCAACTGTTTTCTTGATTTTTACATATTTCGAGTACGTCTTTCCAAATTTAAACGGGTCTGTTCTTCTTCATTTTCAGTGTTCTTGTAGCCTTTTCTGCTTACTTCTTACATATCTGAAATGAACTTTCTGTGTGTTTTGTCAAGATCGGTGTCCCCCGCAAGGCGTTGCGCGGGGGCCAATAAATGTATAACTATGTTCAGGGTATGTATGAATGACAATCTGATTAAAATATAGTTCTCTGATTTCGTTATACTCATATGAGCACGCGAGTTAATATGGATTAGAATTTTAATCAGATTGGAATGAACGAACGAACGAACGAAAAAACGAACGAACGAGCGAACGAACGAACGAACGAAAGAACGAACGAACGAACTGGACGGACGGACGGACGGACGGACGGACGGACGGACGGACGGACGGATGGATGGATTGTTGAATGAATGAATGAATGAATGAATGAATGAAAATGAATGAAAATGAATGAATGATTTATTATAGTGTAACCTGTATATATACAACAAATACATATAAGTACAATAGTACAATTACAGCATATGATAAAATGTGAATGATTTCAAGATAAAATTATGCAACACTGCGTCCGCGTAAATCCCATCAGGTTTATAATTTCACCCCACTATATACTCAATGTAAATAACACTTTTATAGTTAGTTAATTCTATAATATATTTAAAGCTAATAATACAATAGTAGTTGATATTTTATATTAAAAAAAATATTGTCAGTTATTTCAAATAAACCACTTTAAAATGTGGTATATGAACTATCCACCAGAGACCAAATGACGTATAGATGTAAGCAACTATAGGTCGCCTTCAATTATGACAAAACCCATACCGCATAGCAAGCTATAAAAAGCCCCGAAAATTTATAACAATTCAAACGAAAAAAACAACGACCTGATTTATGTAGATAATAAAACCAAAAACAATTTTTATAAACATCAACAAACGACGACCACTAAATTACATGCTCTTGATTTGGGATATACAGAATGTGGCGGGGTTAAACATGTTGAGGGTGCCCAATAACCTTGAACACAGTGGTGTAACAGCATTAAACATAAAATACTGTAAACATCTAAACAAAAGGCTGGTTTGCTGTTTCAGACCAATAGATCGACACGAAGCACAAAATATAACAAACAAAAAGAAACATATGTATAGTACCGATTTGAGAGGGAATCAGGACAACTCGGACCTTTTTTTGTAGCTTATGTTTACACACCGATTGGAAAAGAAAAAGAAATTGAACATTCACGGTTTTGTTACAAAACTTGGGCAAAAGGTTCTTCGTGATCAAGAAATAGCATCTGAAGAAAAAAGTTTAATTTTTTTTTTATTTTCCTATATTTAACTACTATATGGAATTAGTTTTTGGCGGTTAACAGTGACAGCAGCAATCGCAGACGAGAGATAGTGTTCCAGTGAACCCTTGACGAATGTCTAATATAATCACAGTTAATGTTCTAATTACTGTCGGCTTGTGGATTGAGTACTAGAAGGGTATTTCTAAAAATAAGATGCATTGGTTTGTAATATATACATCCAAACTTTCTTTTTGTTTGTTTTTGTTTTGCTTTTACTCATTTTCGTTATTTACTCGAACCTATATACATTAACTTGGAGATGCCTCGGTGATCGATTGGTTTAAGCAGTCGAACGCTTGATTTTGACCAAACGATGCTGATTGCTTTTTTGAAGAAAAGAAGGGGTTTTAATTTTTATTTTCGCAAATTCTATTATGAGTACAACAAGATTTAGTATTTATAAAAGCAGATATTCGTATTGTTCGATCCTCAAGCTAAACTCATTTTAGAAGACTATTTTAAAATATTGTTAGAAAAATACATCTCTCACTTTTTTATCTTTTAAATCTAAGAAAAGAACATTTATTATCAGAAAAATATTTTATATCAGACAATCTTGTTATAGTAAAGTAACAGATAACCATGCAGAAATATTGTATTAATTCTAAACTTTACTAGTTGATATGTAATAGAATTATCATATTAAAACTTTTATTGCTTTTGACATTGTTTTAATTGACTACATGTAATTATTTGTTTGTAACACCAGATTCTGCCTAGTGATTTTTTATTGTACATACTTGAATAAAAGTTTACCAAGACAGTGGCGGATCCAGAACTTTTCATAAAGGGGGGGGGGGGGGGGCGCTCCGGTCATGCTTCAGTGATTCCTTATATAATCAACCAAATTTTTCCCACGAAAAGGGGGGGGGGCCGGGCCCCTCAGGGCCCCCCTCCCTGGATCCCCCTATGCAAGAGGAAAAGGTAGTCGAAATATTGTATCACTAGTCTGTCAACACTGAGGTTGTGAGTTCGAATCCCGCACGTGGCAGGTGCGATCAACTCCGATCTTAATTGACTAGGATTGTCAGTTTTCCTACCGAAGGTATAGGTGGTTCTCTAGCTCCGAGCACTCCGGTTTCTTCCACCAATAAAAACTGCCCGCCACGTAATAGCACATGGTGCTGAGACTGGCGTTAAACGCAAATCAATCAATCAATTAATCAATCACCCCACACCCTGGGACTATTATACTAATTCAATATAGTATGTCCCAGGTCAATGTAAACTTGGACCTCGGCACTGAATGGATAAACATGTATTATTCATGGATCTCTATAAGATTATACGAAACACAGAATAAACCTACTGCTAAGTATGATTTTGCTTGTCATATAAGAGGGTTTGGATGGGGTTTACAGAATAGAGAAAACTTGACGGGTATAAAAAAAAGTATACACAATGATGTACAAATAATATACATTATAAAGAATTGAAAAATGGGTAAAAAAATGAAAGAAAATAGAGGACCGAATGAGGTTCTAAACTATAAGAATAGAGAATAATGGTAAAAAAATTATTTATAATTGAGAAAAATTACCAAAAAATTACAGAAATAAAGGACACCTCCCCCCTTCCAGACTGTCGACTGATCTGTTAGGGTTAGGGTTAAAACTTTTTTTTATCGTTGTATCAAAAGACCACCTTTCCATGTAGTCACTGGTAACACAACCTCAATGGACCGCTCTCTTGATGGGTATATTAAGCATGGTATTTTGTACTAACAAACTACCCATCTAAAATTCTAAAAATAACATAAGGGGATTACCTGACAAGCTAAAACGAGCACCTGTTACTTTGTTTGATTGGTTGATTCACCGCGTCCGGTTTGTGTCTATCCAATCAAAATTAACATAAGGGAGTTTGCAATTTGTTGTCATCATGGCCAGGTAATGTGACACACGCTATGATTCCAAAATCGATGATTCCTGATAATTTAGCATCGATCGTTATTTAATATTCAGGTATTTTAAACGACAAATTACCAAAGATCAAATGCTTACTTCATCATATACACATGTATTCAATTTTCAAGCGAAATCACCGATTCAAAATAAAAATACCTTAGAAATGACTGACGGTGTACAAGGATTTCTTGGAGAATTGGGACTATTGCAGTACTATGACATGTTTGTGATTAAAGGCTTTGACTCGGAGGATGATTTGTGTTACCTTGACGGCAAAGATTTAGATGCTATGTACATAACAGATCCAGATCATCGAAAACAAATTTTATGTTCAGGTAGGTTTTACAATTTCATGAAATTGATCATACCTGGGCAATCATTCCTGATTAAACCTGTCAAATGTTTTAAACCTCCTTCGTTGTATCATGCTCCGACTTATTTACCTGCATTTGGATGTAGATAATTAGTTTCATTGGCAATATAAAGGTCTTGACTTGACGGTTATAACAGTCATGTTAACAATTATTACATGATAAATATAATTTATGTTTATTTGCAAATGGATTTATAATTTTATAATTTAACTATATATAGGCCCTATATATCAAATACTGACAAGCAACAGAAGAATAATTATAATATACAAGGATATTTATTTTTACAAAAATCAAGAAAAACTTAGACCACGAAAGTAAAATTTATTTTATAATTTTAATATTTGACTACTGTTGCACAGTATAGGGTAATTGTAATGAAGGATACCTCCAGAGATTGATAAAAACTGGGACCATTATACATGTACTAACATTTGTCCCAGATAAAACTAAAAAAAAAAGAGCAGCAAGAATAATTTGATATGCCCCATTGCCTTGCACCATCAACAGAACTTTTTAACTGATTAAATAGGTTAATTAAGTTTTCAGAACAGAATGTCATATCATTGGCTAAAAAATCGGATAAAGTTGACTGTTCAGAGCTCTGAAATTTATGAAAAAAAATTAAGATCTGTCCCAGAAAACAATTTGGTAGTTATTCGACCAAACACGAATATAATAAAAAAAATCTTTTCAGTTCTATGGAATAGCTTACCAACTAACATAAAAATGATCTTCATATTTATGTTTTTTTTATATCTAAATGTTTCAAATATCTTCAAGCCAAGCAGATATAGATTGCTATTGAACATGTTGAACATGAACACTATGCATGATATTAATCTTATGTACATGGTGTATATAAACTCCTTGTTTGTTTTATTTTTTATTTGTGTACTATAATCATATTTGTAATTACTTTATGAGGGCCTTAAGTAATATTAGTGTAAAGTAATTGGGTTTATTATATACTTATTAGTAAATACAGATAAACTGTATGTGTAATACAATCATTGGCAAGCATGCTGTATCAGCCACCCGTGATGATATCGATATCAGCACGGTTGCAAAGGCTTTATCACACCTTTGATCTGTATGACGTCACGTCATCGATGGCAAAGGCTTTATCAAACCCCTTACCTGTATGACGTCATGTCAAACCTATAATCTGTATGACGTCATTTCAAACCTTCTTATCTGTATGACGTCATGTCACATAAAAAACATCTACGTGAGGTATATGTATATAATAAAGTGTATATGATATGGCTTTTTCAATATCACACACCGTATCAACTCTCAACCAATATAATCCCTCGAGCAGAGCTCTTGGGAATATATTGGTGTCTCGGGTTGATACGGATGTGATATTGAAAAAGCCATATGATATTCTCTATTAATTACCATCCTCTTCAAATCATGGATATTATTATTATTATTATAGAAACTTTAAAAAAATGTGTAAGTCTAATCATTAAAATGTAAAATCAGCAACAAATGTTCAGGTAAGTTTATATTTTAAAGAAATTGATAAACCCTGTGAAATCATTCCTGATTAAGCCTGATTAAATGTTTTCAAAGTCTTTGTTGTATCATGCTCAGACATATATATACATGCATTATGCATGTAAACAAAATCTCATTTCAAATATATATATATTAAAGGATATGTTATCTTGATATTATGATAAAGAAATTTGAAAATGAATGAATTTATGATATTAAAATAAGATAATATATATCAACTATTTACCAAGTTTACATAAGAATAAATATAATATAACATTAAAATACAAAAATGGTGTAATTTTCACTGAGGGGTAACTTTATTATACAATGATAGTGCACTGCTGATGAAAAAAAAACATACAATTCATATATATATATATATATATATGTTAATATATATATTATATTAACATTCAAACCATGAGAAGTTAACAGGTTGGGGACCACTTGTCCTACAAAAAACAGGATACAATAAATATCCCAATTCATTCAGGAATAATTCAGATATAAATCTACATAGCAAAAAAATAATTTTGGTTTTAGGGGATATACTATACAAAATGCAATTAATTAAGAGTAAACAACTTTGAGGTATTTTATTTCCCTGATACCTAATTCTGTATGATTGATCTTTTGAAGAATGGAGATTTTCAGAGGGATCAATCATGTGATTCATGTCAATCTAGCAATGTTTTCAGAGGGCTCAATCGGTGAGGTTTTTAGAGTGATCAATCTAGCAATGTTTACAGAGGGACCAATCTAGCAACCTTTTCAGAGGGATCAATTTAGCAATGTTTTCAGATGGATCAATATGGCAAGGTTTTCAGTGGGATCAATCTAGCAAAGTTTACAGAGGGATCAATCTAGCAATCTTTTCAGAGGGATCAATTTAGCAATGTTTTCAGAAGGATCAATCTGGCAAGGTTTTCAGAGGGATCAATCTAGCAAATTTTACAGAGGGATCAACCTTGCAATCTTTTCAGAGGATCAATCTACATGTACATGTAGCATGGTTTTCAGAGGGACCAATCAAGCATTTTTTCAGAGGGCTCAATCTAGCAAAGTTTACAGAGGGATCAACATGATCAATCTAGCATGGATTTAAGATGTCTTGATTTAGCAAAGTTTTCAGAGGCATCAATCTAACAAAGTTTTCAGCTGGCCCAATCAAGCAAGGTTTATAGAGGGACCATGTATATGAAAATAAGGAGATGTTGTATGATTGCAAATGGGACAACTATCCACCAAAGCTCAAATGAAGTGGATGTAGCATGGTTTTTTGAGGGCTCAATTTAGCAAGGTTTTCAGAGGGATGAATCTAGCAATCTTTTGAGAGGATCAATCTAGCAAGGTTTTCAGATGGACCAATTGCAAATGTTTTCAGAGGGATCAACCTAGCAAGGTTTTCAGAGGGGCCAATCTAGCATGGTATTTAGAGGGCTGAATGAAGCAATCTTTTCAGAGGGCTAAAGAAATCTAGGTTTTCAGAGGCCTCAGGGATCAATCTTGCAAAGTTGTCAGAGGGAACAATCTAGCAAGGTATTCATAGGACTCAATCAAGCAAGGTTTTCAGAATGCTCAATCTAGCAATATTTTTAGAGGGACCAATCTAGCAATGTTTTCAGAGGGATCAAATTAGCAATGTTTTCAGAGTGATCAATCTAGCAAGGTTTTCAGAAGGACCAATCTAGTAAGGGTTTCAGAGGGCTCATTCAAGCAAGGTTTTTAGAGGGCTCAATATAGCAATGTTTTCAAGAGGGATCAATCTAGCAATGTTTTCAGATGGATTAATCAGCATGATCTAGCATGGTTTTCAGATGGATCAATCTAGCATATTTTTGAGAGTGATCAACCTACAAATGGTCGACCTAGCAAAGTTTTCCGAGGGATCAATCAAGCATGGTTTTCAGAGGGCTCAATTACTCAAGGTTTTCAGAGGGACCAATCTAGCAAAGTTTACAGAGGGATCAATCTAGCGTGGTTTTTAGAAGGATCAAACTAGCAACTTTCTGGAAAATGAAATTGATACCAAATTAAATGTGCTAGTAATTAACATATGTACTTTGGAATTTTTGGCTGAAATTCAAAATCATAATTCTTTGTGCTGTAAATTTATGTCCCATTTAGTTAATTTAGGTTATTATAGTAGAACCAGGAAATTATAACCCATTTGTTTGAGGGGTCCCAAATTGTTACAAGAAGAAGCGTCCATTACACATTGGTGACTTTTAACAAAAATAAGAGTTTACAAAAATGTAGATATATGTTGCATGGGGGTTTTAGATATATACAACTGGCAATCTGTCAACCAAACATAAAACATAGAACAGGTTTGTATAAGGGAGCTACAATTTGATTTTTAGGGGGGTGGGGGGGGGGGGGGGGGGGGGGGGGGGGGGGGCTTGGATGAAAAATTTTGTCCTGCATTTTTTTTTTAGTTGTAATCTCTGTCCTGCCTTTTTATTTTTCACTCTATTCAGTCCTGCCTTTTTTTTATTAGTTTATCCTGACTTTTTATACATAAATTGCCATCCTGCCTTTTTTTTTTACTCAAAACTCCTGTCCTGCCTTTTTTTCAAATTTCATCCTAGCCCCCCCCCCCCTGAAAATCAAATGGTAGCTCCCTAATATGAATGACAATATCACACATATAGAGATTTTGTTTTTTACCTATATGTATCTGAGCACCTTGAGATTATCATTTACAATTGTGTAAGCTCACTGGCAAAATAATGATCTAGTCATCAAAATAGAATATATAGGGATATGTTCTGGAGTTTCCTTAACCAAATATGTTTGGACATATACAGTGCTTAACCCTAGATGTCCATGAAAGTCAAGGGTAGTAAAAGAGGCAGGAAAAAGAATTATATATGACCACTTATCTATGCAAATTTCATTGTTTTTCAGCTTCTGATTTCCGACCAAGTGAACAATACAAGGTTTTAGATTGGCTGAAACAAAATGGTCTGGAGCATTATTTCCAAAGTTTTGTAGAAGGCGATTACGCCAGTTTGGATGAAATTGAGACACTTAATTTACCAGATGAAGAAGTTTACGATGAGTTAGAAATAACATTACCAGGTCATAAACGACGACTAGAGCGTGCAGGTACCTTTCCAATTTGTTAAGCTATATAAATGTAACTTCCGCTAAACAAGTGTGAATCCAGAAAGCTAAGCCTATTTATTTATCCATTCTTTATGGTGTCCTCTGTTTAAGATATTCAATCAATTTTGCTGATGGTGATTGGTGTAGGTTATTCTCAGAATAACAGTACCACGTCGCAAGCTATAAACCACTCCTAAAATAAGAAAATTTGAAACAGAAAAACAATGGCATAATTTAAGCTATAACATAACACTAGAAATTATTAAAATGTATAAAATGTATGTTCTTTCCAAAGTTTTCTGAATGGGACCAATGTTAAAGACATAACTTAATATAATGGTCTTAAATAATGGCACAGATTTCACAACTAAGCAAAGTGTGGCACTCCTCTCCATATCAGAGAATTTTTATTGTTGAATACTTTTATTTTATTTTTATCTTTAGAAAAAAAATTGTTACTTAAAAATTTGTTTAATATGAAACCCACTTCCATGAAATAATTAAACAACCCTTTTCCATATCAGAGAATTTTGATAGTTGAATACTATTATTTAATTTTCATCTTTAGAAAAAAATGTCTTACTTAGAAATTTGTTTAATATGAGACCCATTTCTATAAAATAAATAATAACCCATTTTTAATGCAAAGTAAAAAGTTATTAATACACTTGACATAAATAAGCAAATAAAAAGACCTGCATTATTTAAGATATAGACTTTTATGTAATTTTCCAATGGTGTTTGGATTTTGTCAGCACATTTTTCTCCAATCGCATCAAATATTATTCTTGATTTACATGTATTAGCATGCACAATTAATTTAATTCACTGATGGGCAATTCCTTTATCAATATGGACAAGTAAATAGGAATTAATATCACTCAAAGACAGGATCAATACACACATAACTATAATCAACATGTGATCATTTTCATTGACATTGTGTGATAAAATAAAACATGATCATTAATATCTTTAATGTTTATCATAATTTGATATTAATCAATATTGTCAACATCAAATTTCATTGATTACTTATGATTCTTGTCAGTTTACATCAATTTAATTGATTGCTCTTTAAAAAATTAGGATGTTTTTATGCATTGTCAATGACAACTGGAAAACAAGGATAAATATTCTTATTTTAAGTTCGTACAGTAGAAAGTTATACTGTTGCCATCAGAATAACGAAAATGGATTCTGAGTCTTAAGTTTTAGACGACTGCTTGTCTGTTAAGATGAAATCAGGATTATAAAGAGAAGGAGTCTGGAGAAATGGTGTGTATGTCAATGAGACAGCAACCCATCGACGGAAATAACCAAATACACATCTATAGGTCAACATTATTAGTTCCCTCCTTCCCACAAATACCGTTTCATATTTTTTTTTTACAGTAATGCTAAATAACCATCATTCTCAAAAGGTTAAGTGAAATATAAAATTCTTATTTGCAGTGAATAGATTACGGAAGAGACACCGACCACTCTTGCCAGCCAAAACTGAAGTGCCTGTTGCATTTGGACGATGGGGAAAGCCAGCATGTTTAGAAGATGCCAAATTTGATTTCCTAATCTTAGATGCTACTGTTATATCAACAAATAATCCTGCAAAATTTCATACTTTTGGTAAGTATTGTAATAAAACATGTTTGATTGAAGCACCTTGGATTTGTTTTTTATTGGGTAAAGATTGCATGAAATGCAATCAAAACCGTATGGTTCTGACTTGATATCTAAATCTTCCAAGGTTAAGCACTACTTTTGAGATACACACAATATAGTGCATTGATCATAACATTCTAAACATCCTATCCATGAACATTTCCAGAAATTTATCAATGAAATATATGCTTAGATATAGTTACAAAATGATGCTATACTTGTCAAGAAAATTACATAACTTGTGCAAGGTGCAGGAATCTAATATCTGTTCTAAAAATATATATGATGTCATTGTTAAAGTAATCTTTAAAAATGGAGTTATCTTCCTTTGTCCATAACTGTAATTGAATCAACTACAACCAATATTTTTACAATGCAATGTTTAATTTTTCTTCCCATTGATAAATTAAAGCAATCTTTACCCTTCAGTGATTACAAGCACTTTGATTATTAGTCCCCTACCGATGAAGTTGAGGGAGACTTTAGGTTTGCACTCCGTACGTCTGTCTGTCCATCCGTCAGTCTGGCAAATCAGTTTTCCACACTTTTTTCTTCGTGCTTGAAGATATTGATTTGATATTTGGTATATGGTTTTATCATGACAAGTTACAGATCAAGTTCGAATTTTGTTTTGGTCTGATGATTTTGTGCAGAGTTATGGTCCTTGAACTTAGAAAATTCACTCAAATAATCAATTTTCCACACTGTTTTTTGTCATGCTTGAAGATATTGATTTGATGATTGGTATATAGTTTTCTCATGACAAGTTACGGATCAATTTCGAATTTTGTTCCGGTCTGATGATTTTGTGCAGAGTTATGGTCCTTGGACTTAGAAAATTCCCTCAAATAATAAGTTTTCCTCACTTTTTTCGTCATGCTTGAAGATATTGATTTGATAATTGGTATATTGTTTAATGGTGACAAGTTACAGATCAAATTCTAATTTTGTTACCGTCTGATGGTTTTGTGCAGAGTTATGGTCCTTGGACTCTGAAAATTCACTTAAATAATCAGTTTTCCACACTTTTTTTGCATCATGTTCGAAGATATTGACTTGATATTTGTTATATAGTTTACACCATGAAAAGTTAAAGATCAATATTGTTCCAGTACAATGAATTTTTAACTGGTAGGGGACTATGTATTGCCATGCAATACTCTCAGAATGCTTGTTATAAGTTATGTTCATAAATTCATATTCTGAAAGTAGTACTATAGCATTAATACACTGTCATACATACCAAATGAAATAATTTCTGAAGCATTCATTATAAATGCAAGTGTATAAATAATATATATATAAATATGGAGCTCAATCTGTTGAATTGAAACTCAATTGAAAAAAATTGTTAGTTGAAAGTAGCAGTAACTTTTGGTATCAGAAATTGGTTTATATGGTCAATATCTTGGCCACTTTTGGGATAATGTTTTTTAGAATCCAAGTTATGACAAAAAAATTTGTCACATGAAGTAAGAAAGAAACTATCTTACAGAGTAATATTTTACAACATAATGCATTTCTTATCATTTCTTACATTGACTGAAGATTAAGCCATTATTAGTATGTGTTATCAGTATGTAAAAAAATATTAAAAACGAGAGAGGATACAAATGTAAATGCAACATGGCAGTTTAGACAGTTTACTATATTCTCTCTCCAGAATTTATGATAGATTCAGGCAGTGATGTAGTGACAGTAAGAGAGGAAGTACTGAAGACCCTTGATTTAGAACTTTTAGGACAAATACACAGTAAAGGAGTACATGGATCTAAGAAAACTAATCTGTACAAAGCTACACTCAGGATTGGTACACAGGAAATGGAGATAGAGGTAGGAATAACAGGGCACCAGTCAAAGGGGATTTCCCCCTCCTCTGCAAGATCATTTTGGTCCATTCATTGTAATCAGTCTCTAACCCTCTTTTGTTGATGTTCCTTCTATGCATTTATTTATTTTTATCAAAGGAATACTGACATACCTATCAATCCATACTGCATAGTCAGCTATAAAAGTCCCCAAAATGACACATGTAAAACAATTCAAACAGGAAACCAGCCTGATTTATGTACAAAACAATGAACGAAAAACAAATATAATATACAGCAACAAACAACAACCACTAAATTACTGGCACCTGACTTGGGACAGACACATACAGAATGTTGCGAGGTTGAACATGTTTGCAGGCGCCCAACCCTCCCCTAAACTGGGACAGGGGTGTAACAGCACAACATATGAACAAACTTGAAAAATCTGTTGAAAAGGGCTTAACTCATCAGATCGATACAAAGCAGAAAAACAAGTAACACTAATGCAGACTGGATGTGGCATGGTATTTATCATCCCCACAACAACAAAAAAAACGTTGTTCTAAGAATACTCACAGTTACTGACAGCTAGTTCAACAAAGCCAATAACAGCAAATAAAAACATCATGTATCTAAGACTGAAATAACAATTGGTTATTGTTAGGACCCTTTTTGCTAAATTAGCAGAGCACAAGCCCTTCCTAATTAAAAATCTTTTACCAACTTGAACAAGGAAACAAAAGACAGCTTATAAATTGGAAAGCCTGTTCGAAATGTACTGGGATCTTCAGGAAGCTAGTGGTTGGTTGGATACTGTTGTTAACATCATGAACATGAATGTTCTAAAATGTAAAGTCAAAGATCTTGTGTAATTTCATTCTTTTACTTTATAGATCTTGTAAATACATGACACATGGCATGAAAAGATATACTTTTATTTATGGCTGAGATTCAACGTTTAATTCTAAAAATTGGTGAAATGTTGATATACATTTGATTTTTAATGCCATTTTGGTCCCAAATTGTTACTTGACAATCCTCATGATTATATCTTTATTTTTGTATTCATTAAACCATATAACCAGATTATCTTTTCTATTGCAGGTAATGGGTGAGACCTATGATTCTTTAGGGAGTCGTGTTGTTAGACATTTTCGCCATTACTTGGATGGTAGTCGACACGTTTGGTTGAAAGGAAATTACAGGGATCCAGGAACAAATATACGAGAGGCCTCGTCCGACCTAAAGGCATTACTCCCCCCTGAAACATCATCCAATAATTCATTTTCACCAATATCATTGGCAGGCATTACAGACACTTCATCAGACCAGAAGACATTATCTCCCCCTGATACATCATCAAACATATCATTCTTACCAATATCACGTGCGCCAGTCACTGTCACATCATCAGAGTGTTTAAGGAAACCTACTCCTTTGCCTGCAAAGACAGTTTCTATAGACAGTGATCATAGCAAGCTAGAAATCTGTAATAGTGATGTGACTTTATTATCAAAGCAAGATACTATAGAAATAACAGGGGAAGATAATCCATCTTGATGAATGGAATTACTAGTGCTACAAACTATCTGTGATACATATAGAAACTCTTCAAATACATTTTTATGAAATTTTGATACATTTACAGAATAACTTTTAATCTAAGACAAAATTATTTTTTGAAGTAGAGTAAACTTTGCTACATTTGTGATGCCATCCGTCCACATCAATTTTGGGTTGTTCTTTCTTTTAGATTTAATTCACTATTTAAAAGTCAAATTAGTTGATATTATTTAAACACTTTACCAGAAATAAACAGATTATGGGGTCTGCTACATTAATATTTTGAGGTCAAGGCTGATTGGTGATATTTCTGACCAAACATGTTTTGGAGGTCAGTCCATTTAACTCAATACTGTAAACCAACTTATTTTTTGTATACTGTAAATTCAGAAATTATTGCCTGCATTTATTATTGCGATTTTTGAGAAATGGACAAAAATGCGAGATTAATTATTGCGATTTTAAGAAAAGCTGCTTAAAGACATATGTACCAGATATCAGAATGCGAGTTCTAATTATTGCGATCCTCACCCTGTCGCATTATTCGCAATAATTTCTGAATTTATAGTATACGCGTTTTGTTGTATCTTGCCAATTTTGCAGCAATAAATATTTTTATGATTCTCTAACTTAGCGGGGCCTCGTTGGCCAAGTGGTATAAGTAGTTCTACTACTGTAATCACTAGCCAGTCAACACTGAGGTTGTGAGTTCGAACCCCGCTCGTGCAGGTGCACTCGACTCCAATCTTAATTGACTAGGATTGTCAGTATTCCTATCGAAGGTCAGTGGTTTTCTCCGGGCACTCCGGCTTCCTCCACCTATAAAAACTGACCGCCACGAAATAGCCCAAATATGGCGCTTAAAAGTGGCGTTAAAACACCAACAATCAATCAATCTAACTTAGCAGTCGTCCTAAAGGTGATTTACTGGAACATTATTGTTCTTATTATAAAAGTAATGCTAATAAATAATTTAACTGTCTTGAGAGGAGATGTATTATATCACACTTGATGTAGTGGGAGGGAAGAGATACAATTCTTAGCATTAGAAAAGAAAAATCTAAACATATATATATATATAAAATAGAAGATTTATAATACTGTAACAGTAAATGGTTTCCACCTCAAATATTGTTCCAAAATGTGCACTCTCAGACCTGGGACTTTTATACTATCTAATAATTATGTTAGTATAACAGTCCCAGCTCAAACATAACATGGATAGAGTCAGCTATTTACTTTAACATAGTTAAGTTAGTATTTAAATCAAGTATGAACCAAGGCTTACAAAATGAATAAGTGAAATTTCAGTTTTATTCTTAGCAAAATATGAATAAGACCTATTTTCTGAAGACAGTTAAACTGATTTGTTGTTATTATAAATCATATTCCATCCCAGTGTAGTATATAAGTTTTGTATATGTAGTTTTATTATTGATATTGTGTATGATAAATAGAGAATATCATATGGCTTTTTTCAATATCACATCCGTATCAACCTGAGACACCAATATAATCCCAAGAGCTCTGCTCGAGGGATTATATTGGTTGAGGGTTGATACAGTGTGTGATATTGAAAAAGCCATATCATATACACTTTATTATATACATATACCTCACGTAGATGTTTTTTATGTGACATGACGTAATACAGATAAGGAGGTTTGAAATGACGTCATGCAGATTATAGGTTTGATATGACGTCGTACAAATTAGGGGGTTTGATAAAGCCTTTGCAACAGTAACTGCAATCGATGACGTGACGTCATACAGATTAAAGGTGTGATAAAGCCTTTGAAACCGTGCTGATATCATTATCATCACGGGTGGCTGATACAGCACGCTTGCCAATGATTGTATTAAACATACAATTTATCTGTATTTACTACTAAGTATATAATAAAAGGTGATGTATGTTAGTGTGAATGAAATATTACAAAAATAATTATTTATTTTTGACCTACATTTATTTGTTAATTTATGTTTTAAATCAATGTATATGTTTGTTTATTGTGATACATGTATTAGATATTTATATGAAGTATGAAGATGTTTGTTTATTGTGAAACGTGTATTAGATATTTATATAACATTGTTGTCTAATTATTAGAGTCTATGTGATACAATAAATAGTTTAAAAAGATTCGTTTCTGCTCTATATAAAAGAATATAATTGGTTAGTACTTCTGTATAACATGTTAACCACAAGGAGTAGACCATGGTTGCCCAAATTCAAACTCTGTCTGAGAGTTTTGGTTCTTAGCATTGTATATGAGTTTCATAAAATTTGCATGAGGCAAATTTAAGTTAAGAGTGGAAACGAAAAAATTTGCAATTTATCAAGTTGTATAAAGGGCATAACTCTAGAACAATAAGTGACTGACTGCCCAAATACAACTCTGTCTGTGAGTTTTGGTTCTTAACATTGTGTACAAGTTTCATAAAATTTGCATAAGGCAAACTTAAGTTAGAGCACGGTAAGAAAAAAATTACAATTTTCCAAGTTATAAAATGGGCAAAACTGAAGGACATCAGACTGACAGTCAAGGGTAACACCTAGTGGCAGGGGCATAAAAAAAAACAATTAGCCTATGCAAACTCTGTATGTTTCACTTTGATATATTATATGTTCAATTTAAAACAAAACCAATACCAAGTCTTGATAATGCGTCGCTGCAGGTAATATTGATTGAGGTAATATGTTTACTGGAGCATAACTGATCATTCCCTTCATTATCTGTTATCATCTGGATCAATATCTAAGGGCAACAAATTCATGGAATGCACATATGTCAACCAACTTATTTTTGCTTTTAACCCTTTCTATATATACATATATAGCTAACCATCTTCCTGGTGATTTTTTTTTCATAAATATCTAATTTTGTTGATGAAAATCTTATAAGGGAATTTCCAAATATGACATATCATTGACCAGGGACCGCCGTGCTGGGCTTTGCCAATGTCGCAAATTGCTATTTTTTATTACATCTGGCAACAAAATATGGCTGCTGGTGATATTTCTGCCGCCAACATTTGTTTCCATTTCTTGACTGTAAAGCTAAAAATAACAATTGTCTTTAAATAAGTAAGAATAAAAAATCAAATAGTACGAAATTTTACTTGGCAACAAGTTTATGACTTTGTTTACGACCACAAGCTAATCAATGTTCACAACAGGTGTCATTATCTGTTGTTACAGGTTATCCCCTTATTTGATGAGTCATTCATTCAAATAGAATCGGTTAGTTGGCATTTGTCATTTCGTATTGAAGAAATTTTCATACAGCAACACAATTTGCAACCAACTGTAGTTTCATGATGAAAATGAAATTGACAGAAAGCATAATAAACTTATTAAATAAATGTGGATAGTGTCCACATGTGGACACAGATGATGCCCCCGCTTGCATAGCATATAGTTATAAAGGGACATAACTGAAGAACAGTAAAAGTGACGCTACCCAAATTCGAACTTGATCTGAGTTTTATGGTAACAAGCATTGTGTGTAAGTCTCATAACATTTGGTTGAGGCTAACTTAAGTAGAGAACAGACACTACAAATTCAGCAATTTCTCTATTTGTAAACACGCATAACTCTAGAACGATTGTGTATAAGTTTTATAACATATTGTTGAGACGTACTAAAGATAGAGAACGGAAACCAAAAATTCAGCAATTTTTATGTTTATAAAGGGACATAACTCAAGAATGGTAAAAGTGTTCTCACCAAATTTCGTACTTAATCTGTATTATGTAGTAATAAGCATTGTGTATAAGTTTCATAACATTTGGTTGAGGCAAACTAAAGTTAGAAACCGGAAACAAAAAATTTGTACTTGGTCTTAGTTTTGTGGAAATGAATATTGTGTATAGGTTTCATAATGTTTGGTTGGGGCAAAATTAAGATACAGAATGGAACCTAAAAAATTTTGCAATCTTTCGAAAGTGACAATACCCAAATTCAACTTGATCTGTGTTTTATCAGTGGAAGTCAAAATTAAACATTGCATTGTATAAAGCATTAATTGTAGTTGATTCAACTATAATCATGGACAAAGGAAGATAACTCCAATTTTAATAAAATGCTTCGCTGGGGCGCAGCTTGATACGACCGCAGAGGTCGAACCCTGAACAGTTGGGGCAAGTATGGACACAAAATTCAAGCTTGATACAGCTATGACTTTGGATTGTCATTAAATATTTGACACAGCATAGATTTCTGACACAGGATGAATGTGGTGTAAGAACTGGAAAAAATTTAATTTACCTATTATGGTGGAATATCCATAAACTAAATTGTTTGTTAATTTCAATATATCAAAGAATATGTAGAATTCAATGTTTGATGTAATGTAATAAAGTTGAAATTTGGACCGTTTTTGTTCAATGTGGACCAATTTGGTAACATGTATAAATAATCAAAAATCTAAATACATGGGAGCCCATTTAAATACATCATAAAGGTATTAAAATAGAAAGTGACATCATAGTCATGGCTAAAAATAAACAAAAATCCTTAATCAGCAACATTTAAAGTAATATCTAAAAATAAAATTCCTTTGTAACCATAAAAGCCCATTTAAATACATCATAAAGATATTAAAATAGAAAATGACATCATAGTCATGGCTAAACATAGCAAAAAACCCTTAATCAGCATCATTTAACAGTAATATCTAAAAATGGAAATTACATCATAAAGGTATTAAAATAGAAAATGACATCATAGTCATGGCTAAAAATAAACAAAATCCTTAATCAGCATCAGCAACATTTTATAGTAATATCTAAAAATAAAATTCCTTTGTAACCATAAAAGCCCATTTAAATACATCATAACAGATATTAAAATAGAAAATGATATCATAGTCATGGCTAAACATAGCAAAAACCTTAATAAGCATCATTTAACAGTAATATCTAAAAATAAAAATTTCTTTGCAACCATAAAAGTAAAATAGAAAATGACATCATAATCATAGCTAAAAATAAACAAAAATTTTTTTTATTGGCAAATTTTAAATGGAGTTTATTATACTAAAACAATAAATTTGCAACCATAAAAATGATAAAACCCCATTTAAACACATCATAAAAGTATTAAATAATTCAACTACATCATAAGGCTATAACAATAGAAAATGACTTCATAGTCAAGGCTAAAGGTAAACAAAAAACCTTCATCAGCAAAATTTTATATTGGCAAATTTCCAATGCATTTATTAACAATAAAGTTATTGGCAAATTTCCAATTTACATAATTTAAAAGCAGTGTAGATGAGATATTTAAATGAGTTTTAATTACCAACCTTACACTGCTTTTAAATAATGTTCTTTACTCAATTATTTGTCTATTAAAATGGAAACCCTTGTTTTTTAACCTTTTTTTCCCTTATTCCTTAAATATTAGAGCCATAACCACCCCCCCCCCCCCCCCCACCAAACCCAATTATTACTTTCCAATGTAACCTAAATTTCCAATATACATAATTTTAAATTTCAGTTCCTCATGATATATAACCGTATCATTATTATTTTCTTTCATATATAAATCTGAAACAACCATCTTTAAATGGAAAATTTTAAAGAAAAAAAAAGGAAAAAAAAAAATCCTACCCCCCACACATTTTTCAACCCCTTTTTGATTCATCATCCCCCACCTCAATCACAACCTTCAATTTGTGGTATGGTACATTGCAATACAATTTCACAGAGATCCATACACTTGAACACAAGTTTTTGTTGCAAACTAAAAAAATCCTTATTTTCGACCAATATTTGGCCCCTTATTCATAAATGTTTGAGCAATTAACCCCAAAACTCAATTCCTACTTTCTCTTCGTGATAAAAAATAACTAACTTAAAATGTAAATTTTAAACAAAAAAAAAAAGGAAAAAAAAAAATTACCCCTTTTTTGACCCCCGCCCCCCTTATGATTCATCACCCCCACCCCCCTTTCCCCCCAAACCAAGCTCAATAACAGCCTTGCCTTTGTGGTATGGTACCTTGTAATACAATTTTAGAGAGATCCATACACTTGAACACAAGTTATTGTCTAGAAACTAAAAAATGCTTATTTTAAACCCCTTTTTAGGCCCCTTATTACTAAACGTTTTGGGCAATTACCACAACACTCAATTCCAGCTTTCCCTTTGTGAAATGGAACCTTGTAGTAAAATTTCAGAAAGATCCATACACTTACACACAAGTTATTGTCATGAAACTAGAAAAATGCTTGTTTTTTGCCCCCTTTTGGCCCCTTATTCCTAAAATTTTGAGGCAATTAACCCCAAAATCAATCCCAGCATTGACCCTTTGTGATATGGAATCTTGTGGTACAATGTCAAAGAGATCCATATGCTAACACACAAGTTATGTCTGGAAGTTACAAAAATGCTTATTTTCGGCCCCTTTTTGGCCCCTAATTCCTTAACTGTTGGTACCATAACCCCTAAAATCAATCCCCACCTTCCTATTGTGGTATTGAACCTTATGGTAAAATTTCATAGAGATCCATTCACTTAAACTAAAGTTAGAGTGCGAAAACCATTGTGTATTCGGACGACGATGCCGGTTGACGACGACGCCAACGTCATACCAATATACGACCTCAAAATTTTTTTGCGGTCGTATAAAAATTACTTGATATTTAGAAGAAAATAAAAATTTTGCAATTTTTCCATTTATAAAGGGGCATAACTCTAGAACAGTTAAAGTGATGCCACCAAAATTCAAACTTGATCTGTGTTTTGTGGTAATAAGCATTGTGTATAAGTTTCATAACATTTGTTTGAGGCAAACTTAAGATAGAGAACGGAAACTAAAAATTTTGCAATTTTTCCATTTATAAAGGGGCATAACTCTAGAACGGTTAAAGTGACGCCACCAAAATTCATACTTGATCTGTGTTTTGTGGTAATAAGCATGGTGTATAAGTTTCATAAAATTTGGTTGAGGCAAACTCAGTTAGAGAACGGAAACCAATTTTGGGACGCTACGGCGGGGGCATAAAAACATCCTTTTACTTGTATTCCTTTAAAAATGTTAAATTCAGATGTAATTTGTCTTTGCCTGCCCTCAATTTGACAATGTGAATTCTGCTTTATTACTTATCCTGAGGGTAACACAACAAATCAATTGCAAATATAAGTTGGTTTCCAATCCTTGTATTAAATAAAGCCAAAAAACATAAGCATATATTTATTGATGTTAATCAGTTAATTTGTTGATGTGACATAAAACAATTTACAATAACAGTATACAGTTTCCTGTAATAAAAATGCATGTTTCTTGACTAACAAATATCTCCCTTTAACAAACAAAGCAATGGTAAAAAAATCAAATATAAAAATTAAGTATGAATGGGACTACATAATTAAGCCTGTATAAAAATCTACAAATTAATTGATTTCTTCATTTAATTAGCTGCCAAAATGATATAAAATTGATTTTTCCTGGTTTTGGTTCTTCCTTTTTGAATGGTTTTAAGTTATACCAATTCCTTCAAATCCTTTCTGAGATAAGATTTAAAAAGTTGCATTCATGTTAACTAGTATCTCACTTGAGCCAGTTGCATGGCAACCAGCAAGTGCAATGACCTTTTCATTATTCTGGTCAGTTTGGTTTTCTCATTAAATCTATACTATTAGGCTTAAAATGGTAATGAGCATCAATGTGTACAGGCTATTACATCAATGTGTATAGGCTATTACATCAATGTGTACAGGCTATTACATCAATGTGTACAGGCTATTACATCAATGTGTACAGGCTATTACATCAATGTGTACAGGCTATTACATCAATGTGAACAGGCTATTACATCAATGTGTACAGGCTATTACATTAAAATGAATCTTCCTACAACCAACATTCTTTCTTTGAGTAATTTTACATAATCCATTTTGATAATGATGACGATGATTATAAATTGGTGTTAAACCAAACATGCACTTAACCCTCTTTCACAGTCACATTTTAGAACCTTATGATCTAAAACTTCCAGATTGCTTCCCAAAACATCTGTTGATTTTATCTAGGATAAAAAAAAAGTGGCAGTAACCAGTCATCTCCATGAACTGGTACAAGTTCAAGGGTCTTATGAACTTAAAAATAAAAGAAGGTCAACAAGAACAAAACTAAAATAATATCTGTAATTACTCATTACACAAGTAAAAACAAAATATCAGCACTATGTTCTTAAAGTCAACTAAAAATGATGATTTACAAATGTGAATAGATATTCAAAAGATGTGGATTGAATGCAAGCTGATCAGACACCATTGTTTGCTGTTTAAGTTTCCCATCAATATTCCAAATGGAAAACTACAGATTTATTCCATTTAAATTTTTACCAAAGTTACAGCATTTAAGAAGGTGGTACTTTTCCTGCAAAATTTGCATATTTTAAATTAATCAAGATAAACCATATATTGTTACTAATAAACAGAACTTTCATTTGTAGTCCTCTTACACAAACCTTCAAATGAAATATTAAAATCAGAGTGTAACAGAGAAAAATAACATAGTAGTTAATACATGACTTGAAATGAGAATGTTTGTTTCATGAATTTGTCACCATTATATTGCAATAATTCTCTTTCACCTTGGTCAAATGAAGAAAATTATATCCCTGACAATAATTTACTTTAATATTAAATGCAGATCTTGCTACAAGAAATTGAGTTGAATTCCTTGAAAAATAGTGGGTAATTTCCTTTAATATACCAACAAAGGGAGACAATTTCCTTTAATATTACCAACAAAGGGAGACAATTTCCAAAAATCAAAAACTATTCCCTTTTATAAACATTTCTTTAATAAAGTTGATATCTTGCATACAATCAGGGATTGATAAAATGTTGGTTATCCTACATGAGCATGTGTTTTGTTAACATAGAAAAGCCATTGCAATTTATAGTTCATACTTAGGTCCTTTCAGTTTTTCTAACATCTTGTTTTGATAAAATTTGTAAATTACTATATCAAGCAATTCACTAAAATAAAATACAATTGGTGATCAAATTATTCATAGTATACATTAACTTTCATGGATAACATGGGTATATTTCAACCACAAATTTAAATGTTCAATGAAGTACAGATTTTCTATAGGCTGGTCTGAATATTGACATAACAATGAAATCAAATATCCACGAAAATACAATTTTTCACAAATCCATGAAATATGTATCCAAGAGAATAAATAAATCCAAAGAAGCATATAATTCATAAACCATTAAATAATTTTTCATTTTCAAGGGAAATAACTCCAGAACAATATTGGTGCCAGATCATAGGCAGAATTGATATTGATGAAATATCAAAGTTGAAAATCAACACAAAAGTATAATATTTAAAAGAAGTTTTTTCAATGGACAGAAAAAATCTATTCTCCATTTATTCAGCATCATGATAATTTCATATGAGTAAAATATGGTAAAATTGCCATTTTAGAATTATTATTTATGATAATCAATCCAAAATAATTAAAATATTTGGAAGAAACTAATAATATGAACAGACGATTATAATTATGGATTTTTGTAACATTTCAATGATTGTTAAAACACAATTGCACTATTTAAAACATGTATCTTTTTTGATCTATATACAATTAAAATTTCATTTACATATCATATATTATCTATGTACAATTTAAATATTCAACATTATCATTCCTATGTGTATGGACAATATTTACAATGGATTAAAAAATCTAAAATAATCAAATCTACATTCATAAAAAAATCCCTCTATAAAATTCTTAACATATCATATACTATTTCACTTAAAATCAACAAACTGAGATCAAGAAACAGTGAGATTAATACTCTAAAATCTGAGGTCAAATAAAAACAAATCAGAGATCATGATCACTGTTTGTTCCTAACAACTTCTCCAATGCTATTTATAGTACAAATATATTGAATCAGGATATACTGAAAGAATAATGGAACAAGAACTAAATATTTCAAACGATCTGCTGTTGAAGACTGTACATTGCCCATTCTAAGTTTTCATTAAATTTCAAACGTCATTGAGTTACCATGAAAATCCTTCAAGTAATGCATTATAAATCCATTACATTGGTCAGTAAACATGCCTTTTTCAGGTTGGTCAGTAAACATGCCTATCTCAGGTTGTTGGGTTGTTTCATTGAGGTATACCCAAAAATCTCCCATAATGAAATTCAATTGTATTATCAATAGCATTACACCTTATAAGGGCTCACAAATAATGTAATATATTTCAACAAAAAAAATGCAACTCTTTTAAGGAATTTAAACGTAAGCAACAACATTTCCCAAAAAGACATTTTAATCTTCAGCGAATGAAACTAACAGCTTTCAAGTTTTAAGAGATTTCTCCTAACAATGGGCTTTATTTGACCTAACCAATGATGCAGATCTAAAGTCAGGAAACAAAATGCCCAATCTAGAAAAACATTACAACAGTTAATTAAGCAGTACACTGAATATTTACATGTCATGGTTTTATTAAAGTGTTCAGCTAGATAAAATAATGTTTTATTGATAAATCTCCCTGATATTTCTGGTTTTCTGTCAAATGATAAGTAGATGTTGAAGTGAATAGTTCATGTTCACACAACAAAGTAAAATTTCATATTTGTTGAAAACAACAGAATGATAGGTCTTATTTGTATCCAAATGTTTCATGTATTCATTCTAGATATTACAGTATGAAAAACCATCATATATTTTTCTTTGCTCATGAAATGATGGAATATCATAAAAAAAAAGTATTTTTGGTTTACTCTATCAATCCTTTCCTATATCCTTTTGTTCTATTTACTTTTTAAGATATTCATAAAATCTTCAAACTCTTGACACAATAGGTTCTTTATGACCCTTTTCCTATAATTATATGATGTTTTAATTAAGTAGTTTTTACCATTAACCATTCTAGTAGTAATCTTTTATATCATCAACTTCCCCTTTCCTGACAAATTTTGACATCATGAAATGTTCCTACATGAAATTAATAACAATTAACATGATGTAATAAAGTAATTACATTAAAGCATGAAGTAATTACTAAAACACTAAGTGTAAATACATCAAGAAACAATGAGGTATTCTGAATTTTTGTTATTTCAAAAGTTCTCTCCCATAAATTGAATTTAAAATTTAGTGCAAGGAAGATGTTGATGAAACCTGTCTAAATCATAATTCTAAGTAGAATGCACTCTTGGTAAGAAAGTAATATTCTTTAGTAAGATAACCTATGTATACCAAACACCTGTCTTATTTGAACAAAATTATCAGTCCTCAATGTGTTCCTTTTAAACATATTCCCATGTATTACAATTTTGTACAATTGTTATTTTCAGGATATAGAATAATTTCTGAGAAAACTTATTAAATATAATAGTGTAAACCTATAATAAATCATAAGTCCAAGTGAACATTAACAAGGGATTAAGGAACCAAAAAACTATGTATAACATCTCACGAAAAGTGGAGTAACTCTTACTACCATAAAAGACAAAAAGAAATTAATAATCAGCTGAATATTAAGAGTCACTTAAATTGTTTTAAAAAACCTAATTTAGATTTCATGTTTGCTTCTTTGAAATAACCTAAGGCATTCAACCAGCAGTGTATTTAACATCAGATCAAATTAAAAATCTTCTTACTTGACATATTATATATCTAATAAACAAACACAACCATAACATCAAAACATATCTCAAAACAATCAATAACTCTGATTTCAATGTAACCTCATTTTCTTGACTAAAAAGGTCAAAGATTTATACATCATTTGAGTGTTTAATGTTGATAATACATTAAATATATATTCCTGATTTCACATCCACCTTCAAAATCTAATGTGAAATATTATTTTTTACAACTGAAATTCTAGGACCATGTTTATTAAGTACACAAAAACAACAAAATGGCATCATTTTAACCTCATCTCGTGTTATCATTTTTCGGCAACAAAAATAACCTAGTATTATTTTACTTTGTTTCATACTGTTGCATTTTATTAATTTGGTAAAGTCAAACATAAGTTGAGTAAACAAAAAAAAATCTTTGAGGGTAATCAAAACATAATAAGGAAATCGTTTTCAAGAGAATTAGCATTGATAATTCATAAAGTACAATTTCCCTTTAATTGGATATTATGGTAGCTATGCAAATGTATGATGTGAAAATTTTCAAATAAGTGCTCAAGAAGTTTTACGAATGATTAAACCTTGCATTTTTTGCTTTTGAAAGTTTTTTAAAGTCTTTATTTCTATATTGGGAAAGTACATTTGAAAGTGCTATTTTGAAACGTAACAAAACTGAAAAATTTCTATATTACATTGGACACTTCATGAAGACTGAATACGGAAAAAAACAAATCTGATTATAACAACATTTATAATTTCATATTGGCAAAAATACAAGATGCGGTTTTAAAACTTATAACATTCGTTTGTAGGAATTCATCTGATTAAATGAATGGATTTTTTTTATACTATAAATGAAAAAATAGTCTAGACCGATTTCCTCGAGTGTGATATAATAATACAGAACAAAAGGAATTGTCAGTAAATATTAAGTCTACACCTCAGACGAGTCCATCTGTTATTAAGTCTGCACCTCGGACGAGTCCATCTGTTCTAAAGTCAGCATACAAGACAATGAATATCCTTCCTATATAAACTATTACACAAAATCTGAATATGGTTTTGTTATATCTTCATATTTGAAATGAAGTCAAAATAATTGCTGTACATTAGTACTTTAACAACAAGTAAACATTTTAACACAACAAATAAGTCATTCCATTAAGTATTTGTTCTCCATAACAAGCACCGACTCAATAAATAAATATACATCTCCACATTTAGCTGCCATTTATAATAGTACGCCACCATTTGTCATACTGTGTCTTTAGGTTTTGATGCTAATAACAGTTCTTTCAATCTCTCTGGCGTTGGCCCCCATCGTGCAAAACCAGCAGAATTTTGTAAAAATATAACTAATGTTCCATGAGCTGATTTCATATTCACTTCCTCTCTAAATTAAAAAAAAAAAAAACTTGGTAGTGAGTTAATTTTTAATAAATTCAATAAGCATAGTTATCTATTTCAATGAGTATCAAAGAATATTAACCACATTTTTTGTACATTAGTTTTTAGAGAAATCACTGTACCACACTTGTGGATGCACACATGAGACATAAGAACATGACATACTTTTATATCATATATATATGGTATCAATGATTCTTCACATATCATATGTTAAGGTTTTTATTTTCAACATATAATTAAGACATCAACATTTTCCTGTAAGAAATCCAGTAAGTTTTTGCTAGAACACAGCATACATTTTTTTGGTAAATCATGTTCAGTTTCAACAGCCATTGAGATAATATAATCATGTTCTAAATTAGGAATCAATATTTTTAGAGCAAGCATCTGATACAAATGTGGCAAGTCACATTATACATTTAGAAGCAGGTTAGTGACAGTTTGCCTGGGGGTTAAATGTTTTTTCCTTACCACCTAAGGATAAACTGGAAATATGAAATTTTCTGTACAGAAGTTGTGTTTCTTTATCATAAATGTTTCACTTTTATTTCTATATTTTGACCACCATCATATACTTACTTGGGACAGAAATGTTGAAATCCTTGTCTGTATTCATGGTCATATGCAGGTAATGTGACCTGTTTTCTTTTAAACCTACAAATTAACAAAAGTTTCAATATATTCCAATACATCATGTAACAGAGGCAAAATGTGTCTACATGTATGTTTTTTACAGTAGTTACATGTTTTATAGACATTTCAACCTATTTCAAATAATCAGGAACAATACAAACAGAAACCATTATATAACCAAGGTTTTGTATAATATTACCTTAAAATGATATATGGGTTTTTTGTTAATCTGTATCCATAGGAAACCATGCCCTGTTCACATTATATTTCTATGTTCAGTGAATTTTGAAAATGGTGAAAAAACACTAATTTGGCATTTTATTTTATTTGAATAATTCACATCATTGTGCACATGTGTACAAGTTTCAAGTTGATGTGACCACAACCTCATGGTTAACTATCACAACTTTAACCAGAAAATGTACTGACTTAACAATATAACATTTCATTATTCAGTGAACTAAAAAATCAAAGTCTAAACTGTAATTTGGCATTTAATTAAAATAGGTCACATCAAAGTTTTATGAACAGTGGTGCTCCTATGCATTAAATTTAAGCCCCAATCCTTTAAAATTTCAAATGCCTTATTACTCTATACATACTGTGCAATTGAAGATTTCTTCTTGAAACTTTTCAAAAATTCAAAATTTGAAAAATTTTGAAAAAAAAAATATGAATCCTCAAAAAAGATTGGAAAAAAAAAAATCCCCCCCCCCCAACTTTTTGAAACCCCCCTTGGAGCAATAACCCCAAAACTCGATCCCAGCCTTTCCTTTGTAGTATGGAACCTCGTAGTACAATTTCAGAGAGATCCATACACTTAAACACAAGTTATTGTCTGGAAACTAGAAAAATGCTTATTTTTGGCCCCTAATTCCTACATATTTGAGCAATTAACCCAAAACTCAATCCTAGCCTTCCCTTTAGGATATGGAACCTTGTGGTACAATGTCAGAGAGATCCATACACTTACACACAAGTTATTGTCTGGAAACTAGAAAAATGCTTGTTTTTGGCCCCTTTTTGGCCCTTAATTCCTAAACTGTTGGCCCCATAACCCCTAAACTAAATCCCAACCTTCTACTTGTGGTATTAAACATTGTTGTACAATTTCAGAGCAATTGAAATACTTATACACAAGTTATTATCCTGAAACTAGAAAAATGCTTGTTTTGGGTCCCTTTTGGGCCCCTTTTTGGTCCCCTAATTCCCGGTTGGGACCATCATCCCCAACTTTCCTTTTGTGGTATTGAACCTTCTTAAAAAACTTCATAGAGATCCATTCACTTAAACTAAAGTTATTGTCCGGAAACCAATGTGTCTATGGACGACGACGCAGACGACATCATACCATTATACGATCCCAAAATTTTTTTTGCGGTCGTATAAAAACTTAAACCTGATAAAGAATGAATAAACAGATAGAGGGACCCACAGACCAGACAACATAATGCCTCTCTACTATAGTATGTGGGGCATGAAAATATCTGGTGAAAATGTGCTTTTTTTGTGTTATCATTTTGTTGGATTGCTGTTTCAATTACAACTGACCCACATCTCCTTTATATCCATAAATAATATAATAAATACCTGCTAGATTCCAGTCTCATCAGAGCTTCTATAGGAGGATCTCTCCATTCTGGTATAAATACAATGAATGATAATGGCTCATTTGATTCTGATAATAAGTTCTGAAACAAACAATTTGTTTTCTATAATATTTCATCACATATAACACTTAAGGTATGAAACTATTCAATTTTGATCTATAACAACAGTAATATTATCCAAGATACCACAATTGTTCTATCCAAATGTTCCTGTAGCCTGTGTTTGAAAAAAAAACTCCCAACATTGTAAGTTTAAGAGATACTAACAGCATTAAAGGGATATATCTTTGCAGTAGGTAACAATAATATTTGATGACCAGTTGTTACAGAAAAACTAAGTGCATGTTTTTTTCCAACAGATTTTCATACTTCTAATGGTCAGTACAAACCCCGAAGTGATCAAATACTCAAAACACTCCTCAAAATGGTCAACCATTTAATCTAATGGTCAGTACAAACCTCAAAGTGGTCAACCATTCAATCTAATGGTCAGTACAAACCCCGAAGTGATCAAATACTCAATACACACCTCAAAGTGGTCAACCATTTTAGCTAATGGTCAGTACACACCTCAAAGTGGTCAACCATTTAAGCTAATGGTCAGTACATACCTCAAAGTGGTCAACCATTGACTCCATTAATTCTTCACAGAATGGAGGATTGGCTTCAAACGATCCACTCAAAGGATGAAAATCTAATACTGGTCTGAAATGTACAAAATAAATACATACATAAATAGCAGATAATTTTTGAATTAGAACATAATCTTTTGTAAGTGTTAGAACATTGCTGTGGTTGTTTTAATTGTTGAAGATTTTTAGGTAATCGATGACCAAGCTACTTTTCAAAAAAAATTAATCTCATCTTATGGTGACACATCCATATGCTAAATATTGTAAGTATACTTCAACAACTGTCATACATGTGGGAGGTGCAGCTAGCTTGAAAACAAAGTTTAACCTACCATTTTCTTCTGAAGTGCCTAATTTGACAGTTGTTTTTTCACTTGTTCCATTGATTGATAACATTTGATTTTGTCAGCTTTTATGGACTTCCCCTTTTTGAATTTCCTTGGAGTTCGATATTTTTGCATTACTTTTTCCCTAACAAGTGTGACTGAGACAAATTAATTTACTAATTAGAAAAATATCAGAATATTGTTCTTTAACTAGTGTTTATTGCAGACTGTTAAGTACTGCACTAGTCATGGTGGTGTGTTACATCATCTTGATATACTACCATGTGTAACTTGATCATTTTCTGCCTCAGTACAAATTTTAAGTTCAGACACATACACACATATAAATATTACCCTCTAGATCCAAAATAACCATCAGTGTCTGTGAATGCAGAACAATATTGTTTAAAAAAACAGTTCAAAGGTGAAGCAAAACATTCAAAAGTCACTCCAAAGATGCGATGTAAACATTCTAATATCTGTATAGACAAAGCTCCCTGTAATCCAAAACCTTCTGAAGCTTGGATACCAAATAATGTCTGAAAAAACAAGATTTTAATGATTAATTGAAAATGAAAAGATTTTATTTACATTTTCATTGGTAAGGTAGGTCTTTAAAGTGAAAAGGATCTTCGAATAGGAAGGGATTTCAAAATTTACCCTAACCCCCCAATACAAAGTCAGTTACATACTTTCTTTCTGTGTTTTAGCACACATCAAATGGACATAAACCATAAATGTCAAACAACCACCATCTCAAAATAACTTCTCTTCTACCACATCCATTTCAATGGAATAACTCGTATCATTAGTGGTAAGTTTTGTGTTTGTGTATCTTTAAAATAATATTTTTGTTCATGAAATTGTTCGATGTATTATTGTGTTATCTATAGTGTTATTTCCAAATAATTCAATTTTGGATGTAACGCGTCTTCTGATTGGCTAACGTTGTTTTGTTTATTAGCTCATAGACATAATTTTGTCATGTGACCGTGACATCATCAACGTTTTTTCATGGTTTACTCCAGTTGAAAATGGAATTTAGAATTAAATTATAAGAAATGACTGTAATATTTTTTCTGTCTATTCGAAATAACATAAAAAATGTGGTGCACACTTTAAAATAACAAGCTACGCGGGTTATTCAGTGTACACCACATTTTTGATGTTATTTCTTCATAGACAGAAAAAATATTACAGTCATTCCTTAAATAAACTCTTCTACAGTAAATGTACAAGTTATCTACATTCATATCCATAGATATTGGTATTTTAACACCCTGAAGTATCTAGTATACACTGAGGCGCAGCTGAGTTTTTCTTTTTATTGTGTTGTTACATCACTGTCCCAGGTTAGGTGGAGGGTTGAGTGCTCACATACATTCTTTATGTGTCTGTTCCAGGTCATTTGAACTCTGGTGGATAGTTATCTCATTGGCAATCATACCACATCTCCTTATTTTTATATAAGCAGGGGATAAAGTTAACTTCAAGGATCATATACTTTCAAAATGTATAAAGCACCATACACATAAGAACAGTTCTTCACAGATAAAATCTATAACACCACCAAGAATGAAATTGCATATAATCAGTCAGTATGACAACTTACATGATATCTCCTCAGTAAACACCATACTCTTGCTAAGTAATGGTCAAATCGTGGGTCATCTCGGGCATGTATTTTATACAACTGCTCCTAAAAATATATTTTATCAATAAAACAAATGTTCAAATGACACAGTACTAGACATGAAAACAATATTTAAAATATCTCCCAAATTAATACAAGCACAAAGTTGCTTATTTCTGAATTCATTTTATTGTGTTAATGATGTCAATATGCAAAATTTAATCTTTTTATGCAATGCCAGTACTAGTGCTAGTCCTAATTGATTGCAACATATTATAGTGATATTTTATAAACTATGACCAGTGTTCTCAATAAGATTTTGAATAAGAGGAAGAAAAATAAAAGTAGCAGGCAATCATGAGGGCCGCAAGGCCCGAAGCGAGCGTCGCAGGCCCGAGAGGGGGGTATCCCCCTTTCTCGTTAATACAGGGTTTTCGAGAAAATTTTGAAAATCTAGATTGCAGGAGGTGGCATCTGGGCTGTTCTGAGTAGATTTTGACCTCTTATTCTTCATGTTAATTTGTCCATTTTTAGTAGCTTATTTAAATTTTTCCTCAAAAATTGAAAATTAATGTGATTTTTTTTGCAGATTTTATATGACATGGCTTGCTTTATCCCTTTCCATGCTCAATGTTCTTCTTAGTCTTTATCACTAAGGGCTGTTCCAGAATTGATTGTTTGGGGAGGGAAAAGCACTTTTTATTTGAATAAAATTTTAATTCATATTTCCTAAATTTTAAATTTTGATTGGGAAAATATGTAAAGTAGCCCATGCATTTTTTTTTATTATTAATGTGCCTTCCCCATCACCATACAGACATTTCTGGAATAGCCCTTATAATTGTGTCTTCACTTCATATTATTTCTTAGTGTCTTGTGTCATAATTTCAAATAGAATTCATTGAGAACATTAATTTATGCTTTATTCAGTTATTCAAAAACTGCTAAGATTTATATTTAGAGGAAACCAGAGTTGCCTTTGGAAACTGTCAACCTGCAGTAACACCTGACAAAATATGGTTAGAAAAATAATAAATTTTAAATCCAGGAAATAGGAACTCTGTCGTGTCAACAGTTTATCAGGTAACACTCAATCCTCTTTGTTGGTCAGAGGGTAAAAGTTAAATTGGCACTTATCGAAAAAGTCAAATCGGCATCTGATCAAATAGGCACCTATTTTAAAGTCATTTCGGCATTTAGTTGGTCAGTTCGGCACCAAATAATAATGTTCATCTGTTTTCTGCTTTTTAATTATTTAGAAAAAAATTGGGGTTGGATTTTATTTTGTTCAGTACATTGTTAAAAATAATCTTGTTATTAAGAAGTAAAATGGGAAAGAGTTCCATATGGCACCCCCACGGAATAAACTGTAATACATTATTGTGTTCTTTTTGTATGGTGGGGGTGCCATATGGAACTCTTACCTTTTTTTCTTCAAAAACTTAAATTAAAACCAATGAAGCCATTACCCAAGCTGTTGTTTAATCATGAATAAATAAGAAGCAATAAAAGGGCAAACTATTAGTCCCGGTCATCAATATCAACTGGTTAAAACATGCATAATAAATATCCAATACCTTGAATACACATATAGTTGACCGAAGAAAAATACACAAAGAAACAAAAAGAACTTGATTATATACAATAATTAATTCTGGCCATCCCCCTTCTTTATCTAAATTTTTTGGCTTAAAATACTAAAACCAATATATAGTCAACGTATATTTGACTAGGTACCGAATTGAGTATACCGGGTGTCGATTTAACCACATTCCTAAGTGACTAGAATTCGTCAGATGTTGACTGATTTCACCATGTTTTATTTTACTTTATACTCCGTCGATTATACAATAGAATACATAAATGCCCACAAGTTTAAATCCATGTAAGATACACTAAGCGAGCTTTCTTATCTTTACTTTACTGTAAATCCGACTCACGCTAAAATTAATCACTGATCGTTCTCTTCATGTTTGAGGTTGCAACGAGCTGTCTAAAATATCCGCATCAACATCAATTTTGATTAGTACAGAGTTTATCGCTTTGTTTCAAACGCTCAATGATTTAAAACTGGTTTACGTTTACTATTGTGTTATTTACGCCTGACGGACGAGTCAGAACCAGTTAGTAGAAAAAAGATGTACGACAGATCCCGACTATGCGATTTTCGCGTATGTCATATTTTTGTCAATGAATTAATAGCCGACACAAAACACCGCAGCGGCGGATTTTGCCGGTTGCTAGCTCTTATTGAGAACACTGATGACAGTGTATTATATTATGTAACAAACTGACCATCATACATTCCAGGTAAACAAATGTAAGACAGATTTACATTTCATTGTCTGGTACCTAAAAATTATTCAACAGTAAACAAATACTAACAAGTTTAAAGAAATGTGGACTGTTAATCCGCAGACTTTCCCCTTTAAACTTCAAAGTATGGACTTCATTTTCATGTGTCATTTCAACAATCGGTAATCTGGGCACAGGTACCATCATCTGAACAGGATAACATAATACTTTTCTTTTTGGTGGAACTGGTGCTTTGGGAATTTCTGAAAGATATGTAAATGATAACCTTATCATACTATTTTAGACCAGTTTTTTTTCATTTATTTTTTTAGAAGGAGCAAGAACGAAGCAACATTACTAGCAGTTAAAATTAGTATTCTCTTTCAATAACTGGAAAACAGGTACATAAAATTAAATACGTTTTTACTGGTTCTATTTAATAATGACAAACAATGAAGGTAAGTTGACAAAACAATTCTAAATCATAATGACAAAGTATGTGTAGTGGTTCAATTGACAACCTGATTGTGAGTATAAAATTCAGAGTAAATGCCTCTATTTTGTTTTGATACAGGTATTAGCATAACCTGGTACCAGATATCAAGAAAATTAGAACTGTTATTAGAATTACAATGGACAAATTGGATGTTTGTTGATGCACAATGACACTCCAAAATAATCTTAACTGATGTGTATGGTGCCTGTACCAAGTCAGGCTAGCTTCATCATGTGTTGTTCCTTGTTGTAGGTCTTTTTTGTATAACTGTTTTATTTGGAGGAGTTGGTTGTTGGTGGTTGGTGTGGTATGTTGTACTGTGCTGTATTTTTTATGATTTCTGTTATTCGTTTTCATGTATTATTCTTAATAACCTCAAAATACACAAAACCGATGATAACTTCTGAACAAACTCAATTTACATCAAACTGATGATGATTTCTTAACAACCTCAAAATGATCTTTATGAAAGGAAATTCTTATTCTCACAAACTCACTATGTATACGGTAGAAGTATACCCAGTCAAAATTATGTCTTAAAATACCCACCATGGATATGGTTTTCATTCATTATTTGCCAATGTCTTTCATGAAGTTTTTTTACTGTTTCCAAACACATATTATAAACTTTAGTACAGATTCCTTCCACAGAACTTTTTGCTGTCTCTGTTAAATGTGGCTGACATTGTCTTTTCAGATGAGCTAATCTTTCCTATAAAATAAAAACATATTCTGTATAAATGAATTAAGAAATAACACAAATTTTTAGATATATATATAGATGTAAATGTCATGCATGTCATCATAAATAATAGTTTTTTCTTTTTTATTATTTACAACTTCCAATTCACAGCATAATATACACAAATATAACAGCAATATATATATATTATACAAATCTACTAATATTATCTAATAAATAAAGCTTTCTTGGGAAGCATTTTTTCTAAATATACATATATAAAATAGAGTAGGAGAGTCTAAAACACCAGAGAGAGAGAGAGAGACAGAGAAGTATGTTGAGTTTTCAATACCAATTCATTGTTATAATTCACTATAATAAATTATGCAGTAAAATCTTATACTTTTAAGTATTTTATCAAACAAATTCCGTTCTTAATACTAATAGTTTTTCCTAGTTCATTTTAATGTCACCTATTTTTTATATGATTAAACTATCATCAGGCTTTCTTAATCTTGCCTTATCACTTTTATTTTGGCCTATTGTGAAATAATTATATACGCAAATGCATCTTTTCTTGCCATATCATTTTTCTTTGTAAAAATCATAACATTATCTACACAAAATGACAACCTTTTTGACAAGTAAGCACATGGTCAATTAATCTTTGAAAGATATTTTGAATTTGCTGGCCTTAATACTTCAAAACAGTATATTTCTGTTACTTTTGTCCAACATGCACTAGATCAGCTGTTAATGTCAATAAATTTACAACCCTGATTTAGCTGGCTTTTATTTTATATTTTGACAATTCCCTGTAAGTTTTTATTTTAAAATCTTTACATTTTCCAAGTTATTTAAGTAACAGCCTTACCAAATAATCATCATAAGCAGCACCCCCTGGTCGTCTTAACCAGGAAAATGTTTCTTCCACATTCCACTTTACAATCTTTCTACTGTCTGGTGTTGCACTCCTGTAAATGTCGATATAATTTTACATTGTTGTCAAATATAGGCAGCATACAAATAAAACACAAAGCAGTAAACAATAGTCTTAAGAACTAGATTATAGAAAAGATTCATCAGTTTACAATTTGCAATGTAAAAGTACCCCTTGCACCTTTCAAATTAAATTCTATGATGAGACTAAATTTTGTCTCATGGGCAAACAAACCACGTCTCCATATTTTTTATTTAGAAGAACACATTTAATAAAGATTTAAAAAAAATTCTGTTATTGCATCATGGCAATCAAATTATTTCCACTACATGTCGGAATGACAAGCCATGATGATTCTCAATCTGTTGTCTCAGGTCATAAATGTCAATACGGCTGATAGAAATAATCATATTGTTTTTTTTTTCATTTATTAATATTAACATACAATTAATATATAATGTCATGAGTGGTTTTAAAGGGGCATTTTTTTTTCAATATATACCATAGAAGTAAATTGTGGCACTTTTTTTTTTGAAATCCAAATGCTCAAAATTTTGAAATAGAACATCAGCAAAAAAACTCTATTAAATAATTCTTATTGGGTGAAATTACATTCATCAGGTTCATAATAAAGAATATGAATAGAATTTAAAATAGATTTTCATATCACATTCAATCCACACATTCACAATGTAATTCATGAAAATATACTTCTGTTCTTCTGGCTGTTCCAAGATTTCATGTGATAACAATATTTGAGATGAAGTTTTTTAAAACAGAAAATGAACAATCAATATTTGCATGTGTATCTGTTACATATTACAACAATTAACTTATTATACAGATACAGCTGTTGATCATCTACTGACATTTTCTATGTCACAGATTTTCCAGATAAAAGATCATTTGATAGACATTTGACAAATTACCCATATAACCATTCCTACTTTCTGTCACATACGTACTGTGGTTTTAAAATTATCATTGTTACATTACCGTAGAAACTCGCCTAATAGTCGATCCTACTATAAGTCGGGTGCCCTTTTCAGCTCCAAATTCTAAGGATTTAGTCTTGACCCTCGTATAAGTCGGACAAAATTTGGGCATTTTTTTTTTCAGCTGACAGTAACTGAACGCCGGTAAAACCAATGCAAATCCAGGAATAATATTCATTTCTGCATTAATGTTTGTTTGGTTTGAATTTAGTTGATGCTCATCATGATAATTTATATTGCTGTTCATAATAAAGATGTATTCATTTCTCTTGTTTTGTTCACTGTTCAAATGTTTGATTAGCCATGTGTTGTTTACGTAATGCATCAATGATTTTGTAGGGTATGACTAACAACCTATTGTTTGAGAAAAGCCAATATAAACCAATATGAACCTGAAAAATTTAAAGTCAATCAACACTTCATGAAAATATTTTTCACAGCATACATAACTCGGTGTTAAATGAGCATGTACACTTCATAATTCTTATTATATTGTGATGATTAAAGGATTAAAAAAATTAAGTGAAGCTAATCAATATATTAAAATAACTAACTCCAACTCATTAGTGTCATCTGTTTACCTATCACTGATAGTTTTCACACCTTTAGTAAATACAACTCTTTGTCTCTTAATTGGGGTTATCAGTGGATTATATTGGCTTGTCAATCAATTTTGTAATTTTTGTTTACCTGAGACACTTTAATGAATAATATTTTGATTTTGGGAATGAATCTTAAAATTATTTTTTGATTATTATATGATTTATAAGCATTGAATTGATATCATGATATCACAATAATGACACAATAACTCCGCTGAAAACATCCTTTCACATATTTGGTACATTGTTATCTCCTTTTCATTTTTGGTTCTTGGCTCTTCTTTTGGGTTTATAGGAAAACCATGTGACCATGAAAGTCAATACACAAACCGGAAACAGTAGAATTTCAACACGAATTTGCAGAAAATGTTTACCAAAGAACAAATAAAACACAAAGACAGTATTGTAGTCATTTATTTTCAACAAAAACTTTTTATTTATTGATTTATGTAGGTTTGGCAATCAAAAACGTAGTTTTGACCAGGAAATTCACTCCTGACCACTTTTCTCAAGCTTGGATTTTTCCTCTGGTCACTAGATCTCGTCTATTAGTCGGTCCCCCTCTCTGGATTATGAATTTTACTCCCAATTTTCCGACTAATAAGCGAGTAGGAACGGTATATATGAAAGAACCTTAGTGAGCGCGCTCACATACCCCACGTCCCCACATTGTCATTGGAGAAATAAAATAAGTGTAAGAAAAAAAAATTGAATCATAATTTCCTGTCAATATGCACATCTACATAGTATGTCCTTATTATCTACACAGTTTCATGAAATTCTGTTGTGTGGTTTGAGAGGAGTTGCGATGACAAAAGGTTGCAGTAGTATATTGGGCAAATAAGTTCAAAGGGGCGTAACTCCTGGAAAATAAATGTGGATAGTGTCCACATGTGGACACAGATGATGCCCCCGCTTGCATATCATATAGTTATAAAGGGACATAACTGAAGAACAGTAAAAGTGACGCTACCCAAATTTGAACTTGATCTGAGTTTTGTGTGTAAGTCTCATAACATTTGGTTGAGGCTAACTTAAGTAGAGAACAGAAACTAAAAATTCAGCACTTTTTCTATTTATAAAGGGGCATAACTCAATAATGGTTAAAGTGACACTACCCAAATTCAACTTGATCTGTGTTTTATCAGTGAAAGTCAAATAAACATTGCATTGTATAAAGCATTGATTGTAGTTGATTCAACTATAATCATGGACAAAGGACGATAACTCCAATTTTAAAAATAACTTGATATTTAGAAGAAAATAAAAATTTTGCAATTTTTTCCATTTATAAAGGGGCATAACTCTAGAACGGTTAAAGTGACGCCACCAAAATTCAAACATGATCTGTGTTTTGTGGTAATAAGCATTGTGTATAGGTTTCATAACATTTGGTTGAGGCAAATTTAAGTTAGAGAACAGAAACTAAAAATTTTGCAATTTTTCCAATTATAAAGGGGCATAACTCTAGGACGGTTGAAGTGACACCACCAAAATTCAAACTTGATTTGTGTTTTGTGATAATTAGCATTGTATATAAGTTTCATAACATTTGGTTGAGGCAAACTTAAGTTAGAGAACGGAAACTAAAAATTTTGCAATTTTTCCATTTATAAAGGGGCATAACTCTAGAACGGTTAAAGTGACGCCACCATAATTCAAACTTGATCTGTGTTTTGTGGTAACAAGCATTGTGTATAAGTTTCATAACATTTTGTTGAGGCAAACTCAAGTTAGAGAACGGAAACCAATTTTGGGACGTACGGACGGACGTTCGTACGTACGTACAGACGGACAAGGGTAAAACTTAATGCCCCCACCGCTACGGCGGGGGCATAAAATTTGAATCTTAATTTCCTGTCTATATGCACATCTACATAGTATGTCCTTATTATCTGAAAAGGTTTCATGAAATTCTGTTGTGTGGTTTGAGAGGAGTTGCAATGACAAAAGGTTGCAGTAGTATATTGGGCAAATAAGTTCAAAGGGGCGTAACTCCTGGAAAAAAAATTGAATCCTAATTTCCTGTCGATATGCACATCTACGTAGTATGTCCTTATTATCTGAAAAGGTTTCATGAAATTCTGTTGTGTGGTTTGAGAGGAGTTGCGATGACAAACTGTTGCAGTAGTACATTAAAGTAAATAAGTTCAAAGGGGCGTAACTCCTAGAAAAACAATTGAAACGTAATTTCCTGTCGATATGCACAACTACATAGTATGTCCTTATTATTTAAAAAAGTTTCATGAAATTCTGTTGTGTGGTTTGAGAGGAGTTGCGATGACAAGAAACAGGACTGACGGACGGACAGACAGACGGACGGGCCAAAAACATTATACCCTCCGCAACTCGTTGCGTGGGGTATAAAAATAGTTTTAGTGATATGTATTGGAAGGAAAAATAAGTGCTGCCTGATTTAAATGGAACCAAGGGAAGTCACTTGAAAAATGGGAAACCATCTATAAAGGCAACTGTAGAGTTTCTCTTTCACTTTCACTGTACAAAAACCCTAACTCACTGAAGATATTTCGAAATGCCTTCCCTTGGCCCAATGTATGTTTGTATGGAACAGTCCTAATAAATAAATTGTAAACTTTCCAACACAGCAAAGCCAGCCTGCACCAAAAATACATTTCAAACTAGACTGAGGAGTTTCTTTTATTTGCCTTCCACAAATGGTACTCTTTATTTTCCCTATCCCAAACTAATTTTTACTAGTAGTCAGGCATAGGGATAGTGACTAAAGGTGTGGACTGAAAAATAATCATTAAATAATGCCTGCATGGCAATTTACCTAGTTTCAATCATTTTCTTAGCAGCTTCAGCATATTTGAACAACTGTCTTCTAACATCACCAGAGAACTTTGGTTTGACCAGTTTGACTGGAATATCATTCATTATTTCCCTGTACATGGATTGTGACACCTCAGGCATACAGTTAGACGGCAGCATGGGATCTGTTCCTTTATCTATTACTTTTCTCTCTAACAACCATCTATTGAACGACTCATGTGGTGCATCAATACCTATAATAATTATAAACCAAAATGTTTTCCATTCTTTCATTATAAGGTCAATTCACATATTACTGTATTACTTTCAACAGAAGAACCACATATGTCTCTCTTGCAATCTTGCATCTTTCTACATGTTAACATTAAAACAACCATACATAAACCAATTGACTGTTCTATACTATTTCTATATTCTGAGACATTGTAAATATAATCACAGAAATAGTGATGCAATGTATTCTATGTTCATCCAAAAAACTTAATATACAGCTGTAACAATTTAAAAATATCCCTTCATTGTCTGGTGCCATGATTTGAAAATCAACACTGTGATGGGCTAAAGATTCGTATTCATTAATATCTACTGGACATTTTAGAAAAAAAAAATTATTTTTACAGGGAGACTTTGAAGGAACTGATACTAACATTTCTGTTGATGCTGAGGTAATTTTTACCGTAATTTTTATAGAATAAACTGTACAAAAATATGCAGGTGTCTGAAGTTGGATAAAAGCTCCTTCAAAAAACCAATAATTTGTTTTCCTTGGACAACCATAGACATACTTTTTCAATTATCAACAACTGATTACACAACTTTTTCATGAAGAACTGTTATATAATTACCGGTATAAGTGATGACAAAAAGACAAACCTTCTCTTGAATGGCACAATTCTTGGTAATGTTGCCTCAGTTTGGCTGTTAACTGGGCTCGTAGAGATTCCATTTCTGGATGTGGTGGAGGCAGAATGCATGGGCTCCTTTCATATATTACTGCATTTGTAGGAATTTCAAAGTTCCAAAATGGACTGAAAGAGGAACATTTCTTATTTAAATCAGTTAGGAAAATAATGATAATTCTATTTTCAAAATATTAACAAATATCCCTCTTTTTCAATCAGACCAAATTTATTTCAAAAGTTTGTCACATTCTAAATAAAGTAACAGCAATCAGAGTGATGAATGACCTCCTTTTGAAGAAGAGGAGAAAACTCTAAACATGCATCATTTAATAATTTTTAATATGTACTGATTGTGAATAACAAATCAGTTTCTGCATTTCTCCTATATTTTATTATTATTATTTTTCTAACACTAATTTTTATAAATTTATTGTAAAGCAAATGTTTTTTGAAACCTGATTAGGTCATACAAAGATATTTATTCCTTGTTTTAAAGCTGAGTAACAGTCTTGTCACAGTTTAATCAAACTGGGTGATAAAAATGTGATTGTCTTCTTAGGACTGTTGCTTTAATTTGTGATATCTATTTACAGATACATGATAAATTGATAGTAATCAAATATACATTGAAGGTCACCATACTGCCTTTAACAATGAACAAAACCCATATTGTATATTTCATGTACATGTGGTTAGCTATACAAGGCTTGAACATGACAAAATGTACAACCAATCAATCAAGAATTTCATGACAGGCCTTTTATAGCTTGCTCATTATTGAAGGCCATACAGTGAAATATAGTTGTTAACTTCTACGTCATTTGGTCCCAATTTGTGGCAATTTGTCTCATTGGCAATCATACCACATCTGCTTATTTCTCTATCGTTTTCTAGCCGTCTTTAATGGATTTGACCTGATGTTGATATTGCCTCACGACTGCACTTCCAAAATATTGAGGTCTAAAACATTTTAAATAGAATATGGGACAATAGTTTTCATGAATTATTAGCTAAAAGTTTTCTTTTTGTCTCCTATTCATATATATATGTATGTGTTATTCTTGGAATTTGTTTTACACTGTTCAAAATCACTTTTTGCAAAACTTATTTTTTAATAGTATACATGATCCTACACTTTCTTTCTTTTTAAAAATGTTACAGGGGGATGTCTAGTAATCATATCTAGAAAACTATAGTAAGAATTCTCAAAATTGTGACTTATAGGGAGAAACCAGTGGAATACTTAAATGTCTACTACTGAATGTATAGTCAACTAATTTATAAAAACTTAATATAAAAATTTCTAATTTTTACCTGTTGGTAATTTGTTTTTCTAATTTTTGCCTGTAGGTAAGTCATTTTTTCTAATTTTTACCTGTAGGTGAATGGTTTTTTTGGTGGACTGTCACCAACATCCCCACTTAACCGTCTTTTTTCTCCAATGAGTGGAGGAGGAATGTCTGTGCTGGGTCGACATAAACGTGTATCTGAACTGTTGGGGACAGGTGCAGGATGATCTCCTCCAATCCCTAAGGGATCCGTCAGTAAATTAGGTGACTGAAAAGGTAATTTAAAATTTACATTTGAGCAAAATTCGAATTTTTTAAAACACGTTTTCAATATGCCATTAAGAATTGAATGCTTCTTTTTGTAAATTCATTGGGGTGTAAAAGCGTTGACCAAAGTACATTTTGTATGAAGCGCGGAAGCGCTTCATTCTAAAAATGTACTTCGGTCAACACTTTTACAACACTATGAAATTACTAAAAGAAGCATTCAATACTTATAATTACATTTTTTCGCTCTGATCATGAAAACACGATTACTATCCAGTTTTTCTTTTATTTACCTGTGAACTTTATTGTGGAAACGTGTGTCATCATGTATGTTTCAATTCATGCAATTCATTTTGAAATGAAGTATGACGCGAGATTGCTGTTAGCCAATCAAAATAACGTATAATAATGAAACATACATCTAATGTAATTATTCACCTTTAAACTCTCTCTTGTTAGACCATTCTTACTTTGCCAATAAAAGATATATGTATTTATTTACCCAGCATATTTTTGTTCTCATTTCTTTAATTTCAGAGGCCTAAACAACAAAGAACCTGATACACCAGTGTTATTTTATTTTATGTCTCTGTTGAAATTACTTGGCTACTGGGTAAATTTATTTGGTCTTACATGTTTAAAGGAAACAATCTGGTTATTAAACCTAATGCTTAAGATGAAGACAAGAGCCATTCAAAATGGCTATTTGCAAACAGCTGGCCTGTGTTGCACAAAAAAATCTGACAACTAAAATTATCTTTAAGAATACTAAATTGTTCATGACTTACACATGTTTTTTTTGTCGTAAGTTTTAGTGAAATAAAGGCCTGATCATTTTTTTGGTCAGTTAAAACTTCCAAACAAGAAACTTACTCCAGATTTCAACTGTGGCATTTCCCATAATGATTCATTTGTTAATTTATTAAAGAAATAAGGTTGCTGTTCCCTTTTACTCCAAAATCTCCTCCATCCAGCTTGTAGTAATTCTACAGGTAAATCATGTACAGGGTCAGGTGATAATGGTCCAGGAGATATTGGCAGTGAATCTTGGCGTACAACTGGTTGATGATTGGTTACATTTATATGCAGAGGATTCTTCTCCAAATGTTCAGCTACATTGTCTTCTTTATTTAAAGTCTTTGTTTCATGATTGTCTCCTTTCCCACCATTTTCAGTAATGGGCTTTTCTTGAATATCCATTTGTGTGCACCTTTAATAAATAAAACAGATTAATCAAGTCATCAGTGTCATAACATTTTTAAATTATGCAAATGCATGATTGACACATTTCTAACACAGCTGTGTCAAACTTGAGACAAAAAATCAAATAAGTTATCGTGTCATTCTGGCAAAAAATCAATTACTTCCATGCATTGTTACATTGTTTGTACCTTGAATGAATTGAACACAGTTGATTCAAAATGTTAACTAACTTACGTAATTATGGTGCCCTACCAAGAAAAAAATACAACTTATAAATTAAAAATATTCTATTCTTTGGATGCTTTTGTGTGAATCTAATTAGTTTCTTTAATAAATAATATCAGAATTAACTTTTCTATAACAATAAAGATAGGATGTTTGTCGACACATTTGATGATTGCCCAAGATAATGTGTTTTGATGTAGAACCCAATTTAGCAGGGATAATATATAATTAGAAAAATTTAAAGACCAAAACTGAAGACTTTTAACATATCAGAACCATTGAAACAAACCCTACTTATCTTTTTATTTTCTCATACAGAATTTTGGATATCTTTCCATTTTTTTTATGATTAATTGCTGCTTGCTTAACATCCAAACAAACATTTCATGCACATGCAAGACAAAAAACTATCATTTCAATAGATAGGTTTATGGAAGATGGGTCCCCCTAGTTCACTTTTTCCATAGTATGTTCATCCAATAGACCATATGTCTGATATGTTAGAGGGTATCCAGACCTTTAGTCATAAATTTCATTTACTTGGAAATATGTTATATTAGTATAATCTGATAATGGGAAATAATTACTTAAAAATATGAGACCAGGTTGATTTAACCTATTATAGTGTAATCATGTTAATGGTTGAGGATTTCTATCAAGGTTCTGTATTGTAAAAGAATTTCTATCATGTCTATAACAAATGACATACATTTGAATAGTGAAAAACTTTGATTTGAATAGCTATATATATCATGTATATGATAACAATGAGAAATAAGGCTAATGGAACAATTACTTATTTGAAATTATGTTTTTATGGGATTTCATTTATTTTAGAAGAGATCAAAAGAATTCTAATTTGAAACTTTGGGTCAAAACTTTAAAAAAGATTGAAATTGGATGTCAAGCAATCATCTTATCGTACCAGATCAGAACTGAACCAATTGATCAGTTGTTAATTTCAAAATAATAATTAGTTTCATTACCAATAAAGTCAGTATATTTTAATAAAAAGGTCATACAATCATAGTTTGTTTGGTGCATTAATTTATTCAAAGAATTATAACATGAAATTAATAATCAATATTAATCCAGCAGGCAATAAGTCAAAAGTGAAAAGATTGGCAAATTTTGCTATCTCAGCTAGAGTCGGCATCAGTCAGACAAGTTGTTTAGTTGCAAATTACGCGATTCAGCAAAGCATCACTAAAGTACCTTCTACTATAGTAGTATTTCAACCATGGAGATTAATTTGCAATAAAAATTAAACTACATTTTCAGTTAACTTTCGCAATCAAGCAAAATATGCATCAGAAAATTTTGACAATGCTCCTGACGCTATCGCCATTTGTGAAAACTGACAAAGGTTATTGCATATTTAAAATTATTTGAAAAAACGAAATCATATAAATTATTGTTTATTGAATATTTTCTTGATTATTTTGCCACAAAAATTACAACATATATATTTCTGTGAAAATTAACTGGAAAAATAATGCACCAATTTCGTGGTCACAGCTTTTAAAAGTATTTATATTGCATTATTCGTTTTGTATTCAGAGATCCACATATTTACTAATTTGCATAATTTATGTGAAAGCGTAGAAAGTTCCCGGATATGTACACAAAAATAATACCACGTGTGCTAAATTGTACACGTGACTTTGGGCCCTAGAGGACCTGAAAGGATAACTTTTACACAATTGGTTTCTTAAGAAAAAGACATTTACCTCAAACCATTTTTGAGAAAAATGTAAAGCTGAACAAAGGAAAGTTTATGAAACAAGGTTGTGAACACAGGTGCTTGAATGGAAAGAGTACAGAATGCATGAGCAAGACTTAGTGGGCTTTAACTGACATTCCAATAATCGGTATTACCTGGGACTACTATATAACACATAGTAGTCTCAGGTATTACTGGGTAAGGGCATTTTACATGTCTCTTTCATAATCCATGCAAGGCCTGTTAGTACCGCCACCACCGCTGATACAACAGATACTTAATTATGATTTTACAAAATTGTGTTGAAGCCGGGGTCGAGGAATAATATCGACAAGGGATAATAAAACACTTTACAGTAGTACTGGGAACAGTATATGAATATATATGTTCCTGAGTAGTACCAGAGACATATTTGTTTCTAATATATAAATTATATTTTATTCAGACAAAACCATTAAGAACCGACGAGTACAAACAAGCAGCTCTAAATCTGCCCTCGTAAATTGTCAATAAATCGATGGTGCCTTCACCCCGTTGTATTATAGCCCCGTAGTATTGGTTACTACGACGTACAGTTACAGACGGTACAAGGATGGAATTTTTGCATTTTTCAGTATTTTATTTCTTAATTTCTCGAATGAAATATGCTAGTGGAATAAATATTATCGAAATAACTCATGATAAATAAATTTTACTATCTTTAAACCGTTTATTTAGGGCTTTGAACATATAATGTCTATTTATTCACTTTTCAAGGTTTTAATTAGGATGACTTTAAACTAACAATACTTAAAACAAATAGTCCATATATAGATAGTTTGTGCAATTTTCAGGACTAAAATTGAAGCGGTTACGAGTGGGATAATTGAATTTTACGAGATACTGAGGTAACTCTTGATGACAGAAGTACACGATGGACCGTTCGTCCGAAAAAGACGCCCAGCACATGATCTCTTGATGACACTATAGTAAAGTACACGATGGACCGTTCGTCCGAGAAAGACGCCCAGCACATGATCTCTTGATGACAGAAGTACACGATGGACCGTTCGTCCGAGAAAGACGCCGAGCACATGATCTCTTGATGACAGAAGTACACGATGGACCGTTCGTCCGAGAAAGACGCCGAGCACATGATCTCTTGATGACAGAAGTACACGATGGACCGTTCGTCCGAGAAAGACGCCCAGCACATGATCTCTTGATGACAGAAGTACACGATGGACCGTTCGTCCGAGAAAGACGCCCAGCACATGATCTCTTGATGACAGAAGTACACGATGGACCGTTCGTCCGAGAAAGACGCCCAGCACATGATCTCTTGATGACAGAAGTACACGATGGACCGTTCGTCCGAGAAAGACGCCCAGCACATGATGTATCATTATTGTCTCTGTTAGTATTTTAGATTAAACGAAAACAGAAAGGTAATTACCGGTATAATGATTTTTTGTCATTTAACTTAAAACACTCTAATATATACAAGTTTTTTGTAATAGATTATATCTTAACAGGTTGTAATAGATTATATCTTAACAGGTTGTAATAGATTATATCCATACAGTTGTAATAGATTACCTCTTAACAGGTTGTAATAGATTATATCTTAACAGGTTGTAATAGATTATATCTTAACAGGTTGTTGACAATTTAAGGGCGAAGTTTGGTTATTCCTTTGCATTGATTGAAAACGAAAAACATAAAATCTCTGAATTTCAGTTAAAACAACAAAAAACTTATTTTATATTAACTAGAACAAGAAAAATAATACACCGAATCACCACTTCTACCCATTGAATCACACCATCTACCAATTGAATCACCACAACTACCCATTGAATCACCACATACAATCTCTGAATTTCAGTTAAAACAACAAAAAACTTATTTTATATCAACTAGAACAAGAAAAATTATACACCGAATCACCACTTCTACCCATTGAATCTCACCATCGTCCAATTGAATCACCACAACTACACATTGAATCACCACATACAATCTCTGAATTTCAGTTAAAACAACAAAAAACTTATTTTATATCAACTAGAACAAGAAAAATAATACACCGAATCACCACTTCTACCCATTGAATCACACCATCTACCAATTGAATCACCACAACTACCCATTGAATCACTACATATACCCATTACATTGAATCACCACATCTACCCATTACATTGAATACCACATCTACTCATTTTGACTAAACATGTAAAACAGAACTCCGGTTAAGTTATATATATAGCACACCTTTTGCGAATTAACGTGTTTAATTCACGAAAAGTGTAGCTTTGAGTGGATTAAATATGTTAATGAGTAAGGCGTGGCTATATATGATTTGTAACATAAATGGGCGATGACACATGTCAAAGGTTAAACTTAACTGTACTTTTCATTCATGAATCAAATATGTCAATCAAATAGTGGCGCTTTCTATGACAAAACGTCTCTTATTTTCAGGAAATGAACTCATGGATCGGATTTTTTATTTGGATTTGATTTAATGATAGATGTACATGTAAATGAATTGTTGTCGTGATACTTTCATCAAGGTTTAAAAACCAGAGAGCGATTTATGTGTAATTGAGGTCCCCCTTCCCACATGCGAACATTCTTGAGGTGATAGATGCAAAATCTTGTTAGATGTAAACCATGCTGCCTGCTTTCAAAACCAATAGGACGTGAAGTTTTAGAAGAGGCAAAAGAAGTAAACGTTTTTTTTAAAACGTATTGTGAAGGTATTCTGCGTTTCCCAACACTATGAAAATGATCGATGAATAGATGGGCTGTTAATTGCGTAATGTCCAGAGATAAATGTTTTAAGCATGCTCAATTCATGGAGATATACCTTTAAAAAGTGGAGGAAATGAAACAACTAAAAATCCAGTGACAATTATTTAGAATACTTGTTATGACACGATGAAAACAAGTTTCATATGGCCACCAATTTATCAATATCGCATCTTCATTTATAGACCACGTTATTTTCTTTTTGTATCTCTCCTAGGGTATTCATTTGTTTCAAGTATAGGGATCCATTTTTATTTAAGGGTTAGGTTTACAAGTTTGGCTAGTGTTAGGGTAAAGCCCCCCCCCCCCTCCCCCTCCCCCCCCCCCCCGCTTTCCCGATTTTTTTTTATATTTTAAAAATATGGTCATTAATTTCATTGTTTACTATGCAAAGGAGGAAGAGCTAGACAGTGAAATAACCGTGAACTTCTGAGATGGAAGTTAGAGCACTGGTCTAAGCTCCTCTCGTTCTTTGCTTTTCCTATGACCATATATACCATGTAGCATTTGGATTCAACATGGTTCATGCAGTTTAACCCCGATAAATGTGAGGTCTTGAAGGTCACAAAGGAATACAGTATACATAGTTCCTTTGTCGGAGTGTTTTTTGCTGTGCATGTACTGATTTTGTGTCATGGATGCATATCCTTCGTATCTTTATTATAGAGAAACATTCAAATTTAAATAGTTAAGTCGGCAAAATCCCAAATTATTAGGAGTCTATTGCTAAGTATCATTTCGCTCAAACTTGTGCTAGGGGCCGTCTTAAACTTGCAGTAAGGTGAGAATTTTTTTTGCTCCCTGTTGAAGGCCTCACTCACGGTGACTTTGAGATGAAGAACGGCAATCAAAATGCTGTTCCTTTGCTTTTTGTGATTTTTTGCTGTGCACATACTGATTTTGTGTCATGGATGGATACCCCATATCCTTTCTCTTCTATTATCGTATTACCTTTTCGTTTATTGTTCTGCATGAGTGAGGATTTGATGCGTGAGACCTTGCAGGTAACGAAAAGAACATAAACGAAATCCGAAAGAGTACAGTGCAAGGCAGCTATAGATTGTCCTGGATGAACAACGTGTTGCGTCTCATCCATGATTTAGTGTCATGTATGGTCTACATTTAAGGAGAGGAGAAAAGAGCAACAGTTATTACTGAATAGTCCGACAAGAAGTAGATATACTAATTAAAAGTCAACGAACTAAACATCGTATAAATTATACACTTGATGATTTCTTATCTATACTTAAAAACAATGGTAGGCATCAATTATTATGTAAACTGGGTCAAATACCAATTATTAAATTACATGATATTTTCAAGGAGTGTGACACAATCTCGTTCTTGAGCACTCTTTATGAATATTCGCGTATAATTACAGCTTTTTGCCACCATAGGCTGTTCTTTGTGAAAAAAGGACCAATTGAAATATCGTCCTTCATCGATCTAAAATAGATTGGAAACAGTGTCGTCAGGTCACAAAAGACGCTCTTTCATCGTATTGTAAAAATTGGTGTAAACTCGAAAAATCTGATAAAAAATCTCTTGATTCTTATTTAAATAAATGTATGAATGTTGTTGATATTCGAATATCAAATTTTGAAATAATTAAGAAATAAAAAAAAAGAGTACATAATACGCCTATTTCTAGAATAAGTACTCGCAAAGCGGTTTGTGTTTGTACCGGCCGACAAAGCAGCCAACAATGTGGTAGTGGTATGCCGTAAATACTACACGTACGTTCTTAAGAATGAAACTTTAAATTCTTAGATACATTCAAGTCCGTGCGCTCCACAGAGAGTTATATAGTAAACAATCATATCATATATAACCACATCACAGCTTAAGGCCTCGTCTGAACATTTCTGGTGAAGGTCCCTACTATGTATTGGTTACCTAAACTACACAAAAAACTAGTAAAAAAAAGTTTCATCTCGGCCTCTACGTAAGTGTTCTATAACTAATCGTTCAGTGCTTTTAACTAGTTCCTTAACTACTCTCAAAGAACTTATCATTAACTTTTGTAATAAAACATATGAAAATAGTGGAATTAACTATTTTTGGAGTGTAAAACATTCTTTGTTTTTTTAGATAAATTACGTGCTTTTGATGGGCCTTTTGATTCTGTTGACAGTTTTGACGTTTCAACTCTTTACACTACACTTTCACACAATCTTACCAAAACAAAGTTTTCCTATCTAATTGAATGGTCGTTTGGTAAATCTGAATGCAAATATATTTGCTGCAACTCAGTTAAAGCCTTCTTCTCTAAAGAGAACGGTAAATATGCTAGAAATACTTACTGGAGGTGTGATGAGATGATTGAAGCTGTTAATTTTCTCCTGGATAATATTTATGTCTGTTTCGGCAATAAAGTTTATCGGCAGGTTTAAGGTATTCCTATGGGCACCAATTGCACCCCTTAATAGCAGACTTGTTTTTGTACTGTTATGAATCACAGTTTATGACCAAACTCAGTAAAGACCCGTCCAAATTGCATTTAATTGATAAATTCAACACAAGACTGCGGAAAGATTAAGTAGCTGAAGAATTTTGAGATGTATGGCTGCCTTCAAGAGCTTCCTCCAAACATCACTCCAAAATATAAAGACAATTTTATTGAAATGTACATGATACTCAAGTTTTTGGAAAATATTTTGCTTTTTTTGTGTTCCCGACCAGCATGTAGCATCAGAGACATGTAATACTTGTATTGTATGTCTCTGGTAGCATCAAGCCATGTACAATCCATGTCGCAGTCAGTCAAAGTCAAAGGTTTTATTTATTTAAACTGGGTCGATGTGAAGAATTAAAAAAAAAAAACACGAGCTCTGGTGAGCTTTTAAATCGACTACATTAAATAATATAGTACATTTAAGACAAAACAATATACATAAAACAAGGACAATATACACACACATACAAACATGAATACTACACATAAACTTAAACACGAAATACTACAAGGGTGGGAATTCTTGAATTATTTCAGGCATACTATTCATCATATTGAAGCACCCCATTATTTTATCTCTTTTTGTCTATTTTTCCGTCTATTTGTTTCCTATTTTTCTGTTTTCTTTTTTCTCTTTCTTTATTCTTTTTTCTTTCTTCTTTTTTTCAGTTCCCATTCGTAAAATTTATTTTGTAAACTGTTTCAATTTTTTCTCCACTAGTCTGAAATGGTTTGACAGCTCATTCCATAACTTAATTAGGAATCACATTTCACGAACTGAGACTATAATTAATGTCATATGTCTCGGGTAAATATATATGTCTCTGAAAATAGTCAATAGATAAATCTTGGGACTATATAATTATATATAGTCAATATATTTTGTCCCAGATAAATCATAAACCCCACTCTACCCCTTTACTGTGTGAGTAAGGATTGCTTTGGTAGATATTTGTATCAATCATTGCAATGAGTAAAGAAAACAAATTTGATTTTATATTTTCTTGTGAAGAATGTGATATTTTACTTATCATTGCACATGTTAACAATATAAGTGAAATGTATAATGAGAGAAACAATTATAATGTCAATATATGAACTGTGTGTGATTGGTGGCTTAACTTATAATGTTATATATAATCATAATATTTGAATTTATAATTTTATAGAGGAGGCATGCTGTCAAAAATAGTATTATACTTAATATTTTAAAATAATCTTTATTTTTTTCAATGCTACATGTTTGAATTGTTTAATGTCTATCGTTTTGTCATCAATATGCCTGTCTGCCTATCTGTCTGTCTGTCTGTCTGTCTGTCTGTCTGTTTGTTTGTTTTGTTTTGGTTTTGTATTGGTTTGTTTATTTAGTAACACTTCCTATTGTTTGGATTTTAAACTAAAAAATTCTTATCTTATCTTATCTATCTTATCTTGCAATGGTAAGAGTAAATCACTGAAACAAATCTTCTTCTTCTTCTGGTAAGCGGCCACCGTCAACTGGTTGACTATTCTGCCACATTTTGGAGTGAGCGCATGAAATATTTTTGAAATTTAATAAACAAAAAGAGAATGGGTGCAATTTAATATATATACAGGTGCAATTAAAACATGGCATTTAAATCTAATGACGGAGCTGAGCCTTGAAGGATTCAGGACTCAGGGCGGGGACAGTAGAGTTGGGCAAGGTGTTCCACTCTCTGATTGTTCTAGGATAGAACGACTCCTTGGAAACCGTACAGTTGTTTTACACGATGGTATTCTGAGTGCCTTTTCATTGTTATTTCTGGAAGGGCGTTCATTCGGTATTAGCTTACTGGATGTATCGATTTTGACAAAGTTGTTTTGTAGCTTATACATCATTATTAAGCGGCTATGTTTTCTTCGTTTTTGTAGGGTAGACCATTCAAGATGTTCAAGCATGCTACTAACAGATGAGGTGTTGTGATATCTGTTAGTAACATATACCTTGCTGCCCGTCTTTGCACCATGTCCAATCTGTGGATGTCGTTTTGTTGGTATGGGTCCCATACTGCACTAGCATATTCTAAAGTAGGCCTGACGAGGGACATGTATGCTTTTTCTTTAATTGACTTGTTTGAGATGTTAACATTCCTTTTTAAGAAGCTAATGGTGTTGTTGGCTTTGGAGCAGATGGAGCTTATGTGTTTCCCCCATTTAAGATCTGATGAAATAGTGCATCCCAGGTATTTAGCTGATGTTACATGTTCGAGGTTATGGCCATGTAGTGTGTAATTGTACTTTGATGGAGTTCGCTTCTTGGAGATGGTGAGTACATTACATTTGTCTGGATGGAACTTCATAAGCCATGTTGTTTCCCATACAGCCAGTTGGTCAAGGTCTTTTTGTAAGTTTGCGGCATCTGCATTGGATGAGATTGTGAGATAAGCAATAGTGTCACCAGCAAACAGTCGTATGGTTGATTGAATCCCCTGGGGAATATCGTTTATATAAAACAAAAATAGGCTAGGTCCCAGGACGGACCCTTGTGGTACGCCGGACTCTACAGGTATGGAGGTCGATGTTTCACCCTCTACTACTACTGACTATTCTATCACTGAGGAAGTTGTTTATCCACTCATTTGTTTTACCGGTTATCCCATAATGCTTCAGTTTATGGATGAGAAGGCTATGACTAACCTTATCAAATGCCTTTGAGAAGTCCATTATGAGACAATCAGTTTGTTTCCCCGATCTAAGTTTTTAGTTACATCATCAATAAATTCAATCAGTTGTGATTCGCATGATAATCCCCTTTGAAACCCATGTTGAAGTGGATACATGATTTTGTGAGTATCTGCATGAGACATGATATGGCTAGTTATGATGTGCTCCATTAGTTTACATGCTATGCAAGTGAGAGAGACCGGCCTATAATTTATCGGATCGTATTTCTTCCCTTTCTTATACACTGGACAGACGTTTGCAGATTTCCAAATACTAGGTACTTCGCTTGTCTGATATGAGCAGCGGAATTTTGTTGTCAGGATTGGTGCTATATGTAATGCAAGTTCCTTTAAGACTCTTGGTGTTATATTGTCTTGCCCAGCTGCCTTATTTGGATTTAGGTTTTTTAGTAGTTTGTACACACCATTTTCTGTTATATTGATGTCCAAGATTTGTTCAAAGTTTCCGGACATGTTACACTGTTCTTGAAATTCTTTCTCTGTTGTGGTAGTTTTGTCTGAAAAGGCTTTCTGAAATTGGCCATTGAGTATGTCTGCTTTTTCTGTTGGCTCTAAATGTAAAGTTCCATTTGATTTTAGAGGTGGTATTTTACTCCCATCTGACCTTTTGTGTTTTATAAAGGTCCAGAACCTTTTCATACAGTTTGGTCTTTCTTGAGGTTTAATTAGGTCTGGTGGTGAAACTATACTGTCGATGTAATTCCAGTAAGCTTTCCTAATTTCTCTCTGTGTACGACGCTTAAGTTCTATAAATTTGTCTCTATCTCCTCCATTACCAGATTTTTTCATTCTTTTGAATCATCTGTCTCTTTTTCGTATGAGACGCTTGATGTCAGATGTGACTCCAGGGACTACCATCCTTTTTCCTAGCGGTCTTTTTCGGTACATTGTTTCCTATGCTCTCTTCAAGTTTGGTTTGGAAGTGTGTCCATAATGTATTTACTCCTGCCTTTTGTTCATTCGTTAGGGTGATATCATGGTGTAAATTATTCGTATCTAGTTTCATATTCTCCCAATTTGCTTTTTTATATAACGGTATAATCCTCGGTTTTTTTTAATAGAATTCAAATCAATCCAACTTATGTCGGCTTTTTTTAAAAGCTAATAGTTTGCCTACAGAAGGGTAACAGGAAGATAAAAATATATGGTACCAGTCGCTATAAACTTTCAGCAGGTCGTTGATATGTTTTATGTAACGACCAAAATAGGAACGCAGCTAAGCCTCTAGATCATTCGTAAACAAGACGTGCCGGTTGCCGCCATTAATAATATTTTTTCCTGTACATGGTATACAAATCCATGTAATCATGAAGCTTGTGAGGTAATAGCAATTCCCATAATTGTCAGATATGTAGTTGAATGAAGGATCGATGCAATGATATCATTATTTTTTTGATTGTTGCAAACATTCTATAAGAAAACTCTTAATGAAACGGACGAGTGCCCCACGCTAAGGCTTAAAACAAAATGTATTAAACAATTTATTTGGAATTCATCCCCTCTGTATGATTGTTTCTGGTTTAACGGAACGCGGTAATTTCGTGACTGAAGGCCTTCTCATTAGATGCACTGTTTAAACCTCTCGAGTTCATAGTATTTGTACATTTTCTAACCTGTCTTAAGATGTGAATAATTTTTACATCCTATCTGGGATACAAGTCAAATCGGCACCTGGTGAAATCGACATCTAGTCAGTTCGGCACATATTTTAAGTCAATTCGGCATCCAATAATATTTGATATAATATATATATATATATAAATAATTCTAAAAATGTATAAATCATCTTTCTATTTATAATTATTTTGGGGGTTGGATTTTATCATTCATTACATCTTTAAAAATAAATTTATAAATTTGGTAGGGATGAGCAGCTGAGGCATCAAGTACCCCACCCTTTTCATATATTCTGTTTATCAAAAATATATACCTTGTCATATATCAATTGACAAAAAACAGACCTATAGATATATTTGGATATTTTTCATCTTCTGGTACATTAGTATAGAGATTTTTTTTGGTCCTGCTCATCATCACGTTCATGTTTAGACAGGTTGGGCTCAAGTCAGGAAAAGGGGGGTATTCCCTGTTTTCAGGGAACACCCCAGTTTTCTGGTGTTAAAAAAACCCAGTAAACAGGGACTTCTTTTTTCCTTGTCAATTTATGGTATGAAATCTACAAAAGCGCACCTTCTACATGTTATAACAATGTTATATGATAGCAAGTCTTTTTGCAAGTTAAAAAATCAAGCTAATTTCAAGTCTTATTTGATGCTCAACTCGCAACAAAACAATTCCTTTGTTCACCAATTCATACCTTGATCATCAATTCAGAGAAGACAAAAAGATAAGTTAATCACTTAGGCATTTAAATTCAATGAATAGAAATTTTCAATAGAAGTGAACATAATTCAGTTATGATCAGTTACACCTGGAGCATGCAGCTTGATCAACTGATTCCTAAACAAAAGATTTGTATGTGTTATAGTTCTAGAAAAAACAAGGCTTCACTTATTCATGTTTTGTTGTTCCTGAAATACTTTAAGTATTTACAAATACTACTGATACAGTTAAAACATGCACTTTTGTAGATTTCATGCCATAAATTGAAATAGAAAAAGGAAGTCCCTGTAAACTGGGGTTTTTTAACACCAGAAAACTGGGGTGGTCTCTGAAAACAGGGAATACCCCACTTTTCCTGACGAGCCCAACTTATTAGAAGAAACGCAGTCGCAATAATCACACCTTGCTTTTCCAATAAATTCGTCAAATCTTAAACACTCTCCTCTATTTGCCCCTTTTATATCTTTCATTATGAAGAAATTTCAATTTCAATAGACAATAAAATATGTTTGGTCAGATAAATGTAGTAACACCCCAGAGAGTAACACTTTCACTGAGTTTTATATAAACGAAAAACTGATAAAAAGTTACATTGCCTTTCCCTCTTAAAGGACACTGACACTATGGAATTTCTTTTAATAATTGTTATCATGTTTCATGTATACATGTGGTTTTTGGCTCTGATTCTGACTAATGCTAATGTACTAAATATATATTTACAAGTGACTATTATTGTTGTTGTTACCAATTATGTAAATCAATTGTATCTGATTTTATGCCCTTTATGGGCCCTGTAATTTGGGAAATAAAAATATATTATATATATATATTCTATACAAACCTTTGAATGTTAATTATAGGTGCAAATGTCAAAATGATATATACAGCATCTATAACTAGCATCAGTGGAAATACCACATTAGAATAAATAGAGATTAATTGGTTTGACAAATAGCTGATGCATTTAAGACTGTGGTTCAACCGCATCAAAAATAAATACTGACATCTGATTAGTTTCAGAAACTTATGATATAATCAAGCAAGTGATAATATCAACCTATTGATATATTTAATCTGAATTTCTCACCCTTTTCATATATCATGGAGCATGAAATAGTGACCTATTCCAGCGGCTCATCCCTACCACTCATTACATAGTAGGTACCCCCCCCCCCCCCTCTGTAAAAAAAGAGTGTTAAGTTGTTCCTTTTATTTTTTGTTGTTGTTGATCCAGTGCAGAAAAAGCATGTTTTCCTGAAGCCTGATCTAGATTAACATATTCTCACATGAGTGACTTTACAATTTCCAATGTTATTACAACTCTCAATAGATTTTGATAAATTTAACTTTTAAAAACAAACTTGACAATCAGCCAGTGAAATAGGATTTATAGTCTACTCAAATGGCACAGAACTATTTCTTTGTTATTTTTAGCAAGCTTAGGCAATGAAATTTTTTTTGGGTCTGCACGAAACCTACATATTTTGACCTGATACTGATTTCTGTTTGCAGTATACATGCTTCTGGAATAAAATTAGCTGACATCAGGTACATTTTTAACCGGATTTTCGAAGGAAAAATCGGTTATTGATTTGGGGATGTACATCGGGCCCTTCCATAAGAATGAAATACTTATTAATTACTCCATTTCTGTTCAAAGGGAAATAACTCATTTTTTAAAAGATTTTTAAAAACATTGTATTAATGATAAATGACATTATGGATTTTTTTCTTTTCTTTGGTAAATTGTTTGAAGAATTTTTTGGTAGGTTTGTTTGTTATTCTGTATAAACTAATTATGCCCGGCCGTAGCGGTGGGGGCATTAAGTTTTACCCTTGTCCGTCTGTATGTACGTACGTCCAAAAATTGGTTTCCGTTCTCTAACTTCAGTTTGCCTCAACCAAATGTTATGAAACTTATACACAATGCTTATTACCACAAAACACAGATCAAGTTTGAATTTTGGTGGTGTCACTTTAACTGTTCTAGAGTTATGCCCCTTTATAAATGGAAAAATTGCAAAATGTTTAGTTTCCGTTCTTTAACTTAAGTTTGCCTCAACCAAATGTTATGAAACTTATACACAATGCTTATTACCACAAAACACAGATCAAGTTAGAATTTTGGTGGCGTCACTTTAAACCGTTCTAGAGTTAAGCCCCTTTATAAATGGAAAAATTGCAAAATTTTTATTTCCTTCTAAATATCAAGTAATTTTTAAAATTGGAGTTATCTTCCTTTGTCCATGATTATAGTTGAATCAATCAATGTTTATACAATGCAATGTTTAATTTTGACTTCCACTGATAAAACACAGATCAAGTTGAATTTGGGTAGTGTCACTTTAACCATTATTGAGTTATGCCCCTTTATAAATTGAAAGATTGCAAAATTTTTAGTTTCCATTCTGTAGCTTAAGTTTGCCCCAACCAAACATTATGAAACCTATACACATATTCATTACCACAAAAATAAGATCAAGTACAAATTTTTTGTTTCAGTTTTATAACTTAGGTTGCCTCAACCAAATGTTATGAAACTTATACACAATGCTTATTACTACATAATACAGATTAAGTACGAAATTTGGTGAGAACACTTTTGCCATTCTTGAGTTATGTCCCTTTATAAACATAAAAATTGCTGAATTTTTCGTTTCCGTTCTCTAACTTTAGTTTGTCTCAACCAAATGTTATAAAACTTATACACAACTGTTCTAGAGTTATGCGTGTTTACAAATAGAAAAATTGCTGAATTTTTAGTTTCTGTTCTCTTCGATTCTTAAGTTAGCCTCAACCAAATGTTATGAGACATACACACAATGCTTATTACCACAAAACTCAGATCAAGTTCAAATTTGGATAGCGTCACTTTTACCATTCTTCAGTTATGTCCCTTTATAACTATATGCTATGCAAGCGGGGGCATCATCTGTGAACCAGTAAGGATAACATAAGTATATGGATTCTGTTAATAATCTTTTAAATATTCAATCACAATCCAAATTCAGAGCTCTTTAAAGCTTAAATGTTTGTGTCCATACTTGCTCAACAGTTCAGGGTTCAACCTCTGCAGGAAAATCCGGGTTGCTGTCACTCGACAGTCTCTTGTTAACATACTGTTAAGACCAACAATTTGAAAAGCTAAATATGCAAAACATTTAATTACAATTTGCGAAATAAAGTAGAGCTTGAATTTGTGAGATTGAAGAGCCTTGACAATTTTGATTTTGTTTCAGATTTTTGATGAAATTGTCCCACGAGACAGTCACTATTGAATTGAAGAATGGAACACAGGTGCATGGAACAGTAACAGGTATTTTGTTATTACGTCATCCTGTGGCTCAAATTGTCTAATTACAAAACTTTTTAAAAAAGGTCTCTGTCTTGGATACTTTGCAACTGCCATGGGGCCACTGTACCTTATTTTATTTTGGTGAATTGTTTTAGATATATCCTGTCATGACAATGTCACAAAGTATAGGTGCTGTATAGTTAACTGGAAAGTGAAAACTTACTGATCACCACAACAAAATGTATCACAATACAACAGCATTTCACCAGTCCTGACAGATTTGTAGAGGCATTTGTAAATGAAGGAAGTAAATATTGAGAAGTCAGGCATTTAGAATTTTGAAGAACTTTGTTATCACCAACTTGTTGGAACACACCTCTTTTAAAATATGTTTGCGGTGATACATGCACAATTATAGGAAATAGTTAATCAACATTTTATGTTTAACAGGGTTAAATAAAATAAGCCTCTTGACCCCATCCCTTATTTCTGAATCGAACCTCAAAAATGGTACAGAATAAACCTTTTTTTTTTCAGCTGGCATGATTGATGGGTATGAAACAACAAACATAGTTCATTATACAAACAATAGTCTCATCTAATGAAGCATATTGATATATAGACATTCTTTTATGGCTTAAAAAAACAATGCACAATTATATAACTAAATTTAACATTGAAAGATAATTATATTTGTAGGGGTTGATGTTAGCATGAATACCCATTTGAAATCTGTAAAGATGACCGTGAAAAACAAAGATCCAGTACAGCTGGACACACTTAGTATCCGTGGTAACAATATCCGATATTACATCTTACCTGACAGCTTACCTCTTGATACGTTACTGATAGACGACACGCCTAAAGGACGTGGTGGATTTAGAGGTGGTAGGGATAGGGGTAAGTAATCAACTAAACTACATTTGGTGTTTGTTAGTCAATCACTATCTTAAATTTAGAGATTAAAGGGTTAATAGACAGCAAGTCACATAATTAAAAGCTCTAAAAGTCACAATTAATTAGTTAATAATTGTAAGAACACATAAGAGAAAATTCTTGCAATAATTTCTTTTCATGAAATAAATTTAATGATAGGGTTTGGGAATTTTTTTGAAATATAAAATGAATAATTATGAATAATTATATAAAATTAAGGAGATGAGGTATCAACTATCCACCAAAGTTCAAATAAAGTGGATGTAAGCAATTATAGGCAACCGTATGGCCTTCAACAATGAGAAAAACCCATACTGTATAGTCAGCTATAAAAGGCCCAGACATGAAAAATATGAAACAATTCAATTGAGCAAACTAACGGCCTAATTTATAACAAAACAATTAACGAAAAACAAATATGACAGACATGAATTGATCCGTTTAGGAAAATTTCTTTTTATGAAATTAACAGATTGGTCAGTTTAGGAAATTGTTCATTGGCAATGGAATGTTAAATGAAGATTGATCAAATTTTAATCACAAAAACATTAATGTATAGAACAGTAATACTATGGTGGATGTAAGATTTGTGGTTTAAAATAAATAAACTGCCATGGTGTTTTGTTATGGCTATCCATTAAATATTATGATCCAGTTAATTCTACGGTTACATTTACCAAATGACAAATAAGCGTTTCAGAGAATAAAAATTATCATTTGATAGTAAGGTACCAAAGAAAATAGATGTTTTATACACACAGACTTTACAAAACTGTATCATGAAACACATTTACAACAGCATAATCCTGACCTCTTATGAACCAGGAACCTTGTTACAATATGTTTTTGGACATTGTAATGTTGTCACAGGGATTGTATAATGATATTTTAATTTCAGGTGGCCGAGGAGGTAGAGGTGGACGAGGTGGTCGTGGCGGCAGAGGTGGTGGTGGTGGAATGAGAGGTCGTGGACGAGGGCCACCAAGAGGAAGAAGATAAACTTTTTTATGTGTAAAATCAAAGACAAAGTGAAAGTAGAAAGGGAATCTACATCTAAATATATTGTTATGTGTCCAACAGCAAGAAATTATGTTGTAACTTTCTTTTATTCTTTTGTTATAATGTTCCTGATAACATAGACATGAAGAAAAAAAACTATTCTTTTGTGAAATTCTTTCAAGTATTCCCAAGGTGGAAGTTAACAGTTGAAGATAAGTACAAAAGCAATGAAGCATTTTCACATGGACATATTTTAATCATGTACATTCTTCTCATTTTAATGTCACATCATGTTTCATCTGAGTCGTCATTTTTGTACAGAAATAAAACAAAATAAAAAAAATTATTTCAAAATTGTTTTTTTCTTGAAAGCCTTTGAATGAGATGTGTATAATATTAATATATATCTTGCTTCTACTGATCATGTTTGTCTTGAATTGTCCAGATAAATGTAAATTGTACATTTTCAAATTTTTCAAACACTCTGCATACATGTATCACTGACATAACATTGAGCAAGCAACCATCAATGCATCGCATGGGAAAAAGCCAACAGGATCACAAAATGTTAAGAAAAATTAAAATTTGAAAAGAAAACACTGTTAAATGCATACATGTAATCATTCAAAATTAAACTCATATAATGATTTCATTTATGCCTTTTTGCTGGGCTTTTAGGCAGTTAAGTTGCCTTATGCTAGCACTCTAGATTTGCTTTTTCCCCCAGGAATACTGAAATAGGTGCCATTGTCCTTATCTAGAAGGTTGGTAGTTCATGTATAACTAATTGGACACTTTTTTCATGCTTTTAGTTTTGGAATACAAAAAATATGTCTAAAATAAAAAATGATTGTTGAACAACCCAAAATCAATGATGTTGCATATTGGAAATAGTGCTCAATGGAAAGCCTTACATTGTATTTTTATCTTTTGCGCTTTTGATAACAATGTTAAAGAACAATTGTATGAAATATTTCATCGCCGAAAAATTTCTATATACAAGTTTACAATTGCCAAATGACGACATGCGCATGAATATTGTTTGGCGGTAATTTTAAATGAGTAGACGAAAAGTAGATTTCAAGGATTTATTACAAATGGTTAGCTGTGATACTATACTTTGTTTACATGAATCGTACCTGTTACAGTGTCGTTTAAACGTAGCATTCATGCGACAGTCTTTTGGCAGTCATGCATTGGTCACTTTAATAATGCTTTCATTCCTTTCCATTATATTATTTCTTTTTATTACATAACTGGCCCTGTCGAATGAAGTTGTTATAGTTGGACGACAAATGATTTAATGGCCTTAAGTTCAAGGTTTTGATCACGTGACAAAAGGTCAAATATTTTACATACGGGTCATTGAAAAATTTATTTATAGATCGATAACATTTATATAATTTCTTTTGTCATGCACTGGTAAACAACACATAAAAACAGACCGACGGTTGTTTATAATCTTTATCCAAAGAATTAAAACAATATTATATGAGACAAATACATTTTATTGAATTTAACAATAGACATATATTTCTTTGATTTATCCAAGGACGTATAACTAACATATATCTCTAATATACGTCCTTGGATTTAACACTGTGACTTATCGAGCATAGCTCTCCATCCTTTTTCGGGGGGTTTCCTGTTCTTCTGATCGTGTTTGACCCTGTAATTTCAGATTTCGGATATCAACTGCATATCTTTTTCGCGATCTAAAAATTGGCAATGTAAGTGATCGAAATCCACTCTACTGCTGCCAAGAACAAATGGTTATACCTCAAACTTTATGAATAGGGAAGTGAAATTTTTTTTCTTCAAAATTCGCGTTGGTCAAAGCATGGACGTATATTGTTAGTTATACGTCCTTGGTCAAAGTTAAAAAAAAGTTACCCATATTTGGCTATAGTTCCACAACTTCAGACAACAGTGTCAGTGGACTTGTTAGGTTTTTTGTCAAGCCTATGACTTTTGTCGTTGAAAGCTCGAAATAGGGATAGTGATGCAGTGGCGGCCACGGCGGCATTAACTAACTACTAAAAGCTTAATATTTCAGAGGGTAAAAGACCTGGATGCTTCATACTTTGTATATAGATACCTTATGTTATGAAGTTTCCGTCTGTCATATGTCCATTGTTCTTTACCTCATTTTCTTGGTTCAGTGACTACTTGAAAAAAAAAGTTTTTTATAATGCTAGTTTCTCTCTTATTATGAGTAATAGGATAACTATATTTGGTATGTGCATACCTTGCAAGATCCTCATGTCTGTCCAACAGTTTTCACTTGACCTTGACCTCATTTCATGGATCAGTGAACAAGGTTAAGTTTTTGTGGTCAAGTCCATATCTCAGATACTATAAGCAATAGGTCTACTATTTTAGGTATATGGAATGATTGTCAGGTGTCATATGACCTTGACATCATTTTCTTGGTTCAGTGGTTAAAGTTAAGTGTTTTTGTGCCCCCGCCGTAGCGGAGGGGGCATTAAGTTTTACCCTTGTATGTCCCAAAATTGGTTTCCGTTCTCTAACTTTAGTTTGCCTCAACCAAATGTTATGAAACTTATACACAATGCTTATTACCACAAAACACAGATCAAGTTTGAATTTTGGTGGTGTCACTTTTACTGTTCTAGAGTTATGCCCCTTTACAAATGGAAAATTGCTGAATTTATCGTTTCCGTTCTCTAACTTTAGTTTGCCTCAACCAAATGTTATGAAACTTATACACAATGCTTATTACCACAAAACACAGATCAAGATTGAATTTTGGTGGCGTCACTTTTACCGTTCTAGAGTTATGCCCCTTTACAAATGGAAAAAATGCTGAATTTTTTCGTTTTCAATCTCTAACTTAGTTTGCCTCAACCAAATGCTATGAAACTTATACACAATGCTTATTACCACAAAACACAGATCAAGTTTGTATTTTAGTGGCGTCACATTAACCATTCTAGAGTTATGCCCCTTTAGAAATGGAAAAATTGCAAAATTTTTATTTTCTTCTAAATATCAAGTAATTTTATTGAAATTGGAGTTATTTTCCTTTGTCCATGATTATAGTTGAATCAACTACAATCAATGCTTTATACAATGCAATGTTTAATTTTGACATCACTGATAAAACACAGATCAAGTTGAATTTGGGTAGTGTCACTTTAATCATTATTGAGTTATACCCCTTTATAAATTGAAAGATTGCAAAATTTTTAGTTTCCATTCTGTAACTTAAGTTTGCCCCAACCAAACATTATGAAACCTATACACAATATTCATTGCCACAAAACTAAGATCAAGTACAAATTTTTTGTTTCCGTTTTCTAACTTTAGTTTTCCTCAACCAAATGTTATGAAACTTATACACAATGCTTATTACTACATAATACAGATTAAGTACGAAATTTGATGGCAACACTTTTACCATTCTTGAGTTATGTCCCTTTATAAACATAAAAATTGCTGAATTCTATGTTCCATTCTCTAACTTTAGTTTGTCTCAACCAAATGTTATAAAACTTATACACAACCGTTCTAGAATTATGCGTGTTTACAAATAGAAAAATTGCTGAATTTTTAGTTTCTGTTCTCTACTTTAGTTAGCCTCAACCAAATGTTGTGAAACTTATACACAATGCTTATTACTACATAATACAGATTAAGTACGAAATTTGATGGCAACACTTTTACCATTCTTGAGTTATGTCCCTTTATAAACATAAAAATTGCTGAATTCTATGTTCCATTCTCTAACTTGAGTTTGTCTCAACCAAATGTTATAAAACTTATACACAACCATTCTAGAGTTATGCGTGTTTACAAATAGAAAAATTGCTGAATTTTTAGTTTCTGTTCTCTACTTTAGTTAGCCTCAACCAAATGTTATGAGACTTACACACAATGCTTATTACCACAAAACTCAGATCAAGTTCAAATTTGGGTAGCGTCACTTTTACCGTTCTTCAGTTATGTCCCTTTATAACTATATGATATGCAAGCGGGGGCATCATCTGTGTCTACATGTGGACACTATCCACATTTATTGTGTTTTGGTGTGTTTTTCTAATACTATATGCAATAGGTCAACTATATTTGGTGTATTGAAATATTTTATGATGAACATGTCAGTCTGGCAGGTTTTATTTGACCTTGACCTTATTTTAACAGTTCATTGCTCAATGTTAAGTTTTTGTGTTTTTGTCTGTTTTTCTTTAACTGTAAGCAATAGGTCAACTATTTTTTGTGTATGGAATGAATGTAAGGTGTATATATCTATCTGGCAGGTATCATATGACCTCGACCTCATTTTCATGGTTCATTGGTCAATGTTTAGTTTTCCTGTTTAAGTTCGTTTCTTGGATACCATATGCAATAGGTCAACTATATTTGATCCTTTGAATGATTGTAAGGTGTACATGTCTGTCTGGCAGGGTTCATATGACCTTGACCTTATTTTCATGGTTCACTGGTCATAAAGTTTTCATGGTTTGGTCTGTTTCTTGTATAAAGTAAAATAACAAAAATACCGAACTCCAAGGAAAATTCAAAAATTCAATTAAAATTCTTGTATACTATAAGCAATGGGTCAAATAAGTGTATGGAATGATTGTAAGGTGTACATGTATTTCTGGCTTGGTTAATCTGACCTTGACCTCATTTTCTTGGATCATGTTAAGTTAATGTGATACTTGAAGTAAAAGTTTATATTTAGGACTATCAACATAAAATCAATGGTCAGTAAAGCAGACGAGACATTTCAGCGTGTGCACTCTTGTTTTAATTTTTAGCATAAATCCGCCGGTTGGTTTTCTGATTTGAATTGTTTTACATTTTGTCATGCTGGAGTCTTCTTAAGCATGAAAAAGTTTCAATCTGGACAAGGATGTACAAGAACAAGAAACAACAAGACAAAGAAGATATACAAAAGTAGCATAATATCTCCCTTTATCCAAGGGGAGACAATAAAGAAATGTTCTGTGGTAAACATTCTTAGAATACCAAGATCAAATTCAATTCTACTAAAATTTCAGATGAAAACTTGACTTATTGCCAGTAAGTATAGAAATAAGGAGATATCATGTGGTATGATTGTTGATAAGAATTCTAACCAATGAAAACCAAAGGACAAAGATGTAAGTAACTACATGTCACTGTACCACCCTCCCACAGGCACTTGTCTCAGAAAAAAGTTTCCTATATACCTTAATATAGCACGTGATATATTAAGGTATATAGGAAACTTTTTTCTGAGACAAGTGCCTGTGCCATTCAAAGTGAAATTGTGGATGTTAAAATATTTGAAAGCGTCGAATATATGCCGTATTACTTGCATTCTATTTTTTAAGTATATTTCATGC